GAATTTGTACAGTCATACGACGGTATGATTGGCGACACCCCAATGTCCAGTAGTGGCAAACTGATGAGACTGTTCCATTGTTGCGAAAGAGCAGCAAAGAAGGTAATCCAGTGCTGCATGATGATGACACCAGATGAAGGCTACCTAAGAGCTAGGAGCTCCTTGCAGAGAGATTTGGTGATAGCCATAAGATCGAAGAAGCATGGTTGAGGCGAGTTACAGATGGCCAAGCTGTATTAAACAACTGTTATCAGCTAAGAGAGTTTGCTGACGAGTTGTAGACTTGCACAGAGACCCTCAAGGTTTGACGTTTTATTAAATTATTAGAGAAAAAAGATGATTTGTTGTACCATTCTCGACTTTTTGCTCCTTTTTCTTCCTACATCCTCTTACTTTTTTCTCTTCTCTCTCTCTCACGCCTGAACTGCGAAACTCTTATGTAACCACCTCACTCTCAACAAGGAAAATTGTGAATTCCACAATGAAAGGTTGGAGTTCCTTGGCCATGTACTGAGTGCAGATGGGGTATCACCTGACCCCAAGAAAGTGCAAGCAATAATCAACGCATTCAGGATGTGCGCAGTCTTCTAGGACTTTCCAGCTACTGTGGACGATTCATCCCTGACCTTGCTACGCTATCTGCTCCTCTTTGTAATCTAACTAGAGAGAAAGTAGAGTGACAGTGTACCAAAGAGCATCAGCAAGCCATGAGTAATGTGAAACAGCGCCTTGCAGCAGGATGCAAGAATGCCTTCTACGATCCAGAGAAAAATACGCAACTTCTCGTTGTTGCCAGTCTAGTTGGAATTGGTGCTGTGCTGGCACAGAAAACCAGGGATGGGAAGCCATCCGTACTTGTGTTTGCTAGTCGATCACTCACACTAGTAGAGCTGTTTTGATCGTTTAAGTATACATACGCCAGTCTTTTGTTTTCATATGAAAATGATGGTCTGAAATTGGAAAAGCCAAGTGACTAGCTTTCTTCGTGGTAAATTCTGACATTTTCTGTACAAAAAGACATACTTCGTATTGAAAATACTTTGTTAGTGAAGCTGTGCTATCACCTGCTGCATCAACCAGTGGATTTTAGTCCCGGTAATCACAGCCATGAAAATGTGAGTTTTAATGACTGTTTTTCTGCCATCGTATTTCAATTACAGCACGTACAGTAGAACGGTCTGTCCCATGCAGTCATTTTCAATGCTGTGAAAATCTGTCTATGGTCAGTGACATTTGGCTCTGAGTTGCTATTGTCTTGATATCTGCTGAGGCGTGAGTGATGTGATCCTTTTCCTATTGTCGACTAACTGCATTGTTAGAGAGATTGTACTCACCGAGCTTTTTGACAGCTGAATTCCTATTCAAAGTCAATTGTAGGTCTAACATGGCTGACAACCTACCAGAAAGGCCAAAGACCCGGGGAAAGGGGAAGGAAAAAGAGGATAGAGAAAAGGAAAAGGCGGCCTTGCTTTCTACGGTAGCGCAAGACCTCGTCATGGATGATAGATTTCTCAATATTGTCAAAAGCCATATTGAGAAATGTCTTGCAATTTCCATTTCATGTTCATTATCTATTTCTTTTATTTCTTACTCTTGTCTTTACTTCTCTTTTTAATTGTGTGTTTAATGTTCAATGTATACTGTGTATCCTTCATGTAAATATGTTGTCAATGTACAATGTTTTTCAATGTACTGTTTTTAAATGGACTTGAATAAAATCGAATTGAATTCTCGCTACCCTAAATAGGTACGAAAATCTCGAAATTCGCGAGACGAGGTAATTTTCACTCTCTCGGGTCGTCACTACAACTTCCGGTATAGAGTCCCATCCCAAGTCACGGCCTTCATCCACCCCCATTTTTCAGGGTTCTTACGCTTGGAATCATGAGCCCAGCACTGTGCAGCCTCACAAAAGAAAACCATCGTCACTGATGTCAAAAGACGCAAAAAACAACGAATGAAATGTTCAAATAAACGTTGAAATATTTGCGAAAAAAACACAAGACCGAGCAGACGACATATTCGGTGCATACACGTTGTGTGGCGACGGCGTTTTACGTTTGCGCTATCGCGCCGCCAAAGTCAAAGGTTAGAAAGGAAAGAAGAAGTATGAACTTTGCCATCAATAGAAAACGTAATCTAGGGGAGGCATACACCAGCGAAAAGAGCAAGATAAAGATGCCCTCTCAAAGAGAAGCGAGCTTTGTAAACACTTGCAGGTGTTCCTCTGACAAGAAAACTTTATGATGAGAATGACAGAGTCAATTTTCGTAAGTCATATTTTAATTTGGGCAAACTCCAACAACAGAGAGAGTGGATTGCTCGCCTCATTGACACAAAATCAAAGAACAGCAATACTAAACCTGCAATACCACTTGCCTAGTAGCAGTGATCCACATGCATATATGCAGGCAAATGTTTCTAACAAGACTTGGGATCTCCAGACAACAAGTAAAAATTGTGATGAAAAAGAAGAGGCCATGTGATGTCATTGAAGATGAGCGTAGAGAAGGGCTACAAACTGTTGAGAAAGATGAAGAACTTTGGGAGAGTGTAAAGTCCCACATCAACGAGTTTCCCCATATGGAGTCGACTACTGTCGTTTATGTTACTGCTTTCCATTTCTTAAAGGCACTCAAGTTAAATCACTTGATGATGTTGAAAACGACTTGAAAACTAATTTGACTATAAAGAATATGAAGACAGTGATGCAAAAGATACAATATCAAAATGCTTCACAAGATATCCAGTCAGTACAAATTACGACCCATATTGAAGTGCCTTATTGGAAAAACACCTTGTGGAAGTATTTCAATTCTGTCAAGACCAGCAGAAGCAACATTATTATTATTTATCTGGCAGCGAATGATTTCTTATCAATAAACTGATCAAAATAAATTACAAGAATAATTTTTTTTCCATCTGTTTCTGTTTCCTTTTGTGAATCATAATGTAAAAAGTTTGTAACATTGAATTGAAAATTCCTGTGTATTTCTTGTCCATATTTATGCAGTCAATAGAATGGCACCACTGTGTGTGGATTATCTGCGTACCATCTATATGGGGTATGTGAGGCCACTCCTGGAGTATGTGTGTCCTGTGTGGAACAGTACATCTCTAGAAAGGATCCAGAGGAGAACCTTAAAAATCATCCTTGGTCCTCGTTTCACATCAAATGATGCTGCTCTCGAGGCACTGGACTCGTCATCTCTACCTAATCGAAGAAAAATATTTATGTCTTTCCTTTGCACAAAAACTTGTAAAGAACGAAAAGATGTCTGACCTCATCCATTGACCCAAAGATTGCAAGTCAGATGCAAAACTCAAAGATTTCAGCAAAGTACAATATCATACCTCATTGATATTGAATTGACTTTAAATTTTAACTGGAATTTCGACACATCTTCTGGGATATTTTGATGTAAAGTTCGAGCTGGTACATTTTCTTTTTTTAATTTTTCTAATTTAATTCCCTGCAATTTTGTGTTATACTAATTGATCAAAACTTGGGAATCACTCTTAAATTGACTGCAATATTTCACGAAAGGAACTTTAGGATAATTATGTTAAAAGAATGTTTTTATTACATGTTATTACTTATTTTGTTTCCTGTAATTTTGATGTTTACTTTTTGTACTTTTTGTACTTTTTTGTACAAAACCTGTAATTCGGCTTTTGAGCCGCGATTGATTTTTATTTCAATAAACTATTACTACTACTACTACTACATTTATTAATGCTTTTGAATAATAGGAAGAAGATAGGCTAACTGCTAACATATAGCGATTCATTTTTCAGAAGAATCAGCTCTTGAAGGATGCCTCACAAATTAAAGGGTCGACAATTCTGCCTCATTTGATTAAATTCAACAGAGCCAATAAGTCATTGCATATAAATCCCCTGTAGCTGTTAGTGACAATTGTATACACATGCAATGAAATTCAAGATTCATGATATTGCATTTAACCATAACCATTACAACATACAAACAATAATCAATAGATGTATGGCATAGCAATTAGGCCTAAAAAAAAAAATTGATGACTTGGCGTAACCCGCCCGACCCTATTTTTATCGCAGACCCTACGCTTTTTTATTTATTTATTTTATTTGTTTCTCTCAAAGAAAAATTGTACATTTATAACATTGGATACAAAATAACAAAATAATTTAACATAGGTCTTTATAAATTTACCAATGATCTTTTACATTTACATACAAAAGTTACACCTCTTCATTTTCCTTTGGAGACAAAAAAATTATATATATAAAAAAAGAGAAAAAAGATCCGATTGCAATTGCGATTGCGATTGCGTAAATATCGATATCGCAGTGGGGAAAACCCGGATGTTTGTTGCTTTCGTTCTGGGCTTTGCCGCGCCGTGTTTGGGCCAGCTCGCGCGCCGAGTGCAGCGGGCAGGTACGCCATAGTACCGCTAGGCGATTGTATCCCCAACATGGCGTCAGTTCAGTTCACGGGTAAATTTGGTGCTCACGTTTTATTCAGCGTTCTTCGGAAGGTGGACATTAAAGCAACAATCGGAGAAATCGTTCAAGATCTGGCCGCTGATAATTTTGTGGTTAAGAACATCAAGGCATCTAAGGAAAACTGTGGTCCGTTTTCTGATTTGCTGTTGTCTGAAACAGTGTCACTATTACAAGATTTCGGGTATCGATACGTGGTTGCAACACTCATGCCTGTCAGTGTCACGGATACCGAGGAGGATCGCACGAAGGCCAATGCCTTTGGGGTATTGATGTCTTCGTCAAAACGACGAGACAAAGTCGATCTTCAAGTCATGAAGAAAACGACAAGCTCTGGCAAAGTGGATGACCTAAATATTTGAACATATTGTGGTCTACCCCTCTCATCAGATCATCCCCAAGGTCTGAGGACCTATCTACGCCACTGTATGTATGTATGTGTATGAATGGCTAATTTCATGTATGCAAATATAAGCAACAACAACAACAAACAAAAAAAAACAAACAAAAACAAAAAAAACAAAAATATCGCCCTACCTACCCTAATTTTCAGTGACCCGTTACGCCAAGTCATCAATTTTTTTTTTAGGCCTTATATAAAAATCATTTTCGAATCAACCCTAAAACATAGGTATCATTATGTGAACAGATCAATAATTTACTTCTATTAAACAAAAGGACACTTTTTATCATTGTGCTAGACCAGTAAGCTTTTCGCTGACCTCCCAGAGTTTCCTCGCTACCCCATCATCCCTTGCCTTTGCTGATGGAACTACAGGACGACAGTTGTCAAAGTACTGACCAGTGACCCCGTTGACCTCTCCCGATACAGCCAGGTAGAGAGAGGTCTGTGCTCCTACCTCAGGATCCTGAAATGAAAAGAAATTTAACAGAAAATATGATGAAGTTAGAACCTTGTGTAGGAAGCCCGAATTATAAAGGCTCAAATGATTCAGTTTTTGTCTGGAAACAGTGATATCACTATCTTACTTCTACCATATTCCAGCAAACTATTTTTCACCTGAAATGAGGATACATGGGTAAAAAACATTAAAAAAAATATATTTTCAGGATTTATAAAAACGTATGGAAATTGGAAAACAATAATTTTTTTAACGAGAAGTCCAGCCTGAAATAGAAGCAGAAAAATTAGAGAAACAGGTCGGTGAAAGTTAAAGCAAAAACGGATTGAAAAAATAAGAAAGTTATGAATTTTTGAAGGCCCGATCAATCAAATGCAAATTGGCAACTCTGTGTCATATTTTGCGAGGTACCCTCCAATTCACCATTTATAAAAAATAAAAAAATAATTTTTTCCCTTGACATTTACCCAAGTACAATTCTTGCAAATATGTTTTTATACAACCGCCATATGAAACATGTCTATTCGATAACAGTGAATAATAGTGTGTACTGCAGCATTAATAAAAGAAATTACGCAAACAAGCTTTTAAAATCTTCTGTTAATGCAAAAGAGCCGTTACACATTGCTTTGCAAGCTAATATTCAAAATCAGTGTGCTTTAATAGTCATACTAACCTTCCAGAAAAGAGATCCAAAGATGAAAGAAATAACTTTCAGGTGTGGTCTATAGTTCAGAAGAGCTGTCCTCACAGTCCCAGGGTGAAGACAATTAACAGTTATACCTGAATAGAAAACACAAGTTGGAATTACTCTCCGATGCTGTCTCTCAACCATGTAAAAGTAGAATACTTAAAACTAGAGTTCCAAATTGCAGTTGAGAGGGGGCAATATATTTCACAATATTAATCTTTTGTAAGGCTATGTTAGTAATTGTGTGAAGTGCTTTGCATCCATGGTAAAAGTCCTTACATGCAACAAATTCAACACTTATTCAATCATTATTATTTAAATAAACACACTTTTTCAGCTATTGAAACCGTCTACAATCGTCATTTAAAATTAAGTAATAAAGTAATCTTAATTGGAAATGTCACTATAAATCATTCATCTGTCAAAATCATTTAACATGCCTTTTCCATTGAGCCCAGGCTATGATACTCTCAAAACACTTTGCAATCAGATTGAGAATAAAATATATCACGCACAAGTATTTCTATTATAAATGCCTACCTGTTCCCTGTAATCTCTGGCTCAGTTCTTTTGTGAAAAGGATATTAGCTAGCTTGGTGTGTCCATAGATCGTATAGCTGCTGTAACTCCTCTCCGCACAAAGATTATCAAAGTCAATGCTACCCATTGTATACACAACAGAGCTGACATTGATGATACGACCAGGACCAGTCTTCTTTAACAAGTCTTTCAAGAATGAAACCAAAAAAATACTACATTGGGTATTTCTCTCAAAAATATTCTATATTAGTGTTTCAAGAACTTTCGTTGCGCAGGTGGTAGTCTAGATAGGCATTTACAAGATCTCTGTATATTCTGCAATTGGGCAGGTCCAAGCTATTTGGATTGTGACGTACAGGACATTCAGAGAATTTAAACAAGAAATAACAAAAGATGAAATTTTTTATATGGCTATCTTTTGGTATGAGTCTGTGGCTATTATGGGCTAGTTCATTTGTGGAAAGTTTTAGTTCTGACCAACTCTTTAATTAATTTTTAATGTAATTAATGTGCAGCGTCCCGTACGTCACGCAGCACATTAATTACATACAAAATTAATTAAAGAGTTGATCAGAACTAAAACTTTCCACAAATGAACTAGCCCATAATAGCCACAGTCCAATCCAAATAGCTTGGACCTGCCCAATTACACACAGTAGGTCTATATCTACTTCTACTTCTATGGTAATACTCATCAACGCTTGATCGACATCTAGATGAGGGTAGAGCATAGAGTTGTTATACAGCTCTATGCGGTACAGTTCCTGAAAAGGGAACTAAATTGTTTCAAGAGCCACCTTGAACTGCTCCAAAGAAGGCAGTTTGACGGTGATCTGAGGTAGCTCGTCCCAGTCCTTAAGTGTCCTTGGAAATAACTAAATTTGTAAGTGTCCATTGAAGAGCCTAGTCTCATATATCGTTGTTCTCCTCCTTTCAGTTCGCTCCCTCGATTTGAAGAAGCAGCCATCACACTTCCTTTTTCACACATTTCTTATTTCATACACATGCATATATCAGCAGTAACTGAATGCCACATTCCTTTTAGGCTACTAATAACATCAGTGGAATATATTGTGGTGTGGTTCATACACATGTACATATTAATGTACAAGTTTGTTTTCATTCCGCAGAATGAAATCAATTTTTAAAAATGAACTGAAAATTTAATTGGTGTACTTATTTCTTGTAAATACTTACCAAGTAGTAGGTTTGTTAAAAGAAATGGTCCAAAATGGTTTGTGGCATATGTCAATTCCAATCCATCCTCTGTTATCGTCTTTTTGGCAGGAGCTACCCAAAAGAAAGATAAAAAACCCATAGAAAAATAAAAATGAATGGAAGAAAACTACAATCTACAGCCAAATTCATCCAACTATGAAAAAGAATCAAGGCCTACCACTATTTTCAGACGAAATAAGTGCTTTCCTTACATATTTGCGTCAATTACACTAGGGGTCTACAAGGTACACACTATTCAAATTTCTTCAATCCTTTTTTTTATACATTAATTTGAACAAGATATCACTTGTAGAGTTAAAGATAGGCATACAAAAACCAGAATAACTCCTGTGAAGATGAAGAGTCTGTTTTAAGGACCCCACTAATTGGCACTATCTCAATGGAGCAATCATTCCTGTGTAGGGTCTTTCGATTTTTAAAAGCGCCCACTGCCTTTTGTGTTATAGGTAAATTTTTGAATTGGTAATAAAGAAGTATTGACAACAAAACTGTTAATTTAAGGTCATAAAATGACCCTCATATCCTTTCCATGGTCAAAATTGTTAAATGACTTGTTTGAATCTTGTAAGAGGTTGAATGGTTGAACAAAACAAATTGTTGGCAGAGAAGAATTAAAGCCCAATACTTACCAAGTATTCCAGCATTATTGATAAGGACATCTAGTCTGTGTTCCTCCTGCTTGAACTCCCTTACAAAGGTGCGTATAGACTGAAGTGAGGACAGGTCCAACTTCATCACCGAGATGTTCGAGTAGCCAGTAGCAGCGATGATTTCATCCCGAGTTGCAGCTCCCTTTTCAACATTACGGCAAGCAATGATGACCCTTGCCCTCTTTGCAGCAAGAAGTTTGACCGTTGCCTTTCCAATACCTGTTGCAAAAATACAAAGCCAAAATTTGATGGAAAGTGATGAAATTTGATGAAAATTTGAATAATGCAACATTGAAACGAAATCCCTTGTCTAGAAAAAGGATCTTGACCATAAAAATGTAGGAAAAATAGATTACAAAAGTCACTGGTCAAGTACACATCCTCTCTTCTTATTCAAGATAATCTGCCTCCTTCAATACTGAAGATTCTTGCAGATGCCGTATAAACTCGGCCTGATTGGGGTGTTCAGGTGGACCACTACACTGGGATTTCCCCCTAGGGCCTACTCTTTAATATTACAATGAGCTCTTAATATGCAAGGGTACTTGTGGCTCTTGATGTCATATCCGAGTGACACAGCGTTTCCCACTTATTAAACATAGCCTGCGCCTATGAAAAAGAGGAGGGGCACGTTAACACACAACGCAGGCTTCAGTCTTCCGCCTGGGTGGGATTCGAACCCGAGATCTTTGGTCCGACAGCCAGATGCTTTTACCGACTGAGCCAAATCGCCTCCTCTTTGAGTGAAACAAAATTCTTATTCTATCTAGGAATTATCAGCTAAAGACTAAAGTTCCATAGAATCAAATCAATTGTTAATAGCACACCCTTCCCACCGTCAAAGTGATAAAATCAAGTTTGATATTTTTCAACAAAAATAAAACTTATCATTTAAACTTTACAAGAACGAAAAAGCTCTCTTCTTCATTTTTAGTTCGATCTAGACCGAGATCTAGCCATATTTCTTAAAAGTTGCCCCTTGTTCATAGAACAAGGGAAAATTGTTGAAGAACCATCAGGGGCAGTTTTCCAAAAACAAATAATAACAACAACCCAGAGCTACCAAGTATCACGCATTAGGCGTGACATCACGCATTTCGAGGGTCTTGAAAAGCTCTCACGCACGATGCATGTGCTAGATTTTGAAAAAACGCTATACCTTATACGTGTGTTATACCCTCGCCCGCGCCGAATCATGCAAATGTCACGCATTGCTGATCTTTGAACTTGGCGTCTCCGACAACCATTTACACAAGTCACATAAGCTCAAACATGCAATGTTAATTTCATAATCATAATGCCTACGCCACGCCACGGAACCGTTACAATCAATTTAGATCTAGATTCTAGGTCTAGATCTAAGTAAATAACTTCAATCTTCGTAAATATTAATAATAATTTTTAATGTTTAAAAAGATCAACTGGGCTTAAAGGTAATATGTCCCATTTGCAGGCCAAAAAAATGAAAAAGTTAAATTCCAACTGCATTTGAAAGATAATGCTTATTTAGAACTTCCCTAAAAAAGTTTGGGCTTGAAGTTGAAAATGTCTTAAGTGGGAAAATAATTACTATTAGTTGTCAAATCGACTTTAGGGCTACAGTACAGAGCCCAAAAGTAATAGTCTTGATTTTCAGACAGTTGTCCCGAATGAAAGAAGAAAAAAAGCCAGTCAGTCACTCAATAGTGTCCGACAGTGAAGTCTAGCAAGTAAATGGGTTTCCTTGCATAATTTGAATATGAGGACACTGCTAACGTTTAAATTTCACAGATATGACATAGTCTAGATCTAGATCTACATGACATATTCATAATCATAATTCCTGCAAAGTTCTACAGAATTTGAGGCTGGCTGCAAAAGGGACATAGAGGTCTAACTTAGACATAGGGTCTAGACTACTAATAGTACTAGTATGTCTAGATCTAGATCTACCTTTAATAAGTTAATTTCTGATCATTTTTTTGTGGTGGGGTAGAACCTAGATCTATTCTAAAGTTGCTCCTATCATTTTTTTTTAAAGATAAGCGACATGTACAAAACATTTAACATGTAATATTTAGGCCCATTGTAAAGAGGTCTGTACTCAAAAGGAAGAAGAAGAAGAAGATCGGAGGCCAACCCAACTTCAAAAGTCCACTCGCGCTCGAAGCGCGCGCGGGCTTTGAAGAAGGTAGCGGGCACTGATGAGACTAGTCAGCCAAAAGTCACGGCGGCCCTGCTGTTTCACTTACCGTCGCTTCCACCAGTAACGAGTATTGTCCTTCCTTCCATTGTACAACCTTCAACTTGGGCAAATGTCTGAGTTACTCGGATGTACAGACGAATTGCAAGTGTCACAAACACCGTGACACCTACAATTGTCGTAATATTATCAATAAACACCATTTTAAAGTTGTTGATTCTTCAGTTCTTCAGGGCAGACAGTAAGGCTCAGCTAGCGCTCAGTCAGATCTGGCGCGTGCAATGAAAAGTAGATTTGTTTCAGCCGCAGCGGATATTATGTTTCGGATTAAGATGGTATGCCAGAAAGATTTAGGAAGACGCGCGACCACTCGCTATATCAATCGGACGTGAAGAGCTGATGATGGAAGATGATTGATATGATTCCAAGAAGATTTGATGAACAAATACCTATTCCTGCATTCTCTTCACTTAAATTATTGGTTGGTTCAAACTTCAGTAGTGCTCCCCCGGTTCAGTTAGATATGCCCTCCCCCCCCCCCCCCCCCCCCCCCCCCAAAAGAGAGATCATGTTGCATCATTATAGACTTCTCAGAATCTTGATAGTACATGTCTTAGGGCAAACAAAGAAAATGTATAGTACAAAAGAAGATATTTTTTCATATCTTGCAGCATGCACTTCAAAGTCAATTAAGTGATTTTGTTGGAAGGGGAAAAAATTTCATAGAAAGGAATTCCTAACAACAATTGAATACATATCAAACAATAAGAACATAACTGGACTTGCTATTAATGAAACTCAAACACAAACTAGTATATTGTTTCAAGCTTTTTAAGCTTGTATGTATCATTTATTGCGTATCTTGAAATAATCAAACCCAATGATTAAAGCTATATTCCTCACCGTCTTTTAAGGATAGTTTTTAGTAGGCCAAAATGAATCAAAGTTCTAATTACTTGCCACAGTTGACACATTCTTCATCAACATTTGGTCCATAAATTGGCAATAGACTAGCCAATTCTTAATGTTAACCCTAGACAAAACAGTTTAACTAACCCTCAACCCAAAGTCCCAAACCTACAGGTGTACCCAGGCGCGGATCCAGGATTTCTTATGGGGGGGGGGGGGGGGCCCACTTTTTTTTTTTTGGTCCGAAAAAAAATTGTAACGACTCAGCCAGCCGCTAAATAAGCGGGGGGGGGGGGGGAGAGGACACTTTTTTTGGGGGGTGAGGTCACCTTTTTTAGGTCAGCAATTGGCATCTTTTTTTTCTTTTTTTTTAAATTAAAAAAAAAAAAAAAAAAAATCACAGAAAAGGGGGGGGGGGGGGGTTGCTCCAAAATACACACATAAAAAACCGAAGGTCAACCCCCTAACCCCCTCCCCCCTTCCGTACGTGCCTACTCGTCTGAAAATAGTTTTTCCCCTCCCGCGCGAAGCTTTTACGTTTCATTAAATCATTAGAAAAAGAAGACGATTCGTTGTACAGTTTTTTTACTCTTAATCCTCGTCTTAATTCATCCCCCTCTCCCGCGCAAAGCTCGGAAGCCTTTACGTTTCATTAAATCATTAGAGAAAGAAGACGATTCGTTGTACCGTTCTCGACTCTTAATCCTCATCTGAATTCAGTTTTCCCCTCCTCCCTCCCGCGCGAAGCGCGGAAGCTTGTACGTTTCATTAAATCATTAGAGAAAGAAGACGATTCGTTGTACCGTTCTCGAAAATAATCCTCGTCTGAATACAGCTTTTACGTTTCATTGAATCATTAGCGAAATAAGACGATTCGTTGTACCGTTATGACGTTTAATCCTTGTCTAAATTCAGTTTCCCCCCTCCCACGCGAAGCGCGGAAGCTTTTACGTTTCATTAAATCAGTAAAGAAAGAAGACAATTCGTTGTACCGTTCTCGACTCTTAATCCTTGTCTAAATTCAGTTTTCCCCCCGCTTCGACGTTTCATTAAATTATTAGAGAATGAAGACGATTCGTTGTTCCGCTCTCGAAAATAATTTAGTTTTCCCCACCCGCGCGAAGCGCGGAAGCTTTTACTTTTCATTAAATCATTAGAGAAAGAGGAAGATTCGTCGTACCGTTCTCGACTCTTAATTCTTGTCTAAATCAATCCCCCCCTTCGACGTTTCATTAAATTATTATAGAAAGAAGACGATTCGTTGTACCGTTCCCAAAAATTATCCTCGTCTGAATTAAGTTCCCCCTGCCCTCCCCCGCGCGTAGCGCGAAAGCTTTGACGTTTCATTAATTCATTAGAGAAAGAAGACGATTCGTTGTACCGTTCTCGACTCTTAATCCTTGTCTGAATTTCAAATAATTATGTTCTTTGTCTATTCCCTTTTCTTCCTACGTCCTATTCCTTTACACTCCTCTCTTTTTTGGCCGGCGTTTATTGGGGGACCACCCCACCGCCCCCCTGGCTACGCGCCTGCTGTCAGATGAACATATGTTGATACCTTGTCCGCCCCGGAAGCTCAGGGGTTTAAGGTTTTAATTTACGGTCAGATTAGCATTCAGGGGTCCGCCTTAGCGCCCTAGACGGGGTCCAGGGGGCAGAGCCCCGGAAGTTCAGGAGTTTAGGCATTTAATTACGGTCAGATGAGCATTATTTTGATACCTAATTGTTACAATGGCAGGTCACTAATTGGCTTGGGGTTCAGAGGGCGGAGCCCCGGAATCTCAAGGGTTTTAGGCACTCAATTACGGTCAGATGAGTATCGAGGGGCCCGCCTAAGGGCTCTTGGTTGGGTCCAGGGGGCAGATCCCCCAGAAGCTCAGGGGTTTCAGGCGTTTAATTACGGTCAGATGAGCATTTTTGATACCTTATTATTTGTGACACTAGCAGGACACTATTTGGCGTGGGGTCCAGGGGGCAGAGCCCCCAGAAATCAGGGGTTTTAGGCATTAAATGACCGTCATAAGGGCCCGCCTTAGGGCCCTAGGTGGAATCCAGGGGGCAGAGCCTTTAGGATTTTAGGCATTAATTTTAATCATGGTCAGATGAGCATATTTTGATACCCCATTATAATGTGACACTGGCACTTAACATTTTTTTCCTCTTTCTCGCTCTCTTTCTTTCTATTTCTCTTTAATATACTTTTTCAAAGAAAGTTTTGGGGAGGGGCTCGAGGATCCCGATCCCCGCCGTTCCGCGGGCCCTGATATGTAGGCATCTCAAGAAGTATTTTCTTGCCTGGCTGTAAATTTAGGAATTTGTCATTTTCCAACAAATGCATGAAGTGAGGAAAATTATCTCATTTCAGCATTATTTGTTAACCACCGTTATGGAATTATAAATAAACCACGTTTGAATTCTATTTCTCCTACCCCCCCCCCCCTCCCCTATCAGTATGCCAGTGGCCCCCCCCCCCCTCCGATCTACACCTTGTTGGCGGGAAAATTGCAACTGATATCCCCCTTCTTTTCTTTTCTTCTTCCTATTTTGTCCTTCCCTTTATCTTTTTTCTTTCCCTTTCCTTCCTTCTCTTTTATTTTTTTTATTGGTGGGGGGGGGGGGGGAAGGAGGGAGGCAAGTCCTCCCCCCCCCCGATCTCCTTCTTCCCTCTTTTCTTTTCTTCTTCCTCTTCTTTTTTTCCCGTTCTCTCCTCTTTCCCTTCTTTTCCTTCTCTCTCTCTCCTTTTTTTTTTTTTTTTTTTTTTGCGGGGGGGGGGGGGGCCAAGGCACGCTCGGCCCCCCCCCCCTGGATCCGCGCCTGGGTGTACCCCCTCTAAAGTGTTGAGATCCCCAACAATTCGATTTGCAACAAAAGATTTTCCAAACAAATTTGTTTGAAGTCGAATATTGATGAAAGAATACAACATTTCTGTATTTCTGCATACAACAGAAAACTCAAATTATGTAAAGTTTATCAATATTTGTCTTCAAACCCATTGTTGGGGGCAATATTCGCAGAAGTGTGCATTAATGCTGCCTCTTTTACATTATGATACAATTTAAGTTAAATTTTGCAACCATTTTGAGAGCAAAAACATGTGTATAAATTTAGGATTCCCCTCTTTTGATTTTCAACCTGAATAATCAACTCAGAATATCGTGGCTAATTACCAGTAGCAATTTGTCTTTTGAATAGCTTATCCTTCATAATAACAAATGAATGTAAATGCAGCATTGTTTTAGATCAGTGGATATATAATTATGTATATTATATATATTATATACATTGTAGGCTTATGAATTTAAAAGAAAATATTATATCAATTTTTACGGAGATACATGTACTCTTCTTCGTCTTGGCTATACTCTTTAAATTAGCACCATATCATACCGGTACATGTACATAATATCTATTGAATTACACCAATTTGAGAATTGTTCTGTTAGAAATATCATTTTCATAAAACATCATTTCAGCTAGGTAACAATATCAGTATCATTTTAAGTTTAAAAATGTAATGCTTGACCATTATCTATAAGACATCACATTATTACAGCTAAAGCCAGGGTAATAATATGATTGCGAGCCCTTTGGAAGGACAGTACAAGCAGGGAGGTGAGACTTTAACTCACATGCCCTGGTACAAGTACTGATAAGATTAAAGTTTCGGACTACCCTGTGTAAATAAGATCAGAGTAGTAGCAGTAGTGTTTGTAAGAAGCAATAGTAGTAGTAGTGGTGTCACAGCCTTTACTTAATTAACTCCTTCATTCCAGTTGCCTATAGTTACAGATGGTGCAAGCTGAGATATGCCATAAGACATCAGACATGTCTAATAAAAGTTTTGTTTGCCTACATTAAACAATAAGCATAAGAGCAATATTTGATTCAGAAAGATATTTGTACATGTATGCATAGTCGACCTTTACAATGCAACTTTTTGAAATTCAATTGCTTCAATCAAACCAAATGGAACTCCATTGACCCTTTCGCGACAATCGTTCCAAATTTAGCTTAAAATAATTGTACATTGACCCCGTAGAGTAAATATTGTTTGATTGTTAAAAAGTTTAGTTAAGAGTTCATCATACCGGTGTTACTACATCTGTACATGCACATGCATAATTATTAGAAATTTTGTGTTCAAATATAAAAGGGTTAATTTTCAGGAATATTGACAAACAATGAATTGAAATGTTGAAAAAAGGGGGTACATGTACATGTATTTATATTTTCTTTTAAAGAGCACAAAATTTCACAAAATGGTCTTGGTCATATTTTTTTATCATGTGTTATACCTTTGAATGGGAATTAGTAACACCACTTGGCCTATCATTCAGATGCCTATAAAAACACTGCTTGGTTTATGAGATAGGAAACAGTACACACATCTTGCATGATTTGGGTTACATGAATGGCCCAAATCACTGAGAATATTGGTAGTTTCTAAATTGAATGGCACTGCATGCTCAATTAATCATAGATTAATTTTTTTTCATAATTTGCTTATTTGGCCCTCAAAGGGGACCAGGATGTTTGAAAGAGGCAATCTGCTTACATCTGGAATTCTAAGAGGTTTCTGATCTCCATTCACATCTACAAAGACATGAACACACTGTCCAACGGAGCACGCCATTTCATCATAACCATCAAAGCAACCTGCTTCGTTCTTTTCTAAGAGAACACCATCCACTGATAAAGACTCTGTGAGCTTGCTTCTCGCCTCTTTCTCCGCAAAAATGCCAACAGTGTACGTCACGCTGGAATTGCCCAGTTTGGTGACAGCCATACCAGCCAGAATAACTTCAGGAAAGTTGAGCGGCTTCCTGAACGTGCCTCTGGTGTCGACCATGAACCCGACGATGTTTGGCTCATCGGTGTTCTTCTTCGGGTGCCTGAAGCTGCAGTGTTTGTACAGGTAGTGGTTGATGACCGTGTCAAAGAAGGAGTAGTAGACAGCATTATTCACATGACCAAAACAGTCGGTGTCTAGAAACCTCGTCTGTATCGGAAGGAAATACTTGTAAAATCCTTGTTGCCATGGTGATGGCTCTGACCCTACAGGTATCTCTGCCTTAGAATCGCTCATGGTGCGTCTGTTAACACAGAAAAGGTTTGAAGATCGACCTTGGAAATGTAGACCTGGTAGGCAAAGGCTTCTAGTTACGGCAGGTCTACACTTATTCAATGATGCAAGGAGATTAACTGCACCTAACATGATGGGGTATATAGTTCTCTCTCGAACTCTCAGCTAAGTATCATACCTGTAGAGAAATAAAAAGGAAAAATAAGCAGTTACTGAGATATATTGAACACATTTTTAAAGGAGGGGGGTTAATATACATGCCTGACTGCAATTTAGCAATTCTTAGACGTACCCCTATAGAGCTAGGCTGCTGGGTAGAATATAACTCTGGGAAGCTCCAACACCTGCGATGCCGGTGTTGGAGCTTCCCGGAGTTAGGTAGAATATGGCTTGCCCTAAATTCTGCAGTAGAATTGTAGAAATATTTAAATATATATATACCATTTGCATACTGACTTTTAATGACAGGTGAATGAAATCAAGGCACGTACTTGCAATGATGTACATTGTACGGTATGCATTACTAATTACGAAAAAGGCCTAGACCTCTAGCTATTCTATATCAATTAGAAATCTACCTCTGGTAGCCGGGCCAAAAAATAATCTATTAATACATTTAAATTAATTTTGTGAGTGGCTCATTCACGAATATATACCTCGGTATCCAGGCATAATTAAAGGCTATTACTATAGACAGTATATTAGTACGGGATCTACAAGAGTACATCAAGAATTTACTATCCTTTCTCAGTAACGTTGCGTTGCAACTTGCATTAAAAATTGCAGTTTACTTGATTGCAATGCATGCACATACCGGTATAGAGTTAGACCGTCAGTCAAATTTGTCTGGTAACAAAACACACTCATCACTCAATCACTAGAGCAACTCTCTTTTATTAAATATCACACAAATTAGACTATGTCAAACTTTGCTATAGATCTACATCGAAATCCTGGGAATATACTCACACCAGCAAAGGGTCAAAGTTGTTAAGGCTGTTTATGTACATGTACTTGTTCCATGCATCCACACACGTCCACAGCTGAATTACATGTGCGTGGTTTTGGCATGTAAACAAACGACTTATCCGCGTTGAGTACGTGAAGAGGGACCTAGCAGCCGACGACCAGGCGGCACTGGCCTGGGCGCGCTGGGCAGCTAGCCTGAGCTTGAGTGCGGGTAGCTATGGAAGCAGGAGACCGTCAAAAACATGGATATACGTCGTGTCGTAATTCTAATTGCCACACTACCTAAATAATTACGTCGTGTAGTAATTCGAATTGCCACACTACCTAAATAATTACGTCGTGTCGTAATTCGAATTGCTACACGACGTAATTCCGAATTACTGCCCAACGATTTAACGTCATGACGTTAAATGAATTAACTACACGACGTTAAATAATTAAGGTCGTGTAGCAATTCAAATTGCTACACGACCTAAATAATTACGTCGTGTAGTAATTCGAATTGCCACACTACCTAAATAATTACGTCGTGTTGTAATTAATTACTGCTCAACGATTTAACGTCGTGTAGTTAAATCATTTAACGTCGTGTAGTTAATTCATTTAACGTCGTGTAGTTAAATCAACCAATGAGACCGTTCGTAATATATGCGATGCGAAGACCGGCCACTACTATAGCGCGCACGAACGCGCATCGTATACATAGTTTTGGCGCGCAAATATGATCTTCGCATCGCATACATTACGAAAGACCTCATTGGTTGATTTAACTACACGACGTTAAATGAATTAACTACACGACGTTAAATGATTTAACTACACGACGTTAAATCGTTGAGCAGTAATTAATTACAACACGACGTAATTATTTAGGTCGTGTGTTAATTCGAATTACGACACTACGTAATTATTTAGGTCGTGTAGTAATTTGAATTGCTACACGACCTTAATTATTTAACGTCGTGTAGTTAATTCATTTAACGTCATGACGTTAAATCGTTGGGCAGTAATTCGGAATTACGTCGTGTAGCAATTCGAATTACGACACGACGTAATTATTTAGGTAGTGTGGCAATTCGAATTACTACACGACGTAATTATTTAGGTAGTGTGGCAATTCGAATTACGACACGACGTATATCCATGTTTTTGACGGTCTCCTGCTTCCATAGGTAGCTGTACGCTGTTGCGTCGGCCCGCTGGACTCTGATCGGTGCTGGTACACTGTACAAACATGGTGCTGAGATCGAGAGATCGAGGCATCCATCCATCTATATGGTGCATGCATGCATCTACCGTACTTCGTACCTGTGTCAGACTTCGAGAGTTGTAGTACATGAGGAGTACACTCAGAACTCGATCGAGGCAGCTTAAAGGAGGGGGTAGCTGGGGAGATAAGTCTAAGAAGTTAGAGAGGAGGAAAGGAGGGAAGAGGGTTTTAGAGTAGATTGTGTTTTAATAGCAGAAAGACTTATGATTTCAATTCTGTTTTATAATATGTTGATAAATATTATTTGGCAGTCTATTTCTCGGAAGAAAAAAAAGCAATGCTTGTTAATTAGTTTTTGGGATGAAATAACTGTGCGTGTTGACTGCGAAAATATTTTCCTATTAATGATTGTGATATATTTTAAAGTCCTTTAAATTGTGAAATTATGTACAATGAATTATTTTATATTTATGTTCCTTTATCTAATGATAGTGATATTGCAGTTTTGTAAATAATATGTAATCTACGAGAAAGAATTGGAGTTTTGAGAGATAAACTATACTTAGAGAGAGTGAGAAAGAGAGAGAGAGAGAGAGAGAGAGAGAGAGAGAGAGAGAGAGAGAGAGAGAGAGGGAGAGAGAGAGAGATGAGACCCAATGGCATCTTATATAAGTCACCCTATTGTTAACATTCCTGAAATAGTATATATTTAAATACTTAAAATTTAAGCCGTTAAACAACACTGACGGTTTCCCAATGATTGCGGAATATGATATGCATGTGCTTAAAGATAAAGTGAGCACTCTTTTTTTTGTTTTGAATAATAATACTAATAATAATATAGAGTATTCTTAATGCGCCAACTTCCCTGTGCCCCCCCCCCCCCCCCTAGATCCGCCACTGCATGTTAGGAATAGCGGTCCTTAGTTAGTAACGGTCCTTATGACTAGCGAGGTTACCCCTTGTAAACGTTCACAAATTATTTTTCACCTCGATCTCCCCAGATCTCAACCTTTCATCATGATTTATCATCTCTGAGTTATTTGCGTCGCTTAACAAACGTTGTGCAAGTATTATAATTATTTTTAAAAGGGTAACATTAAAGAAAAATGATTAGGCCTATTATCATATCATTTTTTTACCTCCAAAATCACCGACAGATTCAAGAAAGCATCCAGGGAAGCATCATCCGACTGCAGGCGCGGATCCAGGATTTCTTAGGGGGGGGGGGGGGCCCAAATTTGAAATTTTGCGAGCCAAATATTGGTACGTAATGGTGACCAACAGTGACGTAATGCGGGGGGGGGGGTCGGTGCAGGGAGGGGCGAGTTTCCCCCTCCCTCCTCCGCGAAACGCGGAAGCTTTGACGTTTCATTAAAATATTAAAGAAAGAAGACGATTCGTTGTACCGTTTTCGAAAATAATCCTCGTCTGAATTTAGATTTTTCCCCTCCCGCGCGAAGCGCGGAAGCTTTTACGTTTCATTAAATCATTCGAGAAACAAGACGATTCGTTGTACAGTTCTCGACTCTTAATCCTCGTCTGAATTCAGTTTCCCCCTTCCGCGCGAAACGTGGAAGCTTTTACGATTCATTAAATCATTAGAGAAAGACGACGATTCGTTGTACCGTTCTCTTAATCCTTGTCTAAATTCATCCCCGCCCCCTCCCCCTCCTGCGCGAAGCGCGGAAGCTTTGGCGTTTCATTAAAATATTAAAGAAAGAAGACGATTCGTTGTACCGTTCTCGACTCTTAATCCTCGTCTGAATTCAGGTCCCCCCCTTTCGCGGAAGCTTTTAATTTTCATTAAATCATTAGAGAAAGAAGACGATTCGTTGTACTGTTTTCGAAAATAATCCTCGTCTGAATTTAGATTTTCCCCTCTTCCGCGCGAAGCGCGGAAGCTTTTACGTTTCATTAAATCATTCGAGAAACAAGACGATTCGTTGTACAGTTCTCGACTCTTAATCCTCGTCTGAATTCAGTTTTCCCCCTCCCGCGCGAAGCGTCAAAGCTTTTACGAATCCTTAAATCATTAAAGAAAGAAGACGATTCGTTGTACCGTTCTTGACTCTTAATCCTTGTCTAAATTCAGTCTCCCCCCTCCCCCTCCTGCGCGAAGCGCGGAAGCTTTGACGTTTCATTAAAATATTAAAGAATGAAGACGATTCGTTGTACCGTTCTCGACTCTTAATCCTTTCAGGTCCCCCCCTCCCGCGGAAGCTTTTAATTTTCATTAAATCATTAGAGAAAGAAGACGATTCGTTGTACCGTTCTCGAAAATAATCCACGTCGGAATTTAGTTCCCCCTCTATCCCGCGCGAAGCGCGGAAGCTTTTATGTTTCATTAAATCATTAAAGATTCGTATTATAGTTCTCGCCTCTGAATCCTCGTTTGAAAATAGGTTCCCCCCCCCCTCCCGCGCGCAAAGCGCGGAAGCTTTAACGTTTCATAAGATTAAGAGAGAAAGAAGACGATTTGCTGTACCGTTCTTGATTCTTAATCCTCGTCTGAATTTCAAAGATATCCTTTGTCTGCTCCCTTTTCTTCCTACGCCCCCCCCCCCCCCTGGCTACGTGCCTGCGGTCCGATAAACACATTTTGATACCTTGTCTGACCCCGGAAGCTCAGGGGTTTAAGGCAATAAATAACGGTCAGATAAGCATTCAGGGGCCCGCCTTAGGGCCCCTGGTGGGGTCGAGACGGCGGAGCCGGCCCGGAAGCTCAGGGGTTTTGGCGTTTAACTAAGGTCAGATGAGCATTTTTTTTTGTGACTCTGGCAGGACACTATTGGCGTGGGGTACAGGGGGCAGAGCCCCCAAAAATCAGGGGTTTTAGGCATTAAATTACCGTCAGATAAGCATCTATGGGCCCGCCGTAGGGCCCTATAGGTGGAGTCAAAGGGGGCAGAGCCTCCGGAAGCTTAGGGGTTTTAGGCATTTAATCCCGGTCAGATGAGCATATTTTGATGCCTCATTATTTTTTAACACTGGCAGTTAACTATTCTCTCTTTCTTGCTCTCATTCTTTTATTTCTCTTTAATATACTTTTTCAAAAAAAGTGTAGGGAGGGGGGGGGGGGGGGGGGGGGGGGGAGGGAGCTCGAGGCTCCTGATCCCTGCCGTACCTCGTGCCCTGACATGTAGGAATCTCAAGAATCATATTTCTTGCCTGGCTGTAAATTTAGGAATTTGTCATTTTCCAACAAACACATACAAACGTATAATTTACTAAAAAGTGAGGAAAAATTTCGGAAATTAAGTAATTTCAGCTTTATTTGTAATCCACCGTTGTGGAATTAGAAATAAACCACGTTTGAATTTGATTTCCCCCAAGCCCCCCCCCCCCTATCCGTACGCCAGTATCTCCTCTTTTCCTTTTTTCTTCCCTTTCCTTCCTACTCTCTTATTTTTTTGATTGGGGGGGGGGGGGGGGGGGTCAACAGCCTGGGAGGCAAGGCTCTTTCGCCCCCCCCCCGATCTCCTTCTTTCCCCTTTTCTTTTTTTCTTCCTCTTTTTTCTTTCCCTTTCTCTCCTCTTTCCCTTTCCCTTCTTTTCTTTCTCTCTCTCTTTTTTTTTTTTTTTTTTTTTTTTGCGGGGGGGGGGGGCAAGGCCCGCTCGGCCCCCCCTGGATCCGCGCCTGTCCGACTGACCCCCCCCCCACCCCACCCCTCCTCGCCAATGACTCCTTTATAGCGCTTAGAGAGACCTCGGTGGTAAGCGCTTTATAAGCACCGTTTTTATTATTATTATTATTATTTATCTGCTCCTGAAAAGGGGGACTAAATTATATTTGGGCAATTCTCGTGCAAATGGGGCAAACTTACTTGATAACTGGAAGAAGTAGAATTAAAAGAAGAAGATGAAGAATGAGAAAGAAAAACACGATTAATCATAATTTTACAAAGGCAGTTCAAATGTCCTTTATAAGTAAAGTCGGGCCTGGGCCTACCCCTCCCCCCATGGTCTGGGATAGGATAGGCCCTATATTATATCCCCTGAAAATATAGGAGGGTTATACCCTAGCTATATTTGGGCTTATAAAATATGTTCCAACTTGTTAACCCTTAAGGGTGTATCTCACTGAGCGGCGAATGCCTACGAACGTTGCGAATTTGGATTCGCAATTACGATTGGCTAATTGTTGCTAATCTGCGCAAAAACTGAAATCAGGGTTCGCCTCTTAACGCTTGCAACTGTTTGCGTAAAAATAATTTCAATGAAATGAAATCTGTTTGCGAACTTTCTTGCAACATTTTAGAAACCTTTTGCCTTGGCGAAACCCCAAATTTGCTACTGTTCGCATGCATACCCCCTTTTGACGACTTCGGCCCCCTTCCCTGAAGCAAACAGAACTCGTGAATAATTGACCTCCTCCCCTCCCCCTCCCCTCCCTCCCCCTTCCTCGCCCTCCCCTTCCCTTCCTCCCCCTCCCTCCCCCTCCCTCCCCTCCCTCCCCCTCCCTCCCCTCCCTCCCCTCCCTCCCCCTCCCTCCCCCTCCCTCCCCCCCCCCCCTCCCCCTCCCCCTCCCCCTTCCCCTCCATGATCAAAATAGGCGCGCGAACTCTTGTTTTCCTTTTTTATTATCAACTGAACTCTACCGTACCAAGTAATATCGTATAATTAAAAAGTTGATGTCGGCAATCTCGAATGAAATCTTGTCGTTCAACGAAAACAACGTGGCCTCTGTTTTGCATCAGTAAGATACAGCTTATAAACTACGTTAAGTATATCGTTTAAAATAGTTTGTGTGGTATGTGATACTGATAGCACTGTTTGGGCACTGTTTGTGTTTGTAGTTTGGGAGCAATGCGCGCGGCTAGTGTGATGTTGACGGGCTACCCAGCGGCATCATGCCGCTCGCTGTGTCCGGAGAGCTCCCCCGCAGGAGTGCAGACGCTTCGCTTCGGCTTTTAATAGGCGCACTGCACTCGAGCTTCCAAATTCGGAAGTGTTCATGTTAATATTGTAAATATTTCCGAGTTTTACGAAACCAACTCCATGACACTTGACAGTATACAGTCATATCTTTGTCTGTGACCTACACGCTACATGTCGGCAACCTGTGTGTTCTTGTCGTTAATTAATAATCTACCGCATGAAGAACTTTACTTTGGGCGCTTGTTCAAAAGCCTATCCAAAATTTGACCCGTAACTCCTGCGTGGAGGTACCCTACTAAAACATACCTTGCCCGAAATGAAGTAAATAATCAAAAGCCTATCCAAAATTTGACCCGTAACTCCTGCGTGGAGATACCCTACTAAAACATACCTTGCCCGAAATGAAGTAAATATTCATTAAATGTCCAAATAAAGATCATGAGTTAAAAGTCGTTCGGAAAAACATTGATATCAGTACTTTTTGACAGGTTTCACAGCAAATGGCTGCACAATACAAGTGCATACCGATGGTGGGTTGCGGGCGGGCGCGTGAGCGCCTGTGTGAAGTTATCTACCATAATGAAGATCTGAAACATGTACTGCACAAATGATACAAACATACAATTTGCATGAAAATATGTGTACTGAAAAGCATTTATTATTCATATTAATATTGATTCAAGTGAGGAAATTAACGCTAAGAGTCAGATTTTGCGATTAACGAATCAAACTTTGCAAGTAGAGGCTAATCATGAGTAAGTTAATCATGATTAGGCATAACTGAGTCATATCCATAATCCAATCGAAAGAAGACCCTGATTTTATAAGAAAATAATGAAAACAAGATATTTTATGACTCACAGTTGTATTATGATCTTTTAATATAACATGTTTATAAATCAAATACTATAGTTACATGTGATATGATTTGTATCAAAAACATGCTTGAAAATGGGAAATGTCTAGAGAAAAAGTACCTACACGCCCTGATTTGTGCTCTATAAAATATCCAATATATCATTATTAATATTGTCATTATTACATTTCTTGCGAGGAGGGGGGGGGGGGGGGGGTGCAAGAGATAGAGAGTCCATCTAATGTGAACCAGACACCCAAGTTGGTGTACTTGAGGCATCTTCATCTTATTTTAATTGTACCATGTTGTGTCTGCCTGCTGTGTAGCCTAGCTGTAATTCTTCCAAACTAGAGAGATTCTGTGCAATTTGTGTCTCATACAAAATAGACCATAGTCTATGTCCTTTTCCCACATTTCAATTAAAAAACATAAAGAGTTTCTTGATATGACCATTGAATATTGTTGCTTTGTAAAATCAAGAGATTTCTCATTCATGGATAAATATTTGGATAAAGATTTGGATCATTTTTCTTTTATTCTACATACTAATGATATAATAATCTTTCTAAAATCAGGTATTGACCGATCTGATGCCTAAGGAACAGTACTCCTAACAGGATGACAGAACAAAACGGAAGACGCGGTGGCAGAGGAGATGGAGCTAGCCAAGAATCAGATATCAATGAGAGACGTGAACTCAGAAGAGATTACAGAGAATTGATTGCTGAAACAAAAAGTAAGCACTATGTCCTAATGTTTGATTATAATTCACCCCACTTTTGCTTTCATCTGGGTGAAGCAGTTTGATAAAGATTACTATAAAGAACCATATTTTTTGTCAATTTATGCATTTCGGTGATCCTTTGTGTATTTGGAAGAAATGAAGAAACTTTATAGCCAGGATATGTGTTCCAGACCTCATTTGTATTTTCTACCTAAAAAGAAAAGCTAAACTCAATCAAGTCTGACTTATATTTGGATAGACTACCGTAATCAATAATTTATGCATACACCATTTTTAGACACCTTTTTTAGAGACGTGCCTGTAGATGACTGGAAGACTTAAACCGCATGGGTTTGGTTCCCGCTATGAAGAAATTAGTTTCCCGGACCTAATGCCTGCCTCACTTGGTTATGGCACAAAAATTATGCAGAGATTGACTGTAGGATTTCACTGTGCGTTAAGCTTCAATTAAATCACTTACCATCCTTCAATTACATTTACTTTCTTACCATTTGTTTTGATTGGCTTGATAAATGGGATGTCCAAATGCCTAAATGGTATGAAATAGTAATGATCTGGATTTACATAGAGCTTAATACGAAATACCATCTCTAGCTGTATTATTACCCTGGTCATCAGATTCATTCACGCACAATGGGCACAATTCCACTCCATGGGGAGTATTCCTACCATATGGTCACCTTACGGGTATAGGCAATTACCAACACAAAGTCTTTCGTCATCCCATCAGGTCCGCATTTCTCTCCTGGGTATGGAGATTAATGCCCCAAAACATAAGTCAGGGATAAAACCAACAACCTTTGAATTTCAAGTCAAATGCTTAAACCACTCAACCATGACACCTCTATGTCATGAAACCAAGTTCTGTCAATTCTCATCTGACTTCATTTTACAGGAGAAAGTTCTGAGCTGGTCAGACCTGATTCTGATGGCCTTGGGAACCTTTTAGAGAGAAGCGATGAACTCTTTGGTCAAGGTGAGTATTAACCCTTTAGATGCTGCAAATTTTCAATACTGTGAAACTCATATTAAAGAGCTCTGATATATTAATGAGGTGTCAGGGGGGTGTTTCACAAAATTCAAATATTTTAGAACTTTCATAAATTCCACATTAAGAACATGAAATCTCCTTGATAATAGAAATATGAATGATTTGAATCAACATTTTATGCCTTTAAAAAAACTTTAACAAATATTTTCAAAGATGTTAACGGCTTTCCGTAATTGTTAAGTCCAACTTAGAGATAAGTTCAACTTAAGATCTTTGTGAAACACCCCCCCCCCTGATTTACAAGGTGATTTAGCTGGTCCAAGTTTTGCATATCCTTTTGCAGTTTACCCTGATATAATAAAATTCCTTACATAACAAGGTAATTACCATGGTTCCAAGGACCTCATTACAATGAGATTGTATCCCGTACGACAAATCTCACTATCGTAAAGAGTAAAAAGCTAAATTCTTTTGGATAGCCTCATTGGCTGAAATGAAGGAAATCCAGAAGAATGTCTCGTGGGTTTTTTTTCTAAGTTGGAGTGGACAATATACTATAGTTATCTTGAGCTACCTGCATTTTTTTTTATGTTTGAGCTTTTTATTAACATAAATTGTTTCAAATTTTTCATAATCATAGCATGGTTATTCAAAATTTAAAAAAAAATGTGTTTTTAAACCATCTCTGTGGAATAGCCTAATGGAATAATTTTGTTATTCATTTATACCTGCTAGTTCTTTGTGATATAATTATAATCTACAATTTTGTTAATAATCTGTTCTTGTCCCAGTCATCAAATTACCTAACAGGGCCCCAACCGTGGAAGCAGTCTTAGATGCTCAGTTCTTGATGGCAGCTTCCAGCCTAGGCTGCCAGAAGGCCAAGAAGATCCATGTTGACAACAAGTTTGACCCCAAAGATTTTGTTCAGAAGCTGGTAATTAATTCACATTGACTATATCTTAGGCAGCAAATTTCTTTTGCAAAAATGTAATATTCTGAATTTCAGCACATTTTTTGTTGTAGTTGTTGTTGGTAGAAACTGAAATTCTAAAGAAGAAAAAAAGTTAGTTGGAAATTAGCAAAAAAGTTGCTTAGTTTTAAGGAATAATTGCGTTAAAGGCATTGTTTAAAGATGTTTCCAGTTGTGCAAATCTGAGATGCATGGCCCGATGTGTTATCAGTGTCTGTGATATGTGTAATATTGAAACACTAAAAAAAAATTGTGCTTCAAAATGATCATTAAGTACTTAAAAAATGTAAAAATCTTTGAGTGACTGGTTTTACCATACTTATTTTCCCCCAATAGACTGTTGTGTTATAAAAGAACGTTTTTACTGAGGTACTAGTAACTTAAATTTTGTTATTTTCGCTAGTCAGCCTGATATAGATAATAATAATAATGTTGTATGTCTTTGTTTTCGTGTGATACAACAATATATTGCTCTCGCTATGATAATATTGGACTTGTCTACGAATCGTTCAATGTTGTCATAGCTTGAGCAATATATTCTTGTATCACACTTCAAGCAATCCAATATTATATAACTATTATAATTTCTTGTACAGATATCTTTCATGGAATGTAGAAGATTGGGCATTGAGGATAGTGAGATAGAGGAGGAACACTGGGCGACTCTAGGCAGAGGTGCAGCACCAGCTTTCCGTAGTGCCTGCAGCTTTCAGTTCATGTAAGTTCGACGAGTGAAAGCAGTTGCTATTACATTTTAACAGAAACCATATAATCTCAATATGTAAAAACCCTATTTTGAAGATGTTGTTTTTAAAATTTTAACCGCAGTGTTGAATTATTTGCCCTCAAACATAAGAAGATTGAGAAGTAAAGTCCTTCATGTCTGCCTTACAGTTCTAGGACACCTACTCCCTGGACATCCACCCCTGGATAACCACCCCCAGTCAACTACCCTCTAGGACAACCACCCTCTAGGACGACTATCCCCCAGGACAACTAACCCCGGACAACTATCCCCCAGACAACTACCTCCTAGGACAACTACCCCCAGACAACTCCCTCCCGGACAGCTACCCCCTAGGACAACGACCCCCCCCCCCCAGACAACTACCCTCTGTGACAACTATCCTCTAGGACAACTACCCCCCAGACAACTATCTAGAGGAAAATCTACGCTCCTATAGTTTTTTGGGATGCCGCCACCTGTGTTCGTCTGTTGTACGGTCAAAGGTCATATTTGGTGGGTGTCTAGTGTGCGCTCTACTGGTCATATTTCATGACGGATTTCTTTCAAATTTTTGGTATGGAGATGTACCCTGGTACAATCTACACATTACACTTTTGGGCAATGTTGCTCTCATTGTTCCGTCCTTTAAAGACCGTCAATACTACTGGGCCAGAAGGGATAAGCCCACACAGTGAGGTCAACTGACAGGTGGCTATCTCATTAACTCAGCTCTCAACTAACATAAGAAAAAGGTAGATCATGGGGGACCAATAGGCACCGATTGGGAAGTTTTCTATATAGAGGGAGAAAGTAGCCACAAGTAGGACAGTGGGGCTTTAATGTGATCTAACTGCCCCATTTCTTGACGGATTTCTTTCAAATTTTGTATGGAGGTGTGTCTTAGTAAAATCTACATGCCTATTTTTTTGTGGTACCCCCAGTGCTCATTTTATAGGTTCAGGTCATATTTTGGTGGAATTTTCTGTGCCCTGCAGGCCACATTTCTTAATGGATTTCTTTCAAATGTACATTATAGTCAAATCTACACACATATAATTTTTGGTGATGCTGCCCCTAGTGTTTCATCTTTTATAGGGTCAAAGGTCGTATTTTAGAAGATATCTTGTTTCGCTCTGGAGGTCACATTTCTTGACACATTTCTTTCAAATTTCCTATAGAGATGCATTAAACTGTAATCTACACACACATATTGTTTTGGTGATGCTGCTCCTAGTCTTGACAATAGTCCGAGCCACTAATGGCGATCTCTACCTCATCCTTTTGTTTCAGGGAGGGGCGAGGGGATCTTTGTTCCTTCTTCAAACATAAGGATGACACAAAAATCGCTGCCAGTGTTGGGGGATACATTGAATTTGGCATTGCGCGGCGATAGAGATTGCAATATTTCTAATTTTGTTATGCTTGCACCCCTCTATTTAGGCTTGGCACATTTGAACGAGAACCGCCTAGAAAAGCAGCTAGGAAAACCAAAGATGCCAATGCAGAGGAGCAAGCAGGCCCTGCAATTGTTGCTAAACAGGTAAGTCATATCCCTTTATCTCTGTCTCAGGCTGTCCCCTTGTCGCCCATTTGTGAGTATTTTTATGCATGACCATACATCGATTTTACCAGGAATTCATCTGTCTGTGGTGTTCAACTTAAACCAGTGTTCAGAGCATGAAAAGAAGCATTCTAAAATACCTAGATACATTTTGTTGGACCTTTTTAAGACAGCATTATGTACATATAGAAATGTAGGACATTTCCTAGATGCCAATCCAGAGGCATCCAAAATAGACGTAGGGTCTTAAGGAGTAGAATTTCTTGACTGACTATTGCCACTTGTCTTGACTCTTGTTCGAAAAAGGGTACCCACGACATCAAGTAAAGGAGAATGACAGTTTTGTTTGATATATTGAGGGGTCAGTGACACAAAGACGTAACTCCATTTTAGCCATTTTGAGAAAAAGTGGTTCATGTGTCACTGAGCACTTAAGGAGTTAAGTCTATGTTTCTCTAGCCATTTACTTCAATGGGGTGTTAGGTGGAGTTAGTCTTTGTGTTTCCTGAAAAGGCCACATTTTCTGAACATTTTGATATCAAATACACATTTTGGCAAAATATGGGGTTACGTCTTTGTGTCACTGAACCCTCGATATAATATTTGTGTATATGGTATGGGAAAATGTCTGAATGAGTATGACGGTACATGTTACCTACCCCTCTTCCTGCTGAACTCGAGCCTGCTTTGTGCTTGCCTTTCGTTTCAAAGCTCAAATCCAAGGACAAGGATAAGACTCCAACAGAAGTGACGTCAGAGGAAGTGGAGAAGATGGTAGCCATTCTACACCAAGTTTGTAAAACAAGGGGAGACGGCACCTACGTGCCGATCTCTTACTTCGACCTGGTCATCAATCCTGAATCGTTTAGCCAAACGGTGGAGAACATCTTCCACTTGTCCTTTCTGCTTAAGGTACGTCTGTTCACAGTGCTGATCTTTCCTTACTATCGGCTTTAGTTCAAAGAAATGGGTTGGGGCTTGGATAAAATTGGGGGTTTCATTGAGGGTTTATGTTGGGCTGAAGTGTTTGGGTTGGGTTACATATCATACTGGATTCATGGTTAAAAGTATGAAATCAGCTAGTGATAAAAATTGTCTTGTTTGGAACCAGAAGGGAATTAACTTGTATACTTTAACAAAGATTAAACATCCTTCTGGCTCTGAACAGATGAAATCATCTTTGAAGCATCTCACACCTATTAAAATCACAGACCTTAAAGGGAGATGGACATCAGTTACCACGTGCAGTAGGTCATAATTCGCTGAATTGGTGGAATACCATTAATGAGTGTACAAGTCTCGCAAACAGCAAACCCATCCCATCAACAAATACCCCTCGCTCTCTTTGACAGTCTTTGCTTGAGGGGATTGTAAGATAATGTAAATGAATTTTCAACATGGGGCGATTGGTGGAAAATGCAGAGCATTATATAAGGTCTGCTGGTCAAACTGAAAGCTAATCCTGGTGTTTGACAACGCCTGTTATTGGGTAAACACCCGAATGGTTTCGAATCCCCCTTAGAGGCCACTACTATGTGCCTTTAATCCTAAAGCTGTACAAAATCAGATGTTCAAGCAAGGAGACATGACTTTAACAATTCTGCAATGATGAGCTAAAGATAAATGTATCTTTCCTTTGTACCTTCAGGACGGCCATGCTAAGGTGTACCTGGACAATGATGATCTACCAGTCATAGTACCTTGTACGCCTTTCAATGAGGAGCAGGAACACGAGCGGGTCACCAAGAAACAGGTCTTGGTCTCGATTGACATGGACCAGTGGAAAGTAAGGAACTAGTCCCTCCCTTAATAGGTTTTAAGAAGCTTGCCTCACAGCAAGCAAATGCTTTAATACCAAGACAAATAATGTATAATTTCTTACTGATTGTGGAAAAAAATGAATTTCTCAAAATTTATTTAATCTGCCATTCTTTTTATTTTTTCCTAGTTTTTGTCAAAATTTGATAAGGAAAGCGACCCTGAGATGAAATAGCTTTGCCGTAGTAAAATTAGACAAATTAGGAAAGCAGATTTATAGTCAGATGTTATGAAAATAAATTTGAGAAATTTTAATTATTCTGGGCTCTTGACATGAGGCTCTGAGATATGAAAGAAGGTTTGCTGGTCAACCATGTTGCACCAAATGCAACAGCTGCAAGTAAGCCGAGCAATGTGTCTTGTTGGGACCTTCCAGGTCCTTCCCCTCAAGAGCAATTAGGGTTTAAGTACCAAAAACTTGAATTGATGATAAATGATTATGTATACTTACACAAATTGCACTCAAGTTGTTTCAAAATTGTTGTTTTCTTTGAAATAAACTTTTACCTGTGCTCAAACTAAATAATAGGTAGTATACTTGTAATATTGGTATGTGTTCATGAATTGCTGCCCAAAAACTGCTAGAAAAACTCATTATTCACCATGTTTTTCTTTATTTTTGTCAGGAGCTGATCGAAGTGTTCGATATTAACGACCCCCTCATTCCGACAAGACCTGAACCTCCTCACAGCAATGGGAATATGTAGTCATCGCCGAGACTACAGTGCGTGCTGTCTTTGTGATTCAGAGCGCGGTGGGGGCATAGATATACAGACTCTCTCCATTGATGTGTACTTTAAGACATGTTAGTTGTGCTCGATGAGCAAGTCATAGCCTTCCGGTGGAAGCTGCTATTACGCAGCTTTGGGAAGATAAATATGGACAAGGATTCTTTAGATCACAGGATGTGCCAAGTGTTGTGCTGACTATAGAAAAATGAACTAGTATTCTTTTGAAGGTGCATATACATGGTAAATCATATCGATGATGGACACACTTTAGTGGCAAAGATTGTAGAGACGGTGGCGTTGAAGTTCCTATGATCATGACGTACACAGCTCGCTTTCATCATACTCTGGAATTCCCAGACTTCTGTGAGCGCACATTGAGCTATCGAGACGTCAACAAACTTTCAGGCCTCTGCTTGGCCACCATTCTATTCTGTACATTCCAACTATGTATTGCACATTAAATTTAAAGAGAAAGTTGAGTTCTGGGAAGAGGTGAAAAATTATTTGTGAGCATTATCATTGTTATTATGCAAGTGTGGAAGAACATCAGATAAAACATGTTCCCTGAAAAGCATGGCTCTTCAAACGCCTTCATATTCTAAATATGTCATTTAAAAAATCAGGACAGACTTTTTACGCCACATGTTGAATGTTTGTGTAGTCCCGTATACATCTTTCTGTGTAAAGTGTTTGTAACTTTACCAAGACTTTGCCAAATTTCTTATCATTTTGATGATTCCAGAACCTTGCAATAAACACAAATACTTACATGCTAGATGATCAACCTTTTCAGGTCGATTCCACACCGTTTCTTTCACAATGCAATCGCATGACTCAACTTCATCTTTAAGCTTTTATCTAGGAGAGTGTGCTAATTTGCCAAACATTTAAGAGATCTTAGAATGGAAGGGGCAATATGACAGCCTTATCAGTCATGAGCATGGAATTTACAGGAGATATCAGGACTCAGAAGATTGTAGTATGTTCTCTACACAAGTCCACGATGTTCATCCTGTAACAGTGAAAAAGGAGAGCGGATTGAGCTCTGCACCTTCCTGGAACACCACAGACCTCCAAATGTGGACCCCTTACGGTTGATCCTCCTCTGTTTTATCAGTACTGTGTCTTTTGGCTTGTATCCATAAAGGTAGACTGTGTTAAACCTGGCTATTAACCAACTCCTCAGATTAAAGGTAATACAAAGTTTTGGTATGGGGTCATGAATTTGGTTCAAATTAACATATTGGAAGCATATGCTACCCTACAATATTCACTGATCGTTGTCGCGTTCGAAATCGACTGTAAAGTTATGAAATTGTACATAATAAACACTTTATGTTGTATAGCTCCCTCTCAAGGTCAAGATATTAATTAAGCTATACAACAATGTTTCTTGACTAAAATCGACCGATTAGCTATTCCCGTTCGGAAATTATATACCACAACTACATATTCTGATATTTTCATGGTCGCAGCTACCATTGTATGGCCGTAGGAGCTATTTGAAATTTATAAAAATTTACCGGGAGCACCGGTAAATCTTTATATTAAATTTTTCTCGAAAGCAGAAGTGTTTTAGGGGCTAAAGATTCTAGTGTTTTTAATACATCCACAGGAGCATCCAAATATATCAAAATTGTAAAGAATCACTATCCACCCATTTTTCAAAATTTCCGAAACTTTGTAATACCTTTAATGGAGTGCAAAGTGTCAAGCTCTTTAATAAATATGTATGAATTACTGAAATTTTCTGTGAAGTCTCATTCACTGTGTCCCTAAGGACGTCGGCTCCACAAATATATTCAAACCATTTTTTCCTATCTTGAGCAATTCTATATGCCTACTAGGATGTCACTTTCCCCATCTCTTATGACGCGGAACCATAGTGGATTTGAAGAACTTAAAAGTGTAATATGCTTCACATTTCTGTATCTTATAACACAGAGCTCAGTGACTTCGCGAAAGTCCTGTGTTGCACTCAGCTATCATTCATATACACGTTAAGAAGAGATGGCAGCTTTTTTAGCGACGGCTTACTGCGCCATAACTGAACTTGCCTTAAGAATATGATGAACAAAATGAATCCTTTCATGAAGTCAAAGTGAGAATTTGATTTCATGTTAACATGAAATGTCCATGTTCATGTAAATGCAAAATGACAGTAATTTTTTTAGTTGGATGAGGAAGTTTGCTCTAAGTGCTCAATAAATCACTGGACTATTAAAATCTGCTGAATTTCAGACATGAACTAAACATAGTACACTTCTTGAATACGGACCTCTTTCCGTTTCAAGTACTGTCTATATAGGATCACTGAATACAACAAGAACAGATAAAGATTTATTTTCTTCATGCTTTTGTTTTAATTTTGGAGTCATGTAGACTGATCTCTGTGCTATGTTTCTGAACTATATTATCATTGTTTAAACATGTATGTAAATGTACATATTATTTATTACAAGTAGTACTGTAGTGTGTATTATCAGGTGTTAGTTTCAACCATTTATCAACCTTTTATTGTATTTGTACAGATATTTCTTTAAGCTTTCTGCTGAAGGGATTTGTGTTTCCAATATCTTTGAAGAGAAACAATTTTTGTTTCAACGTGTACAAACATTCACATGCAGCTGTTTTACCAAGGAAAAAAGAGTAAATATATCATGAACATCGTATTGCTTCAGCTCATTTAGCTACGTTAGATCTTTCATGTATGTGTCGTAGTATATGGATTTAGTTTATGTATGATCATTGCAAATGCCTTCTTTGCCAAATCTTTATGGGAACATGTTAGAATAGAAGTATTGTGTTACATGAATTCACTTTTCAGTTCATGACTATACATGTAGGTTAGAAAAGACCATGGGCAAACCTACTATAAAAGTATATTTCAACATCCATTTCAGACAGGTCCTTTGCCTGTTACATTCAGTTTTAGCTGGAATGTATTGTCATTATCTACATGAAAGTACTTGTATCACATGTATGTAAATATGCCTCAATACAACAGTAAGATTTCAAAAACTCTTGTTATTTTGCTTCTATCATATTCTGATTCTATCACAGACAAATTTTACACACAAGTCAATGCAGTTTACAGGGGAAATTAAAGTAAATTCATCTACGGTATCTACCCCATTTGGTACAATAGGTCCAGTAGTCAGATTTTACCGTAGACTAAATGAACTCTTTTCAGAAAAAAAAAGGTTTTACTTTGAAAAAAGTACCGTAATATACTTTGGACAGATCATGTATGTGTCTTACCAATATCTGTATTTAAATATATATTTGTTGGATGGAATACCTTTAAAAGTTTAATAGAATTATTATGGGAGGATAACTACAGGTTTTGATCTAATGATCATTCAATGTATATTGAGCAAAAGTTAACAATAAAGTATTTTAGAAATAATTATGACTACATGAAATAGAAGTACATGTATGTCATTGTAATAGGCCATTTTCGCAATGAACAACATTTATGCATATGCCTTTGTGAATTATTTCATTCACCTGTTACGAATAAATGTATCTTAATAGTCAGAATTCAAATTTCATACATTAGTTGCTACGTAGGAAAAACTATATGGCTTGCATGCCCTAACTAGCAACATGTAATACAGGTATGTATATGCAATTTGCATTCTGTCTATTGAAATACATGTACAATTATTCGTAACAGGTGAATGAAATGAACTGTAATTGTTATCAGTGGACTCAAGTATAAATTTGGTTACATTACAAAAAAGGGCCTATTATGTTCTCCGATTCAGATAATATGAAATGTCTTCTGCCAAGTTGGAATCTTTACTAGTAAAATCCAGATGCATGTTCTTAATTCACTGTGACAAAAACCTTCAGAATGTAAACTCTTTATCCTAGATTTGAGGCCCATTTTGTCTTTTCATCTGTCATTCTTTTCTGTTTCTTTTTTAAAGTTTATCATGATAAGTGGGGCTCGGTCTTCCAATGACAAAACAGTACTTTAACTTTAATACATGTAATAAGAAAGTATATATCTGTTTACTTTTATGTGCCTTTTTCACATGTAAATACAACTTGTACAAATGTTAAGAAGAAACACGGATGTAAATGTGCACGTAAAGAGCAAAATATACTGTGATTTTCAAGAAAAGTAACCTTTGCACATGTGTTTAGACTATTTATTTCATTTGATGAGTGAAGGAATATCTTTTCAGAATACATGTATGCATTGTGATCTAGACCAGCATTTTTTGACTGGGGGAGTGTCGTGAGAGAAATTTAGTTAAAGGTACTATGTCCCTTTTGCAGCCAACCTCAAATTCTGTAGAACTTTGCAGGAATTATGAATATGTCATGTATGTCCTATCTGTGAAATTTAAACGTTAGCAGTGTCCTAAATATTCAAATTATGCAAGGAAACCCGTTTACTTGCTAGACTTCACTGTCAGACACTATTGAGTGACTGACTGGCTTTTTTTCTTCTTTGGTAATAACAAACATGAAAAGAGTTGTAAAGGGTACCTGAGCATTTGTCTACATCAATAACCCACTTCTTGTGATGGCCAAGATTAAACTGATTGATTGCGCAGCATAAAACGTATGACCATTTGGTACAATTGTCTGAAAATCAAGACTATTACTTTTGGGCTCTATAGCCCTAAAGTCGATTTGACAACTAATAGTCGTTATTTTCCCACTTGAAGACATTTTCAAGCCCCACCTTTTTTAGGTAAGTTCTAAATTAGTATTATCTTTCAAATGCAGTTGGAATTTAACTTTTTCATTTTTTTGGCCTGCAAATGGGACATAGCACCTTTAAATTAAACAAAAATAATTTTGGAATAACGTTGATTTCATGAGGGAAACAAAAATCAGGAACTAGCTGACAGAGTAGGTAATTTCAAGAGGAAATGGCATTTTAAAGATGATAAAGTGTCTTTCTTCCTCGTTCACTATGCTAGCTGGCAACATTTTGACAGCGAGTTGCCTGAATATATCTTTTATTTCAAAATTAAATTTTTACCACGCTTGTAACATTTAGATACAGGATACCAAACGTCGTGTATCGAGGCCACCTGGGGTTTTATATGTCTGGCAAGCCTGTGGAAAGCTTTCAAGTTAATAGAAACCTTTGTTCACAAAGCATGCATAATATTTAATAGTGAACAGGTCTATTCAGGAGTAAGTAAAAGAAAATGGATCATCTTTAATCATCAACAAAATAGAAAATTAATGTTAACTCCAATAACACACAACACATACAATTATTGTAGAATGTATACATATAAAATGTTTATTCTCTCATCATTTTCTATTACATTCATACAGAATTGCCTGTACATTATTTCCCAATTAAAAAAAAAAATTATTGTGTACCTTCTACTAATAGAAACAATACATGTACAGCGTACTTTAACTCTTCAAAAAAAAAAAATTAAATATAAAAACTTATGATGGCAAAATTTTTACAATGTTTGGTAGCAATTTTAAAGGTAAAGACCAGTTATGGTCATGCGATTGCATTGTGAAAGAAACGTTGTGGAATCGATCAGAAAAGGTTGATCATCTAGCATCTAGCATCTGCAAGGTTCTGGAATCATCAAAATGATAAGAAATTTGGCCCATTCTTTGTAAAGTTACAAGCACTATACACAGAAAGATGTATATGGGACTACCCTATATCTCTCACAGACCATGAGAGAAACAAATTTACCAAATATATGAATTAGTAGGCGGTTTCCCTTCTTTTATCATCATGTATTAGTCAAAACATATTCTTTCACATGATTGGTAATGAGAGCTTCCATTTCATTTTTTGAAATTGGGGCGTTTCCAATACTGGTCTTTACCTTTAATTGAAAGATTTCCTTAATGATTTGCATGTATTAGTTCCCTTTACCTAGATTTTGGCCAGAAGGTTATACATGTATAATTATGATGACCTAAAAATGCCCTCTCAAATATTACAAACGGCATTTCATCCTGTAAACCTCATAACACAATTCATGTCTTCTTAAAAGCTGCATACTTAAAACGGAAAGTTCCCACCATTATACTTTGCTTTCAAATACTACCTCTATTACATGGCAAGTCCAAGATACAATTGTAATATCCCTAACAAATCAACTTTTTAAACTGATCTTATCCTTAAAGTTGATAATTGTATTTGTACATACAGATAGTGATACTTTGATACTCTTTGATATGATTACCTTCCATATCAAGTGAAATGAAACTAATTTTCTGCTTACTTTTCCAGTATGAGATAATTGATTGTAATCTTTACTTTCCCTGTGGCACATACATGTAATTTGTAGAGCATTCCCTGTTCGGACATCCTATCGTAAGACATAAAACATTCCATGGGAGATGTAAAAAATAATTTAAAAAAGGTCTGAATGAAAAGACTCTGTTTTAAAGCCCACCTGTACTAGTGTAGCTAGGAGGGATTAAACCACCCAGGAAGGTCACTGACTGGTGGCTATCTCATCAACTCAGCTCTCAAATAACATAAGAAAAAGAGGATCATGGCATTACGAAAAGCTCTCGTTAAAACTCTACCCCATCACTATAGCACAGCAGTCAATGGGAATCTGGTGGGGAAGGACTACCCCAATTTCGTTTTTCTCGTTAAAACTTTGAGAGAGCTACTACTATTACACAGGCACCAATGGGAATCTGGTGGGGTTGGACTACCCCAATTTCGTTTCTCTCGTTAAAAACTTGGACAGAGCCTTGAGGCTCTGCGTGAGAGATTATGATATTGGATTGCAGCTGGACTCTTCATCATCTTACGTAATACTAGTGTAAACAAACTCTTACTGGGGCTCTGCCTGAAAGGAAATGAGAAGTAGGAAATATGTATTTTACTTGTTTTAAGATATTTTCATGTCAAAAAATCACTAATAAGTTAGATGAAGACCAAAATGAAAGTTCAAATGAAGCAAAATGACCCATAATTGGCGATGTAACAACAATTTTAACTCTGGCAGCGAACCCCTGTATGTGTCTCTTTCTCCCTACTCCCTTCCTTTCCCCATCCATGCTTTCCCCCTATCATGCTTATCTCTCTCTCTATCACCTCATCAAGGTCTCGGTGGGGGTGGATTACAACGCACGTGTTTACATAGGACTTATCACAATCTCTGCTCTAGTACAAGTAGTAGTGGTGAAAGTCAAATGGGGGTTTCAATTTTAAATGACGAGTTTTCGTCATGGGGCACCAATGGTCACCGATTAGGCATTGTTTTCTATATAGAGGGAGCAAATAGCTACAAGTAGTACAGTGGGCCTTTAACGTTTTACAAATGTTTGATCCTCTAGCATAGGGACCATCAATGTTTTAGAATCAAATAATGAAATGAGGAGTGTCAATCTTTAACAAATATTATCACAGTGAGCCACAAGATATTTCTACTTATAAATTGGGCAAATTAAAATATTGAACAGAACATACACACAAAATATGCACAAAAGTGCTTCTTTAGTTTCTATTTTTCCACACAGGCCTCTGCAAGTCGAGCACGGGATACATAAATGCTAGCATACCATGAGATTTGGAGGCAACGGCATCCTCTTCCAATTAACCATTGCCATAACGATCAGACCCCTTTGAAAAAGATGCAGCATTTCTCTTTGAACGACTTGAATACACTTCTACAAGTATGTACAGGGATACCACAAGAATATTTCAGTTTTCAAGCTGTACTAACAGATGCAATTGAGATGGGCAAAATAACATATACCGGGTAACCAGCACACAGAAGCAAAGATTAAGACATACCGGTAATGCTTTGAAAAGCTCAGGAAAAAGGATAAAATCACATGTCATGTACAAAAATCAGACAAAATCAGAACGGTTCTGATTGCTTTCTGCCTGCAATCTTTTTATATAGAATTTCTACATTTACTTTTTTTCAACTTGCATGGCGTAGTTTCTTCTGGTCTACATTTAAATTTTTTAATAGAAGAAAAATCCCTCTTATTCATGACGTTCAAAGTGATATTCAATTTTCTTCACAACTTCATCAACACAATTGAAGAATATGCATGAAGTCTTCTGCAAAAAGGAACAGGAATAATACAATAATACAGTAGAACCTCTGACATAATGAGGTTCATGTATCTGTTATAACAAGGTGATATTGCTGGTCTCAGCTCTTTATATTCTTTTTTTTTAAACCCTGATATAACAAAGTTCCTGATATATTAAACAAGGTAGTTATTTTCAAGATTTGATTGCTCACTTTTCACTCCATTCACAGTTCTGCTCCCCAATACTACAATATTACTTTAATCCAAAATTACACCCCCACGAGATCTTAATGCTCATCCACTTCTGGTTCCCTTGCTCACGCGTGTCCTACCTTTATATGGCATAGCCTTCCTCATCAAAAATTGGATAACCTCTGATTCCTTTAAAAATCATGTAAAAATGCTTCTGTTTAATTCTTAATTGTTTCTACATGCGCCTTGAGCACTCCACAGAGTGGATTTGGCACTATATAAGTTACATTTATTATTATTATTGTTATTTCCATGGTCCATGTGGTTAACCAGCAAGATACAATAAAAACTTGAAAATTCCTATATGCAAAACCAGTATTCTAAATCAAAGACATGGTACACAGGTAAAAGACTACATAAATATCCCAGTTATAGCAGAACACTCATTGCAAAACATGTAACCTCCGAGTAGCATTGAATTTGGCACAAACAAAATTGTTTAAAAAAATTATTATGTACACATAAAAGTCTTTCAGGATTGAAGTACCGTCAAACAAAGCAAATCACAATATGTGCAGATAATTTCAAAAGGAGATTTCATTCAACAAAGAATACTACTAGTAAAAATTCATTAAACTGATTAATAGGCTTTAATTGAAATTAAACCATAATATCTACATGGAATTATACATCATGGAATGAAAACAAAATTTAAAAATTAAATAGCAGCAGTTAAATCAGTTCCATTTGAGCTTTCACTTTGTCACTAAAACAAAGCAATGAATGCATAACAAATCTTAAATGGTGCAGAAAAGATTTTTCAGACTTTTCACAATTGACGAAAAAGTAGGCAAGCTATTTCATTATGTTTAAATAAGCAGAGCATAGAAGAAAAAGAGCTTCAATTGTCATGTACATGATAGCGTTCCATAACATATTTTGTTCATGATTTAAAGCATTCAGTATCATTTTAGTGATGGACTGTGTGAAAATTTACTTAAAAGGGGAGGGGGGGGGGGTGTAATTTTAGCCCATACAAAGAACAGTGCCAGGTGTGAAACTACATTCCACATACTGTCAGTACTATTCAAAGATGAATACTCAAAATGTATAAATACTGTCCTTTTACATGTTAGGAATATCAAGGGATACAAATATTTGCATCATATTTGGCAGGAGGTAGTGACACTAAATCAGAAAATATACTTAATCTGCAAATTTGCATACAATGCATGTTTAATTGTGTTTGTGATACTGGAGTACTGTACATTTCAACTTTGTTTCCAAAACTTTAAAATATATACATGTATCTCTTTTGAATCATTGGGCCTATTCACAAAAAGTTAAAATGCAGATACAAAGAACTACAAAAAATGTAGGATAGACAGGTAAACAGAAAAATAGTTTCTTTTTTTTGCCTGCATTTTGACCATTTGTGTTGTCAGTGAGTTTGTCCTTTTTAGTCACTCACAGTAAATCTAAGAGCATTTAAAAGCTTACTTAAAACACCATTGTAACTTCAGGCCTATATTTTTTTTAATGAAGATAGATAGTACAAAATCCAGTATACAAGGAATGATAGGAAGAAAATATGACAAAACACAACTATCTTCAAATTCATGATTGCCTCGGTTTCCTTTTTAATTTTTAGTTTGTTCCTTTACTTTCACAACTCGATTTTTTCACTCAAATTTCATCTCTCATCATCTTAAATTTCATAACAATGCTGCCTTTCATCCTCTCACGTTGCTTTCTATCTTTCATTTAACTTTCACTTTCTTTGATTTCTTAACTTTCTTTACCTCATCTTTTGCTTCAGCTATACCCGACTTATCACTAGATTCTTCAGACTTATCCTTTTTATGAGACTTTTTCTTCTTTTCTGGGGATTTCTCTGATTTTGATTTGGTCTTGATGGATTTGTTGCTAGGCGATATGGTACTGAAAGACAATGGATTATTGTTAGGATCCTTAGACTTCTTAGAGCCTTTCTTAGATTTCTTAACCTCCGTAGTCCCAAGCCCATTTTCCTCTTCCATAGATTTCACAACAACCCCTTGCTTCTTTAACTTTGTTCCAGTTTTTACTGGGCTTCCCTTTTCCGATCCAGAATCACGCTTTTCCTTCTTGGTTTTCTTCTTCGTCTTCTTTGACCCGTCAATGCTCAGTGCATCTGGTTTGCTGGAATCAGAGATTAAAGTACTTTCTTTGCTCTTCTTTTTCTTTTTGCTCGTGGCTGAATCGTCACTAGGAACACTTGGCAGAGAAGTCAAACCGTTGGCTACTTTGGTTTTATTGCTTGATGCATGTTCTTTCCGCTCGGATTTGGTCTTTTTACCTGCCTGCTCGCTTCCGTTCATCTCACTCGATGCTACTTGATCGCCATCACCACTGCTCTGCTTCTTCTTCTTCTTCTTCTTGGCTTTCTCTGGTGAAGACTCTATGGGATTCTTCTTGACTCTCTTTGGTGAAGTCTCTGCCAAAGAATTTCCACTTACATCAGCGAGCTGGCCGTTAGTTTCCTTGTGTTTGCGCTTCTTCTTCTTTTTGACATCTAATTGACAGAAATATAAGAGATCAAACTGATGTCAACCTTCACTATCAAAAATGAAATTATACATCACAGACTGTGTAAAACAGGTTTATTAAGAACACAAAATAAGAAGAAGCTAGGAGAGCCCGTATCCACCTCCCACAGTGCTATGGGGTTGTAAAATCAGGCCCTGTCTAACTAGGGTTCTTCCTATTCTCAATGGTTTTCCATCACAAAGACACACATACATATACAAATATAATAGTCGGCAAATAGATGTGATAAGGCTTTTAGGAATATGGCACTATATTCAGAGCACTAAGCCACCCAGCTAAATTATGAAGCTTCTATGATATGCCTTAAAGGGACTTTGTAACATTGTTAAGATGAGAGAAAATGGTGCTAAGGTAGTGACTTCAATGCTAGATGTACAAAAAAGATAATCTGAAAGTTATTTGTCAAAACGCAGTGTTTCTTTTTTTTTTTACTGCATGGTGTACATGTAAAAACCCTGATAAAGCTTACTTCACTTTAATCATCTCACAAAGGATAATATACCTGCTTTTGTATATACAGTGTGAGTAAAAAAAAAAATGACACCTAGAAAATTGCTAATTATTTTTAAGATCATCTATGAACAGTAAATTATTATACATCTTATGAAAGAGTGTTTTATCCCAAATCATTTGGTATCATTTTTGTGTGGTATGTGTTCACGTTTGGACGAACAGGAGGCATTGTTTGCGAGAGTGCAAAAAATCGACTTGCGCCAAAGTTGCTCATGTGATGTTTGAATAAAACAATTGGGATTGGGGAATTAAATCGGTTTTTGCAGATCCAAATAACATCCCTAACAAAATTAATCATGCCACACATATCAAATATTGAATATCAAAGAACATTTGTGCGCGTGTGTGTGTCCGACTTTGCTTCTGACAAAAGCATATCCAATGCATTTCATTTGATACATTCAATTCATTCTCTCACTCCGCTAATCCCAACATAATACATGCTGTAGGTATCACTATGGCGCAAGTCGATTTTTACACTCTCGCAAACAATGCCTCCTGTTCATCCAAACGTGAACACATACCACACAAAAATGATACCAAATGATTTGGGATAAAACACTCTTTCATAATAATAATTTACTGTTCATATATGAGTTTTAAAATAATTAGTAATTTTCTAGGTGTAAACTTTTTTTTGACTCACACGGTATATATACCTCTATTCATCTTACCTGATGATTCTTGATCCCCATCACCGCTAATCTCCTGCTTCTTCTTCTTCTTCTTGACCTCCTTCGTTGAAGATTCCATGGAAGTTTCCTCTACTTTCTCTGTAGCAGTCTCCTCGGGTATCTCTGTTGAAGTCTTCTTTCTTTTCTCTTTGGAAGTCTTCTTTGCTTTCTTCGGTGAAGGAGGCTCTGTGGAAGAGGTTCCGTTTTGATCACCAGGTTGGCCATTAGTCTCCTCATGCTTACGCTTCTTCTTCTTCACTAATGATTCACAATGAAATTTTAAATAAAAATTAATAATTATTCATACTTTCAAATGACAGACAAAATCATTGAGGCATAACATGGAAGAAATTAGATGAAAAATATGATCAAAAGATGCATACAAGCAGCTTGTACAGCTGCACTCTAACTGGAATAAGGTTCACATCACTTGTGGAATTTCTTCTTAAAAACAAAGCAAAGCGGCGACAAAAGTGTCGCATGGATAAGAAAGGATTTTTTTTAATGATTTACAAGTAAAAGCCATATCTACAGTGATATCACAATTATTACAACTATATTGAAGGACTACAATGATTCTGAGAGAATTGATATCTAAGCCTTAAAACCCAATGGCATACAATGTATGTTAATATTTATAAGCCCACATTATAATGTAAGGTCTTAAAGCCATGTACATGTATCACAAACGTTGTGTTAATCATTCATACATTATGTAGGGAAACGGCTCAGAGGATCAGGCAGTGGTCTTAGAACTGAGAGGTCCTGGGTCCAATCTAAGTGTCTAAGCCCTTTGGGTCCAACATCAAGAGCCCAAAATATAACATGTACATTACGTACAAACTGTACCCTGTTCCTATAAAGATAGAAACTACATGTACATGCACAGGTGTATGCCTTCTTGATGCGTATTTACAAGCAGACATCTGCTTTCTTAGGACAAGTTAGGAACACAAAAATAAGAATCAACATCATGATTCATGGACAGAATAAAAAATGTGCATTGTGTAGAGCCCACATAGGAGGGAAGGCGACCCTTTGAGACTTTGTTACAAGATGTGCAAGTCTCCTGAAAGTTCTTGCAAGTATTATGCTTATCCAAAGAAATATCATGGCCCCCAAAACGGGAAGGGGCTAGCGAAATCTCCGTCTGGATTATCCAGTTTGCTCCACAGGGAAGTCCGGCGACTAGGGTGTTTTCACTGCTAAGCTTTTTGATAGATACTTGCATCAGCTTTAGTAACTGGCATAATTCGTGCCCTGGAATGGGAGAGGATGGACTGCAAGTTTGGATTATGACCACCTCCAGTAAACAGGATGGGATGCCAGTTGGAATTGATCAGAGGGCCTGAAAATAACCTAGAATGAGCTATTTTGTACACAAAAATGCCTAATCTATGGTCTGAAAGTAACTCGCCAGGGCCTGAATTCAGGTTATTGCCTAAAAACTGGTATCCCTGGATAATACACCAAAAAGCGCACTGATCATTAACTTGTAACTCTAAAACAATGACTGGCTGAAGTGGTCCCTGGGAAATGCAGAGGCCAGGGTATACTGTAAGTTCAGTATTTGACAACTGAATCCCATGACTAGGGTAATAATACACTGTGAAGCACTCTGGTCTGTTAATTGCAAGTTCTCTGAAATGGCGTCTACCTAAAGTGTTCCAAAGGGAGCTGAGCTTTTGTAAAAGCGGAATTAAAATTGAATCCGATGGAAAGGGTGATAATTACACTGCAAAGTACTTCATCAGCTACTTGGAGGTGATAGATGTGGTCCCCAGGGAGTGGAGAGGGTGCGAGTAAGGAATTTTGATCAAATTCAATGAACAGTAGACTGGAAAGTGCTCCGAGCAGTTACTTGAAGTGTAATATAGCAACAGGCTGAAGTGGTCCCCAGGGAGTGGAGAGGGTACTACATACCAAGAGGAAGTAAGAAGGAATCCAAAGAACAGGACTGTCATTTCATACTGCATAGCACTTGCTTCGATCAGTTACTTGCAACTGGTATAAAAAGCACAATACAAAACAGTTTTGATTACCTTCCTTCCCATCGATGTTCGTCTCTCCCCATTGTCCTAGATCTCCATCACTGTCGCTTTGCTTCTTTTTAACTTTCTTCGGTGTGGAGTCCAAGTGTGAGGAGGTCTTGGTTACTTTCTGTGGCAACGGCTCGGCTGAAGAATCTTGCAATACCTTCTGATCTCCGTGCTGAACGTTTGTTTGCCCATGCGTCCGAACTTTCTTCACATGCACTACAAGTTGATTCCCAATCAGCTCAAAACTTGTGATATTGCTGCCTGGGCTACATGGAAAGATAACACCCAAAGGCTTCTTCGACTTTTTCTTGTCTCCTTTCAACTTCTTGTCAGGTGGCAACACTTTTTTCTTTTTGGTCTTGCCATTTGCGCTATCTTTTGAGGCAGGCTTGTCTGAGTTGTTGCTGTGGTCTGAGGCAGCATTTTGTGACACATTGGCCTTTCTTTTTTTCTTTGGACTTGACAAAGTTCTAATCCCTCCTGCGTTATCACTTGAACTTACATCAGACCTTGCTTTCTTTTTCTTTGGACTTGACAAAGTTCTAATCTCTCCTGCGTTATCGCTTGAACCTAAACCATCATAGCCTGCTTTCTTTTTCTTTTTGGAGTGAGCCTTCTTCACATTTGTTTCCCTGTTCTTTGACTCAATGTTTTTCTTATGTTTGCCTGCCTTTTTCTTAGTTTTCACCTTTAGGTCTTTCCCAAACTCATCTGAACTAGTACTGGTATCAATTTTGCATGGTGACATATGTTTGCTTGACAGTTTCTTCTCTTTCTTCTTTTTCCTTTTCACAGGGGTGGTGTGCTTTTCATCAGGTTTATTTCTCCCCTTGCTGGACCTCGAGTCTTTCATTTTGAGAGATGACAACTGTTTTCCTAATTTCTTCTTCTTTGCTGTCTTTTTGTCCGTGTTCACTAAATGTCCATTTGAAAGGGGGAATATTTCAATACTGCCAACTGAAGATTTCAATTTCTCACCTACACCAAGTTTCTGTTTTTTCTTCTTTTTATCTTTACTGGTTCCTGCTTTCTTTGTTTCACCAATCACATCTAACTTGACTTTTTTGTTCACAATAACTGTATCAATGTCCTTGTCTCTTTTCCTTTTTAGCTTCTTACTCTTCTTGTTGCCAGTACTTTCAAAACCTTCATCCTCCTTTTTCTCACTGTGCTTCGATTCTCCTGTAGCTGCTTGTTTCTGTTCGACACTCTTTGCTTTCCTTTTCACCTCGCTTGGAGTAAGCAAACCCTTGTTCTTGACACTTTTAATTTTCTCTTTCTTCTTCTTCTTCTTCTTGCTCTTTTTGGCAGCCCCTTCCTCCAAACCATTTGCAGTGTTGACAACACTTTTAGTCGCCTTAGCAACAGATTTTGGTTGATCCGCTTTCTTTGATATTTTCTTTTTTGCTGGTAGTTTCAACTCAAAACTGACTTCTCCATCGCTATAACTAAGTAATTTATCACTTTTGGAATCTTTTTTCTTCTTCTTATTCTTTTTGCTCTGCTTGACACCCACTTTCTCCTTTGAAGAACTCGCCTGATCACTTTCCACGTTCTCTGCAGGTTTAGAGTCATTCCTATCTTTGGATTTTTTCTTTTTTTTAGCCTTCACTTTTACCCCTGCACTGACTTTCTCATTTGCAGGATTTTCAGCCTCTGATGCTTTGCTTTTCTTCTTTTTCTTCTTCTTTGTCTTTTTAATTGTCTCTGCCTCACTACTCTCTGATGCAATTGCCAGAATGCTTTCTCCAATTTCAGAATGTTTTGATGCTCCTTTATCCTTCTCTCTCTTCTGTCCAGCCTTGGCATTTTTCATATTATTTTTCTGACCACTTTTGCTAGTTTCAGAATGTTTAGACAATCTTTTATCCTTGCCTTTCATTTCTTCAGCCTTTTCCTCCATTTCTTTCTCTTGGACACCTCCATCAGGGACAGAATTGGGAGAAACTGTTCCTTGGGCTTCACTTGTTTCCTTGGGTACTGGCTGTGTAGATTTGGAAGCATCCTGTGGAAGACAAAATTGAATGTAGTGTAAGCTAATATTGAAACAGTAAAACTGATGATCAATACTAATGCTGTTCAATACGTCAAGATGAATGTTGAAGCAAAAGTCACCAACCCTTTGTAAAACAAGGGAAAATTAATCTTGTTAGAAAAGAAAAACTAATCCAGGACAGCTCGTGCAACGCTGATGGTGAAATACTACCTATTAAAAAGTTAAATGAACTAAGATCGCTTTGATTTCAGGACAACCACCCTGGACTACTACGTCCTGCCTTAGATAAGAGTTGCGATTGATCTGAATCAAGCGCAAGTTCACAGGCTATTATCTCTTACGTACATAGTTGCAACTGATATCAATGATGAAAAAAGTTGCAATTAACTGTTTATAAGATGGGAACCTGGACCTCTTGGAAATGACTATGATATGTGCACATATAAGTGCCTTCCACATGGACAACTCCTCCAACACAAAGCTCCTCCCATGACAACTAATATCCCTGAAGACATCTGTCCTCTTGAAAATTACAGAACTTGAAACAAGCATCAATCACCAGAAATATCAAGTACAGCACATAATTCTTCCTCTACGCAGAGCTGCCAACCTCCAGAACAGAAAATCAGTAATCACAAGGCTCAAAATCAGTAATTTGGGGTATAAATCAGTAATTTCTTATGCGGCGCTATGAATCTAAAAAAACGACACGCCAACACTGCGCGGACGCATGATTATCTGAAATTTTTGGTGATTTTACTCACACAAAGATGTTAAGTATTGAATTTCAGGTCATCACAACACAGTTTATCATGAAAAATGGCTCCTATTCACAGCACTCGCTACGATAAATCATATTTAATTCATTAAAAAAAAAAAAAAAAAAAAAAAAAAAAAAAAAATTTTTTTTTTTTTTTTTTAAATCCGTAATTTGAGACAACATTCCGTAATGGTCGTTAATTTCCGTACCAATTACGGAAAATCCGTACTAGTTGGCAGCTCTGTGGACTACGTATTAAACTGAGCCCATAAAGAAATCAAAGTCTTACTGGTTTAGCTGTAGCAGCACTGAAAACATCCCAGACTTGTTCAATTGTCTTTGGGTGATGGACCTTCAAACTGTTCCTCACGAAGTTCTGTAGCAGAATAACATGACATAGGAGAAGAAAAAAATAATGGTATAAATGCCCTTACAGCCTTCAGATTCATCATTGAATAGCTCTACATTTGATTCCTTCCATACTGATATAAAGTATAAAATCCCTCCTGCAAATATCAAAATCAATATTCTAACAACTTTTTTCTCAGTATCACTATAATATTTATCATGAAAAATATCTGACAGCATTTGAAAAGAGTAACAAGAAATGGGGGTCTATAAACATATTTTTACTACTCTTTTGATGTATGCATGTATATTTTCCATGCAATATTCCAATTTAGGCATGGATGGAGACATTTGGGGTGTACAGAGGGGACTCCTTCCTAGAGAGTACCGAAGCTGTGACGTCATCAAAATCTATTTTTAGAATTTCTCAATTTTTTCTTCATTTTCCAAAAGAGCATCAAAAATAATGTCCAAATGTCAAAAACCAATTTAATATGTTAAGTATTGGCTGAGATATGACCATCTGAATAAATATATTTCCTATAGGAACTCAGTGTTATATGCTCTGGCTCCTAACCATTAAGAGCCAGAGCATATAACAGGCGTTAAATTTCAATATTTTTAGGGCAAGATCACTTTTCTGTAGGGCACATTCCTATATTACAGCACAAATAGGAAGAATTGGAAAGGGCACAAAAAATCTCCAAGGCCAATGAGAGGGGCATTGAGGCCATTCAAAGGGGCATCCAAGGCCATGGCCTTTGTGGCCTTGGATTAATTTAAGCCCTGATATAAAGTTATATATGTTTGCAGGTAGCCATCCTGATACAGGTTTAACTTGAGGATTAGGCCAAGGTATGGTACTGTACCTCAAATTTGCTCTTTTTTCTGGGAACGTTGGGATATTCTGCAATCTGCTCCAGCAGGTTTTTGATGTTGCTGCTGATATTTCCCGCTCCAACAGCTTCTCTTACACGCTGCAAAGAAATAATACTAGAATCGGTTAAATTACACTTAGTATTAAATTAAAAAGATTCTTGATCATCTAAAAGGATGTGTGTGTGTGGAGAGAGAGAGAGAGGGAGGGGAGGGGGGGGGGGGTGTGCGTGTAATATTTTCAAAAGGACGACACAATAACAATTTCAAATTGAAGGGGAGAAATTACATTTACACAGCTCATAACTCTATTCTCTGCTTTAATTACATCAGAATTTGACCCACAAGATGTATAAGATAAACCTGTCATAATTACAGTACATTAAAACTTGAACCTTGATTTAAAAACAATTCAATTTTTTTCTCCAAGGTGTTCCAACAATCGATACTTTGTGTGTTCCTTCCGGGAAAGCTAGAGCAATGTACATGTTGCCAAACTCAACTATTGGTGGATCTTAACAGTATCTACTCAAAATTCAAATGAAACAATGGTCAGATTTTTTCAGGTGCCACCTGGGCAGAACTTTTGTGTTATTACATCAGGGCAACTGCTTATTTTGAACCCTGCTAGGTATTCCAAAGGCGAAATCCGGGTAAGTCCAAAATAATTGTTCCACATTTTACTTCTCACATCTAAAATTTCAGTATTTCATCTGTTAACTGTATCGAGCCTTGGATCAGAAAAAGTATCCAATAACATGATACATTGTGCTGATTTATGCTCAAAATTGCATTACTTGGTAATATGGGACATACATGTACATTGGATTTGCCCTCATATATGCAGATCCCTGACCATTTCACACTTCACTCTTTCTATTCCCTTATTCATTACACATGGACTCCCAAGGATAGAAAACAAATATACCTGAAGCCGTTGTTATTTCTAGATTCTCTCGTGTTAGCATTCTCAAAGGGCTTGATAGTCTTTCTCATCATACTTCTATTTGGAGCCAGAAGGGCTTCTTATGATTTTACAAAGAATTAACTCCTCTTGACTCAAAACAAATGATACAAAGCTTCGGGGTCATATTATCTTCCCTCCCTTTAATAGTTTTCTTCTTTTTGGGGGGCACAAAGACAGACTGGGATTTTTCAATTTCGATTCATTTATTTGTTCAACCATCAAAATATATATACAATCGAAATAAGTTATATCAAGAATTTAGAAGAACACAATGATGGTCCGGTGACCCCGGAGAAAGCAGGGCTTATAAAAAGGGGCCACCAAATTGAAATACATAAAAAGATCAACATAATTATTTAAAAAAATAAAAAATCACCATCGAACATTAATATAAACAAGGAAAAAAGAGAAGTACACTTCTTGCAGCAGCAGCAAAAATCTATATCTACATACAACTGTATATTGGTAATTATGTTGTAAATATAGAAAATGAATTTACCAGCAGCCATTGTTCCTGTTTGGCTTCTCCCTTGTTAGAGTTCTGTGGGGCCTGGTAACCTTTGCCTCCATACTTCTGATCTTCAGATATACACTGGGTGTGCAGTTTGTATTCATCCCCACTATTAAAGAAACAAGAGTACAATTTAGAAATGTAATAGGAACAAAACAAGCATTGTCTGATTTACAGTGTGTGCTGTTTGTAGTCACCGTCAGTCTTGTATAATCTCAAATTGATAATAGTACAGTTTAGAAATATAATAAGAAACAAAATAAGCATCGTCTGATATACAGTGTGTGCTGTTTGTAGTCGTCATCAAATTTCTTAGCCGTAACTTAAAGTTACGGCTAAGAAATGTAATAGGGAAAAAAAAAAGAGCATTGTGTGATATACACAGTGTGTGCTGTTTGTAATTATCCTCACTAAAGAACGGCCAAGAAATGTTATAGGAAACGTAACAAGCATCGTCTGATATACAGTGTGTGCTGATTGTACCGGTAGTCATCCTCACTAAAGCATGGCTAAGAAATGTTATAGGAAACATTACGAGTATCGTCTGATATCTCCAGTGTAGTACAATCTCAAATAACGAGAGTACAGTGAAGAAAATATATTAGAACAAGTCAACATCCTTCCTTGTGTTTCTATCATCATAATATCAAGTTAATTGATTACTTTTGCATTGCTACACATTATAAAATGCCAGAGAGGACTCAAATTACACTCTGCATAAAGGGTTATGACATGTCAAAGACACACTCACAGGCAAAGAAGTGAACTCAAAATTAACTTCCATGCCAGTCTCTGGCCTTGATATGAAATAATTTCCTGCTATTTTGTTCTTTGATCCACAACCATTTGAAAATATTCTATGGGTGCTTTAGATTTCTCTGTACATTTTTATTTTGTTTTGTTTTGTTTTGTTGTTTGGAGGGGGGGGGGGGTGTTTGTTGCTTTCAGATGATTTCGTATTTAATAACAATACAAATTATCATTATCAGGTGGATGAGTTGAAATTCAATCAATCACTATGAAAAGCAACACATTTTTTTACTAAAACTTCTGTCATTCCTACGTTTACAATGCACTTTCTGCTATTAAGTAATTGGCAACCAATTCATGTGTCTTAATATAGGACTTACTAGAAGTCTTTGCCACAATCCATACAGGAGAGCACTTCACAGCTCCTACATCTTTGCTGATAATGCTTTTCTACCTGTGCTTTCTTGATGGCCTGGCCGCAAGCGTTGCATGTAAAGAAGACCATGGTGTTACTAGATCACCTCCTGTAAGCTTGTATGACGGTGGTTAGCTTGGTGACATGTAGGATGGTTCAAACCCTGTTGATTTAAAAACATTGCAAGTATTAACATGATCTGAAAGACAAATTGTGAGAAATGTGGGGCATGTACAGAGCATAAAAGTTATTGACCTTAAAAATAAAGAGACCTGGTAACATTGTTCAGATGAGGGAAAATGGTGCTAAGGTAGGGACTTCAATGCTAGATGTACAATGAAAGAAAATCTGAAAGTTTGAATGAAAACAGACCATTATCAATGATAAAAATTGGGAAAAACTGATCTGATCGATTCCTTAATTCTCCCAACCATATTATTACAATCTAATTACATTTTAGGTGAATGTAAATGTCGTCACAAAGCATTGAATTAAGTATATATACAATTCCAGACATTTAAGTGTTGAACTATTTTTGTTAATGCCTGCCATGTCTTGTTTGCATGAAACACGGTTAGGAAAATTCAAAAAAAGTTGGGAGAATTTACTGTTAGAGGGTGTCGCACAGTGACACCTTCAAAGAAAACTGTAAATATCTTTGTGTTTTGAGAATTTGTTCCGGATTTTGTGCATGTTAGTGGGTTAGTAAAGTAGAAGGAATAAAATAAGTAACATTTCATACAAAACTTAGGCAGTTTTTTCATGAACCTTCAACAATTTTACTGAGTCACTTTAAGAGTAGACTGACTGAATTACTAAATTTTCCACTTTCTTCAGGAGTGACACGAGTCAAAGGCTTTCACCATCATAATTCACAAAATCACAAGTGAAGTTAGAGTGGTTGAATTGCATTAAGCCTTAAAGTGACTTGGTAACATTGCCTCAGATTCATGCTGCAATCACAATTATAAACCTTTAGCTCAGTCAGGAATCCCATGACTTTTACAAGCTGATCGCCTGTCTGATTATCAAGAAATTTACGATTGGAAATCGAAATTTCAGTTTTCGTTTTCCTGACGGTTTATATTACACTACAGTCTATTGGAGAAAATGAGTATGGTAGAACCGGTCACTCAAAGATTTTAACTTTTTTGAGGCACTTTATGATCATTTCGAAGCGGTATTTTTTTCTCAATACGAGTTAGCAAGGTTGCTAATGTCATGTCGGTTGACAACAGCAAAAGGCAAATGATCAGGCAAATCACAATTTCACAATGTCATGAGTTAGTTTACGATATTGCCCAATTTCTTTTTACCGAGTTCTTTTTACCCAATTCATTGAAAGCCTGTCCCAGTCCCACAATGCAGTTCAGAAATGACATCATGGCATTACACAACAGTTTGCTTCCCATGCCCTGTGTACAGAGTTTAACAGCTTTGCATCGATGCCACTGGCACTAGCAGTAGCAGCTACACCGCAATCCATATATGCATAATTCATTAAGTAGCTACATTCATAAGCACAAGCTCATCGCATGTGCGTAAATCTTTTCTCGCACAAACCCTACACACGCTCGCACTTAGAAAAACTATCATCAACAGATAGATAAACGTGTCAAGATTAAAAATCTATAAATATATTTCACAGATTAGGGTCTAGTCTAGATCTAGACGTATTAGATCTATACATAGGGTGTCTGAACGATTTTTCAATTTTCAATTTGGGATCGTTTTTCACCATTTTTGTTTGATATTTGAATTAAAAATGTAATCAGAATAATACATTTCAAATTTCAAGTCTCGCCGATGTTTCTATCAAAAGATACAGCCCCTTCAAAATGCTGAAATATTCATAGCATTTTGCTCAGAATCGACGAAAAAGACGTACACGCAGAGTTATGTTGTTTTGCTAAATTTAGCCAAACAGCTGTATCGCGCGATATGCAAGCGTATGCATATCGTACGCAAGTTGCTCAGCCAATGCGCGACTTGCAAGCTTGAGCCACGCTGTCTCCGCGATATGTGCCATTGACTAGTATGGGTGGCCGTTCCCGCTATAGAACCCGGAAGTGAATACACGTTGTAGTCAATGGCAATATCGCGGAGACAATCTCCGCGATATTGCCATTGACTACAACGTGTATTCACTTCCGGGTTCTATGGCGAGAATCGGCCACCCATACTTTCATTCACTATAAGCGCACATGTTACGATGTAACCATGGTTTGGACTGAGCGGAGCTCACGCCTCCCTAATTAGCTGATTCCAAAAATGTGGGAAGGGTATTTTCAAACTGTTATAACAAATGATCCCTTGGGGCTAGCGAAAAAAAAAGCATCTGGATATTATCCTTACGTCTAGCCCTGCTTAAGCCGCGGGGCGGCAGCTCAGGAAAGTGGCAAATTTTGGAGCTAGGATGCAAACAACATTTCAATCGCTGTTTTGACCAAGATATTTTTAGAATTCTGGGGGTGGCCCCCGATGGGGAATATGGAGAAAAACCTGCTCTTTCATATGACACCTCATTTATTGAGTTTCACCTTCAGGATCATTTGTTATAAAGGTTTGAATTTCAAATTTTTTCATAAAATCATTGACCAATTTTGGATGGTCGCGCCATGCACGTAGACCACATAGGGAAGCGTACAATCTCTATGGGAAGGGTTTTAGCACACAACATTGGGTGCGCGATCAGACACCCTACTATACAAAGTCAGTCAAATTTACTGTTTTACTTTTAGAATACATTTTTTACACGCTACAGGAGTACAGCTGCTAAAACTCGAATTAACAGATTACCTAGATTAAACAGGTCAAAATTGTCCAGAGAAATGACAGATGAGCTTTTGTAAATCACTAAATGTCAAAATGATGCTTAAAAAAAAAGAAAAAAGATCTAGGGTCTAAATCTAGAATCTAGATCTAGAAAGAGAGGTCTAGATCTAGATCTAGTAGATAATAGATATCTATGCCTAGATTTATAGACTCTACTATGAATAATATAATTATTAAGTGCTGCTATGACGGATCTAGAGGTCTATTTACCAAATTACAGTCTAATATTACGTTCATTCTGTCGATTTTATATGATAAGGCTAAAATCCCTGAACTTAACACATTGCCATTAACCTTGTCCCACGTACCAAGTTTCACGTTAGTCATAACAATACAAGCACAGAAATATGTAGTTTTCGGTATCATTAAGCTACATAGCAGAAACAACATATAATTTATTATCAGTGAAAGAAATGAAAGACTATCAAAGCAAAAAATTACCTCATCAAAGTCCTAAATTACAAGCACATCTGGTCACGCTTGTCGACGACTTACAGTTACACGACGGATGGGACTTTTCATTTTTGAGACATGACCATTATGTATACGCAGAGGGCTCTTGACTTGTGATGATTAAAATTTTGAAGAAAAACTCCTCCCCAAAAAGAGGAAATTTTCCTTTTTTTTATGTTTTTATCATTATTGTTATCATTATTGTTTTTAAATCTTTTAGTGTAATTTTTTTTAAACACTGCTATCGCTAACACTATTTCAAAATCTAACCGTGGTCCTCAATATATATACGGATGTGAAAAAGAAAATTTATTATGATACAACTATTGGAATTAAACAGCCATTAGGCATATTTTTAACTAAAGAACTTTCTCCTTCTTTTTAGAAATAAAGAAGGAAAAAGAAGCTAGGAGCACTCATAGTTAAGTGACAGGAGCATAGACGCCGGAAGCGCGGTGGGGGGGGGGGGGGGGGTAGGGGATGGTCGCCCCCGAAAACAGATCAGCAGTTAAGGAGTAAAAATGGTTTGTATTTTTAACCAAATTAAAAAATTAAAAAAATAAAACTTGAATAGAATCACATACAAATTATATTCTATTCAAAGAAAGGAGAGTAGGCCTAAACAGAAAATGAATTTCCTTGACATTCCGCATGCCCCTAAATTTATCAATGGAGTATTTGATAATAGCGATCATACGCGCATATCGTGCCCCTGAACAGTGGCGTACTACACAAATAGCTGCATTACTATCCTGGCTGTGTATCAAAAGCTGTGCTATGATTCTCCAAGCACGTAGCCAGGATTTCATTTTAGGGGGGCGGGGCGGTAGTGAGCATGCGAAGCGTGCTAATCACTTAAAGAGCGCGCATAGCGCGTTCCCTAGGGGGGTGGGTGCAGGGAGGGGGAGTTTCCCCCCTCCCGCGCAAAGCGCGGAAGCTTTGAAAGAAGACGATTCTTGTACCTTTCTCGACTCATAATCCTTGTCTGAATTCAGTCCGCCCATCATGCGCATAGCGCGGAAGCTTTGACGTTTTATTAAAATATTAGAGAAAGAAGACGATTCGTTGTATCGTTCTCGACTCCTTTTCCCTTTTTCTTCCTACGTCCTCTTCCTTTTTTTTCTTCTCTTTCTCCCTCTTTTTTTTTGCCGGCTTTTTTTTTTTTTGGCCCCACCTTGGCTACGCGCCTGTGATTCTCAACATTTAAAATACTAGACTACTGTACAAAAATAATCTGATTTCACTACAAATCGGTACTTCAGTGTTATTGATGACACCTATAAAATAGCAGTCAATACAATTTTTTTTTAAACTTACCGGTGTTAGAAAGAATAATTTAAAAATTCAAATTGTAAGTCTACTGTCATACTTGCCGATCAACCACATCGACATAATTGTGTGCATTTGTGTATAATGAGTGTATTGACTATTCATGTGTGCAAATGCTGCCTATTAACACGTAGTGCAGTGCAAAAAGGTCAATACGCATTATCATTGACTCTCTAAGCTTTGCTGGAGTGGCGTACTAAGGGGAAGGGGGGTCAATTGCCCCCCCCCCCTAAATTCAAACGTGGTTTATTTCTTATTCGATGCCAGAGTTTTACAAATGTTGCTGAAATTACATGAATTTCTGGAACTTTTCCTCAATTTCTTTTTTATGCGCTTGTTGGAAGATTACGAATTCCCAAATTTACAGTAAGGAAAAACATATCTTCATTTAGAAGCCTTCATGTCAGGGTCTGCAGAACGCCGGTGCTCTGGGACTCGAGCCCCCTTACTTTTTTTGAAAAAGTATGTTAAAGAGAAAAAGAAAGAAAGAAAGAAAGAAAGAGTGAGTGGCCTGCTATTGCAGTGTCACAAAACGAGGTATCGAATTATGCTCATCTGACTGTAAGTAAATGCCTAAAACCCCTGAGCTTCATGGGGCTCATCCCCCTGAACCCCTCGATAATTAGTGACCTGCCAGCGTCATGAATAAGGTATCAAAATATGTTCATCTGACCGTAATTAAATGCCGAAAACCCATAAGCTTCATGAGACTAAGCCCCCTGGACCCCACGCCCCTTGATCCCGTCAGTCTAAAGCTCCTGGGGGAGGGGGGGGGGGGGGGGTGATTCACTAACTGGGAACGATATCGTTCCTAAGAGAAATTTGGGATCGATTTGAGCTGTTAGTGAATCACCCCCTTGACCCCATACCAACTAATGCTCCACTCGCTTCATTCTACCTGATTGTTAATACTCCACTTTGATAAACATTCCGCGGGGTCTGCATGTAACATGTAAGAGTGATGGTGATGCCGATTTTTCTTCCACCCCCCCCCCCAATTTTTTGCTCATTACGCCACTGCCTATAATTATGAAAGGTGAGCCCCCTGGAGTGTTTGCACCCCCCCAATCCAAAACTGAGAAGAAGAGAGAGAAATAGGGAGAGAGAGAGAGAGAGAGAGAGAGGAAGAGAGAGAGAGAGAGAGAGAGAGAGAGAGAGAAAGATAGATAGATAGAGAAAGATAGATAGATAGAGACAGATAGGGGAGAGGGGGTGAGGGGTCGACATTTTTTTTTGTACAGGGGTGGATCCAGGATCCCAATAACATTTAACACTAATTCTACTTTTCGCTCTGTATAATTATTAGTATACAATTTTGTGCCTCTTTAGCGTATGCATCGATTGGCTTTTGAAAGAGGGGGCGGCCCGTGTTCCCCGCCTGTACGTGTGTATTCTTATCTGAAAGCAATTCTGACACAGGACCCTCCGAAACTACAACGAAAGTTCATCTGAAACCGTTAACGTCTTTAACGACTTGTTAAAACTGAATGCTTTCATGAGAATCTAATAATTTCTGGTGAGTAAATAATGCAATTACGCTACAATAGTTTTCACATTGATAACATGTGCAGAGTTACAAAGTGTCTGCTACAGCTGTGCATCTTGCTGATCTGTTCGCGTTACGTTTTGACTCAACTTACACGGTATAAGGAAATAAACATTTCCTATCTAAGTTGAAAGTGTTTCCGTATATTTTATGTATATTCAGTCCGGAAGTGTGTTAAGTAGTTCTAATATCTGCCAAGCCATTCCGTTTATATGACATTCTATTTCTACATCTTCTTTTTACACGGCAGAATTCGCTGATGCTGCTGACGATCTAAGCTATTCATCATGAACATCTCGATGCAAGTTCGTCTTTGGGTTTGGGTTTGCTGCCTGCTGTTTGTTGGACGTTGCACTTCTCTGACTTTCTGCGATTATTGCTACTGTGACACCCCCGACATAGTGTGCACCGGAGTTAACTTCCATGAAGCCTTAAACCATACTGTTCCAAGTCGTGTCGCCAGTCATACAAAGTTCCTTAATGTGTATACATTTGCCGTCAACATGATACTGGCGAACGATACACTGAGTGTCTTTCCTGCCTTACAAAGCCTCACGATAAGTTCTTACGAAGTCTCTTTCGTTGATCAATTTGTTTTTAAGAGGCTTTACGAGTTATCATACATTTATTTGGAAAGGAACAGTCTTCATGAAATACCAAGTGAAGTTCTTTTCCATTTGAGAATCTCTCTGCAGGAACTGCATCTGGTAAATCAACTTCTTCGTAACATCCCGTCAAATGCGTTTGCGGAATTAGTCAACCTCCAAGAATTGACTATTTCCTATAACCTAAACTATCTTGATATATCATCCGATGCGTTTAATGGTCTTGCGAAATTAAAAGGCCTTTGCTTATCGACTTGTAACATTCGACATTTACCTAACACAACCTTCTCGGGGTTACATACCCTACAGGAATTAGACCTTAGTTACAATCGCATAGTTGAAGTCCCGACTGCGATACAAACTATCAAATCTCTCATGATGTTGGACCTCTCTTACAATACACTTTTGGTCAATCCAATGGATTTGATGTTCTTGAGAAGTACGACGAAGCTGCAGACACTCCAAATGAGGTACTGTGCTATCTCTAAAATATTACCAGACGCCGTTGATAACCTCAAAGCATCTCGGGATCTAACCGTCGCGAATTTCGATGGAAATCCGTTCAACTGTACTGAGGATCTTTGCTCTTTCGCAAGTTGGTATGTTAGTCTGACGGGGCCGAGTACAAGTACACGAAGTCCTGACTTCATCCCTTTTATCACCCTAAGTCCTCCTCCAGGAAAGGGGCCATACCAATGTGACAACTATGGCAAGCCCCTCAAGGACTTCTTCAGTGGGTCTTGTCTACCCAGGCCTGATCCTAGCCCATCCATTTTTCCTCCTGGTGAAACACCGTGGCATGTGGTAATAATTGCTGTTACTGTCATCCTCGTCGCGTTCGTCGTCACCATCGTATCATTCGTCGTTTGGAAGTTCAGATTGATAAACTACTATCATCACCGCATAGGGGTTTCCTTTCAGCGCCATGTCGATTACGGAGCTGTGGGAGACAACAATCATGAATATGTTTATGATGCCTACGTCAGTCATCACGATGACGACAAGTCATTCGTCGAAGATGAGATGCTTCCTCGTCTCGAAGACGAACACGGCTTCGATATGTGTGTCTCCTTTCGCAACTTCCGCTTGGGATCCAACCTCCTGGAGAATGTGTCTTCAGCTCAGGATGTCAGTCGTGCCATCATATTCATCATCAATGAACGCTTCATGCAGAATGGCCAGTGTAAGCTGGAGCTTGAGATGGCTTCGACGAGGATGCTGGAAGATGAAACGGGTCACGAAGGACAACGTCTCATCATCATCCTGATGGAAGTCCTTGCTCCTGAATTGGTGAACAGCACCCTGAGGGTACTTCTAAACCATGTTGCTTATCTCGAGTGGGATCCTGCTGCAGAAGAAAGATGTTGGGGTCAACTCATTGCTACTCTGGATACGTTGGTGCCAGAAAGGAATGCCGGCGACCAAGCGGACGATAATGAACACGACGAGGATCAAACTGTTTGATTAGGAGTCTATTCGGGCTTGAATTTACACAGACCTTTTTAAATTGCGTGTAATGAATTGTTGTTTTAATAATTACATTTTGCTGGATAGCAAATTGTATTTAGAATTCTATCCTATTATATATCAGGTTGAGGATACATATTTTCATAAATTTCATTATCATGGTTAAAGTTTGCCGGGCCGTGTACATATACACCGTTTTAAGCATAACACTATCGGGCGTTACATAATATAAAACAACAACACCTGGTATCTCTCTATACAAATATTTTATAAATGTGTACAAAAAACATTTGAATATAACAAAAATTTAAAAAAATCATGTAATGGTACAATTTAAGCATTTTATGTTTGTTCGTTAATCGCAATGTAGCTCGGTGTCTATTTCAAATGATAAAAAGGGAGATATTTTCATGTTACAAGTAAAAACTACATAACTTGCAACTTTTTATAATATAATTCAAGGTGTTTAATAATTAGCATCATCAACATCACAAATGAAAACAATTTGTTATATTTCATAACCATAAATCTTGTGAAAAAGAAGTCAGTTGTGGGGTGTCGCAGGGTTCGATCCTCGGTCCACTACTCTTTATCATCTATGTCAATGACTTCTATAAATCATCGCAAATATTAAATTTTATAGTGGTGGCGGACGATTCAAATATATTCTTTTCTCATCAAGACCCACATCAACTAAAACATATTGTAAATACTGAATTAAACAACGTGGCTAAATGGATTAGAGCCAATAGACTTTCTTTAAATCTAGACAAAACCAATCTTATGCTTTTCAGTAATACTCTTCATACAATACCAGGAAATAAAATCATGAATGATCTGGCCATAAATAAGGTAGAATCATCTAAATTTCTGGGTGTCATGATCGGCGATCAATTGTCATGGAAAACATAAACACATTACCTTTGCAAAAAAGTATCTAGAAACATTGTTATTATTAATAAACAGAAGCATTTTCCCCCCTGGAAGACCCTTCATACGTTGAACTGTACTCTGATTTTATCTATATTGAACTATGGCATTCTCGCCTGGGGTAACTCCAAAAGATCTAACCTAAATAAAATACACCTCTTGCAAAAAAGAGCAATGAGAATAATTTTTAACAAAAGATATCGTGCTCACACCAACCTGTTTTTCCACCAAAGCAAATCCCTGAAAATGCATGATTTATACTCCTACAACCTTGGTAATTTTATGTATGAACTTGAGGTAAACGATCTACCAATAAGATTAACGGAAATAATTATTAAAAACCAGGAAATTCATAACTACCCAACTAGGCAGTCGAATCATTTTCACCCCCTCGCACAAGAACAGTTACTTTCCAAAAAACATTCATTTATACTGGACCCATACTCTGGAACTCACTCAACCCGGCTCTCAAATCAACCCCCACACTTAACATGTTTAAACGTAAACTCAAGCATTTCTTGTTGAATACCTACGACAACAATGATACCTAAACACGTTACACCTAACATCTGCTTTTCATTCCATTCACTCTCTACTAGCGGTCAAAGACGACTTTATTCCTGAGCTAATTCTTCCCTGATATCTCTGCCCCTCCCTTTTATAGCTCTCTCCCTTTTTATTTTCTTTCCCCTTGTTCACAACGTTCTCACTTGTCCCATGTTTATTTCTTTTCGTATTGCTTTTTTTTCTTCTCGTTATTCATCTTTCCTTACGTACCTGTTCTCTTTTCTAAATTGTTTTCCTTGCAATTATTATTTTTCTCCACACAAGCAGTGCTAAAATAAGCACTGATCATTTTATTTAATGTATATATATATATATATATTCGTTTATGCAGAGGAAAGCACAGAACTCTTCCTTTTTTCAATTGTTTACGATATGTTTAGTAAAATGTGTCACTTAAAGATAACCCTCGTGTAATCATATGCTTTTGTAAATATGTTAATTCAAATACCCTTATTTATACACAAACCTACGAACCGGGACCTACATAATACAAGCTTCGCTTTTTAGTAGATCCCCCACTTTATTGATTGATTTATCATGGTAATCTCTTATGTTTTTTATATTGTATGTTCAGTTATAATAATTACCATTGTTCATTATGTTCAATTATGTTATTTTTGATAAAGTGAAATAAATAAACTTGAAACTTGAAACTTGAAACAAAATCATGCTCTATATTTTTGGTTAAATATATGTATTGTATTTCTTCTTCATAGTCTTCCTCAGCATTTCTTTTTCCTTTTAAACTTACTAAGCTGACATTTCACCAGAAAAAAACCTGTCTCTGTCTGTCTATCTGTCTCTCTTTTCTCCTCTTTTCCCCCTTAACCCCTTCCCATCCCCCTCTTTCTCTCCCTGTCTATGTCACTGCCTCCCTTCCAATTCCCCTTTCTCTCCGTCTCCCTCTCTCCTCTCTTAGTTCGTTTATTTCCATTGCCATTCAATTAAGAGCCTTGTAATAAATTGTCCCTCATAGGAAACATGTGGTTGGGCTCGAACCCCCTAAACTGGCCTAACTATTTTCTCATTTTCTCAGACAATGTCAAGAACAGTGGCATGTTTGGCAAAAGCTCAAGGAGGCCTAGGTCCGTCGTTCCCTTTTTAAATTGTACAATGATGAGTAAAAGTTCAGTTTCTAGATAATTATGATAGCTTGATAGGAAAATTGTGTTGCTATACCCCATCGAAACATTTTCATGATTTTGTAGGAAAGCATCCAACCTAACGAGGAAGTACAATAAAATGAAATATGTAAAACTGAAAGTAGAAGACACTTTGAGAGTTGTTGAGTTAATTATTGACATCTTTATATTATAAATCAAGCAGAGATTATGATTGAATTTCGAGAGTTGGGAGCAACACTGAAAAATTGAAAATTATCGGGTTATATGTGTAACATTGTTCAGTATCGTATGAAATTACATATGATAATAATTGCAATAATAATACTGTTACTGCTGATAATAATTATAATACTGGTAGTATTAATAATAATAACAAAATTAATTATAATAATCAAACTACTACTACTACTACTTCTCCTACTGCTACTAACAACAAATACTATTACTACTGCTCCTACTAATGACGATGATTATGACGATAAAAAGAAAGAAATCCCCTGAGCTTCCGGGAATTCTATTGCCTGGACCCCATCAAGGGCCCTAGGCGGGCCCCTGCATGGATGCTCATCTAACCGTAATAAAATGCCTAAAAATCCATGAGCTTCATTGGGCTCAGCCCCAGTGGCGGATCCATGGAGGGGGGGGGGGGGTGCGATGTAAAACAAATGGGAAACAAAATTAGTGCTCAACCCCCACCCCACCCCCCTCACAGCGTAATATCGGCTGACTGTCCTGCTTAATATTTTCTCACGAATTAGGCCCCCTCTTTGGCGCCTCCCCTGCTGACGGCTGGATCCGTCCCTGCTCAGCCCCCTGGATCCATTAGTGACCTGCCAGCTTCAAAAATAAGTTATCAAAATATGCTTATCTGACCGTACTTAAATGCCATAAAACCCTGAGCTACCGGGGTTCCGCCCCTGAACCCCACCAGGGGCCCTAAGACGGGCCCTTGAATGCTCATCGGACCATAGTTAAATGCTTTAAACCCTGAGCTTCATGGGGCTCAGCCCCCTGGACCCCATGCCAATTATTGACCTGCCAGTGTCACAAATAAGGTATCTGAATATGCTTATCTGATCGAAATTTAATGCCTCGAACCCGTGAACTTCTGGGGGATCCGCCCCTTGACCCCTGCCGGATCAAAGCCCCTGAACCCCATGCCAATTTATGCTCCACTCGCTCCGCTCGCTTCACTCTACGTGATCGTTAGTATTCCACTTTTTAAAACGTTCCGTGTGGCCTGCATTTACATGTAACATGTAAGAGTGATGGTGATGCAAATTTTTCTTCCGCCCCCCCCCCTCCAAAAGAGTTTTTTTCCTCATTACGCCACTGCCCCTAAATGGTGAACCCCTGGAGTGTTCCCCCCCCCCCCGCCCCCATCCCAAGCTGCTTCCAGCGCATCTGGACTAGGGTCCGAGAAGGAGTAGGGAGCGAGATCGTGAAAAAAACTGATTGAGAAGAAGAAGAAGAGAGAGAGAGAGAAAGAGAGAGAGATAGAGATGGAGAGAGAGAGAGAGAGAGAGAGGGGTTGATCTAGGATCCCAAGGGTATATAACATTCATCACAAATTATACATTTAGCTCTATATACATGAGATACAATTTTTGCCTCTTTAGCGTATGAATCGATTGGCTTTTGAAAGGGGGCGCGGCCCGTTGTTCCTCGCCCCGTTTAATCGGCCTGTAATTGTACTCTGTAATATGTAAGCAGTCAACAGGACACCACGTTTAACGAAAGTTCATCTGAAACCGTTAACGACTTATTGAAACAATGCTTTCATTATCATCTAATTCTGTCTATAAATAAACATTTCCTATGTAAGTTTAATATGTTTCCGTATATTGTTTGTATATTCAGTCCGGAAAAGTGTAAAGTAGTTTCGATATCATCCGAGCCATTCCGTTTATATGACCTTAATCTATTCATACGTTTTATTTTTACACGGCAGAATTCGTTGATGCTGCCGACGATCTAGGATATTCATCATGAACAACTCGGTGCAAGTTCGTGTTTGGGTTTGGGTCTGCTCCCTGCTGTTTGTTGGACGTTGCACTTCTCTGACTTTCTGCGATTATTGCTACTGTGACACCCCCGACATATGGTGCAGCGGGGTCAACTTCCATGAAGCCTTAAACCATACTATTCCAAGTCGTGTCGCCAGTAATACTACGTTCCTTAATGTGAATATATTTGACGGCGAGATGATACTGGCGAACGATACACTGAGTGTCTTTCCTGCCTTACAAAGGCTCTCGATAAGTACTTACCAAGTCTCCTTCGTAGATCAATTTGTTTTTGAGGGGCTTTACGAGTTATCATACATTTATTTGGAAAGGAACGGTCTTCATGAAATACCAAGTGAAGTTCTTTTCCATTTGAGAACCTCTCTGCAAGAGCTGCATCTGGTAAATCAACGTCTTCGTAACATCCCGTCAAATGCGTTTGCGGAATTAGTCAACCTCCAAGAATTGACTATTACCTATAACCTAAACTATCTTGATATATCACCCGATGCGTTTAATGGTCTTGCGAAATTAAAAGGCCTTTGCTTATCGAGTTGTAACATTCGACATTTTCCTAACACAACCTTCTCGGGGTTACATACCCTACATGAATTAGACCTTAGTTACAATCGCGTAGTTGAAGTACCGACTGCGATACAAACCCTCAAATCTCTCATGAAGTTGGACCTCTCTCACAATACACTTTTGGTCAATCCAATGGACTTGATGTTCTTGAGAAGTACGACTAAGCTGCAGACACTACAAATGAGGTACTGTGCCATCTCTAAAATATCACCAGACGCTGTTGATAACCTCAAAGCATCTCGGGATCTAACGGTCGCGAATTTCGATGGAAATCCGTTCAACTGTACCGAGGATCTTTGCTTTTTCGCAAGCTGGTATGTTAGTCTGCCGGGGCCGAGTACAAGTACACGAAGTCCTGACTTCATTCCTTTTATCACCCTAAGTCCTCCTCCAGGAAAGGGGCCATATCAATGTGACATCTATGGCAAGCCCCTCCAGGACTTCTTCAGTGAGTCTTGTCTACCTAGGCCTGATCCCAGCTCATCCATTTTTCCACCTGGTGAAACACCGTGGCATGTGGTAATAATTGCTGTCACTGTCATCCTCGTCGCGTTCGTCGTCACCATCGTATCATTCGTCGTTTGGAAGTTCAGGTTGATAAACTACTATCATCACCGCATAGGGGTTTCTTTTCAGCGCCATGTCAATTACGGAGCTGTGGGAGACAACAACCATGAATATGTGTTTGACGCCTACGTCAGTCATCACGATGATGACAAGTCATTCGTCGAAGATGAGATGCTTCCTCGTCTCGAAGACGAACACGGCTTTGATATGTGTGTCTCCTTTCGCAACTTCCGCTTGGGTTCCAACCTCCTGGAGAATGTGTCTTCGGCTCAGGATGTCAGTCGTGCCACCATATTCATCATTAATGAACGCTTCATGCAGAATGGCCAGTGTAAGTTGGAGCTTGAGATGGCTTCGACGAGGATGCTGGAAGATGAAACGGGTCACGAAGGACAACGTCTCATCATCATCCTGATGGAAGTCCTTGCTCCCGAATTGGTGAACAGCACCCTGAGGGTACTTCTAAACCATGTTGCTTATCTCGAGTGGGATCCTGCTGCAGAAGAAAGATGTTGGGGTCAACTCATTGCTACTCTGGATACGTTGATGCCAGAAAGGAATGCCGACAATGGAGAGGGTACCGACGAGGGACGAGATGACGGCGACCAAACAGACGATAACGAGGATCAAACTGTTTGATAAGGAGTTTATTCGGGCTTGAATTCACACATACCTTTATAAATTGCGGCGTGTAATCAACTGTTGTTTTAATAATAACATTTTGCTGGATAGCAAATTGTATTTAGAATGTTATCTTACTATATTTATCAGGTTGAGGAGACATATTTTTATTATCATGGTTAAACTTTGCCGGCCGTTTAGATACACCGTTGTGTTTTAAGCATTAAACACTAATGGGCGTTACAAAAATTATTTAAAAAAACCTGGTATCTCTCTATACAAATATTTTATTAATGTATTTTTAGCAACAAACATTTGGATATTGAAAAAAAATAATCGTGTAATGGTACAGTAGCTCGGTGTCTATTTCAAATGTTAAAAAAGGGAGATATTTTCATGTTACAAGTCAAAACTACATAATTTGCAACTTTTGTCAATATCATTCAAGGTGTTTAATAATTAGCATCATCGACTTTGTATTTCTTCTTCATAGTCTTGCTCCACATTTCTTTCTCCTTTTAACTTACTAAGCTGACATTTCACCATAAAAACCTGTCTCTATCTGTCTCTCTTTTCTCCTCTTTCTTCTCTTTCTCTCCCCAATAACCCCTCCCCATCCTCTCTCTCTCTTGCTCTATCACTGCCTCCCTCTAAATTCCTAAATTCCCCTTTTTCTCTGTCTCCCTCTCCCTTCTCTTAGTTCGTTAATTTCCAGCCATTCATACAGAGCCTTGAAATAAATGGCCCTAGCTCCTAAAGGAAAACTATTTTTCTTTTTTTTTAGGCAAAGTCAAGAACAGTGGCATGTCTGGCAAAAGCTCAATGAGGCGTTTGACTGCAAACTAGAAAAGGGTGCATTTCTACTGTGTTTCTTCATAACGCTACCCCATGTATACATTCGTATACTGCTCCTTCCCTTTTGTAGGCGATTCTTCTCCTATTTATCAGTTTCTGGATAAGCCTCTGAATCGTGGCACACGACCCACGTCTACTTCCAAATGATGATTAAAAGTTCAGTTTCTAGATAATCATGATAACGTGGTAGGAAAATTGTGTTGCTATACCGGCCCATTGAAACATTTTTAAGGTTTTATAGGAAAGCATAGTACAACCTAACGAGGAAGTATTGGAAGTATTGGACATATTGAGAATCTCGTATATACTTGAGTTAATTATTAGTTAATTATTGCGATCTGTTCATTATAAATCTAGCGGAGATCGTAATTGAGTTTTGAGAGGTGGGAAGAACACTGAAAAATTGCTAATTATTGAGTTAAATGTGAAATATTGTTCATAATCGTATGAAATTGCATTGGATAATGATCGAAATAATGATACTGCAGCTGCTGATAATAATGATAATAATGGTAGTATTAATAAAAATAATAAAAAAATTAATAAATTATAATCATAATAACAAAAATAGTAATGACACTATACTACTGACGATGATGATGATAATAATGATAATGATAATTATCATGACGAAATATAAAATCACTTCTCATACTCCTACTACTATTACTACTACTACTGATAATAACAATAATGGTAATACAGTCCGTTCTATCACTGAAGCCCAAGACAGGAACCGAGGAAGGATATGAAATCTAGCACCGGGTATTTTGGTGCCAAGTAGCGTTGGGCTATAAAGTGATGTGCTATATTACTATTATATAGTATGTTAGTAAATGAGTCTTGTCAGTATATAACATTATATTGATATGTATTATTATAGATTCAAATAGACAAAGGGGGTTGGGGGCGATGTGTCTACGCCCCCTCCCCTACTAGGAAAAAAAAGAGAATGAAAGCCAGTATCATAATAATAATAGTAGTAGAAAGTCTGGAAATTTATCTTTTATTCCTGCTTGCTTGTCAATGAATTTTGGTATATGACGCTCTAGGTTTTATTGTTGTTTCGTTAGTTTTAATTGAATCGGAGAAACAAAAGCCATCTTTCGGATAATCCTGGATCTGCTTCCGGTATTTCGCCCTTCTTTTTCCGCCTCCTCTCACTTCCTCAAATATCTTATCAATATCATTATTAAAGTTATGTTACTACATATTATTCTACTGTCTGAAAAAAGTGGCCCACACACAAGAACAATACCATTTAACATCGTTTATTGCTTTCTATCGACATATATATATATATATATATATATATATATACATGTATATATATATATATATATATATATATATATATATATATATATATTCAAACAGTACGAATGCATAGGAAAAGATGAAGTACTAGAGTTCATAAAAGAATTCTGAACTCTGAACTTAAAAACTACACACAATTTAGTTTAACAAATCAGTTTAACAATTTATTAAAACAATATAAAATTATATTCCAGAAAGTAATATATTTAGTTCTTTGAGCAAATTCATACAAAGTAGAAATTCGGTATGAAAGTTATATAGAACTATTGATAATAACTGTTGCACTATCTTCTTTCTATATTTCGTAAATGTGTTTTTAATAATTTTCACGTATTTTTTGTATAGAGAGGCACTGAACAATAAACATATTATGTAAGAAATAACATCAGTTTTTGAAGAATTACAAAGTTGTCATGATATACTCTGCAAACTTGAAAGGAAAATGGGTCGTTACCACACAAAACAGATAGTCTCATTACCATAATACGCGTGGCAAGACATGCAGTACAATGCACTATCATGAATCATAATTTCTATTCCTATTTTAGTCAGTAAAACCTGGACAAACATGTTTTACTTTATATATGCGACAGATAACGAGTAACTATTATTATCTATCGAAATTTACAAGTTGAGTGAATATACAAAACAGTTTAAATTAAAAAATGCTCGACAGGAATCGAAGAGTTGATTGTAGTAATTAGGGGCTCCTACAGCCCATCCGTAGGTAAAAAAAACTTTGAGCCCTGAGACATGACATAGCAGAATAGTTTCAATCAATATGTTCTTTCTTCTTGGTGGTATAGGTCAACAGTTATAAGACATTATGATAAAAAACTTCAGAGGTTAAATGGATGAAATGGACATCCTGTTGAAACTATTTCGTCTTTCACTTTCACATTATACTCTACTACTAAGATTTTGTGCGAATGAATGTATAACAGGCATTATTAATCTAAATAATTTCTTCGCAACGTCTAGACTCTTCAACCATGAAAACAATCAGGATTATGAAGGCATATCACAAATATAGCAAAAACGTTGTGCGTTATGCATGATACTCCTCCACCACGCACTATAGTCATACTTCACAGAAAATGTATATACAAAAATCTTGGAAAACTGTCTTTCAGAGGTTTATGGAAATGAAAGACAAAATGATATGCCAATAATTTGAGTTGCAGATAACGATTTTTACAAGATTAAGTAGAGAAGATAGAGGAGAACTATGTTGAATACAGACAGTGAGACGGTGGTGGCGCTGTCTGTCACGTTAATTTTCCATCCGAGGAAACGATGAGTGTAGCACTGTGGAAAGAAAAGAAAAAACAAGAAAAGGAAAATAATTTTCAATGACCATATAGACAGACATTATTGGCTGACAGATTACTACAACATTTGTTCAGATAAAACATCTGATAATATATAGATGAGCAACTCGATATGAAGCATAACAATTGGTGTCCTTGATTTAGATGTAATAGATGAATGAATAGAAAGATATATAGATATATAAATAAATAGATTTATAGATAGATAGATTGATTGATAGATAGGTAGGTGAGTATGTAGATAGATAGATAGGTAGATCTGGATGATGTAGCTATCTTTCCTCAGCTTCGCTTCAGAAAGATAGCTACATCCAGATCACGTCGGAATTGATAGTTTGCCATCACCTGAAACCAAAAGGTGATTATTTGCTTTATATTCCACATCGGAAACATTTCATAGATGTACATAGTACTACTATTAACACAGTGCAACACACTTTTCTTCTCCCATCAATGATGGGCGAACTATCTTTCATCACGTGATTTACTTTTGACCAATCGTAGCGCAAGATTCTTTGTATGTGGAATATAAATAGATATATATGTAGGAAGATAGATATATACATGTACATTCATACATACATAGAAAGACAGATAGACAAAGAGAAAGCCAAACAGACAAACAGACAGATCTCCAGAATGACACAACTTATCTCACCTGGTAGTAAAGCAGATCAGGTGCATCGAGCGGGACGGTCCACTCGAGTACGCCCGGATCACCGGGTGCGCAATCCTTGGTCAGGGTCGTCTTATAGTCGTCAAACGTGCTGTACGAATTAGGGTCTGCGCTGCTCATGTACTGGCAAAGTGGACCCTCTGTCAAATTAATAACATGAATTTATCGTGACCAGACGAATTTAGTCTTAACCCTAATAAGGCCGGGGGGGGGGGCCATTATGGCCCCCCCCCCCCTCCACAATTTTTCCGATTGCTCAGGAACGCATATGGATGGCGCCCCGCCGCTCGCTGACTTTTTTCTTTCGAGTCTTGCGCAACTTTTAAAATAATTTTTTTGAAAATCGGACCTACGGTTACAAGGTCACGTGACCTTTTGTCTTTGCATGTCAGCCCGAAAATCGCTCATTTTCGTGATTTGTGTACAAAACATATGGCAAAGTCATTTTTCCTAAAATCAGATCAAACATGGGTTATTGGGTCTTGTTTAAAGTTTAGGTGGTTGTTTTGGGAGTCAAAATAGTTGAATTGTAGTAAAAGATGAAATAAAACAACAAAAACAATGAAATACATAAGTTAAAAAAACAATGAAATACATAAGAAATTATCAAAACAAGGGATAACATAAGAAATAAGGTGGCTCTTCCAAATTTTTTGTTGTATTATTATTCAGAATGGTCTAATGAATATATCTAGTGAAAAAGAATGCTTAAATATGAATAATATATGATTTATGGGTAAAAATGTGATTTTTATGACTTTATTTGCATAAATTACCATAAATATGCAAATGAGTGAGTTTTTCAAAAAATTGAAATTATCATATTATTCTTTACACTTCACTTGACATGTGTGCAAATTTTTGCGGCGATCGGCCGCTTCGCGGCCGAGATCTTAAGGGGGGGGGGGGCCATAATGGCCCCCCCCCGGCCCTACTAAGACTTCAAATAGCCCGGCCTTATTAGGGTTAAAGGCAGATGGTCGTGGGTTTCTATGTGCAGTGGGTTATATATTGCTGACACCAGATTTGGTGGAAATACCATTAGTGCATGTGTGTTCAAGTCTCGCAAACAGCAAACCAGTCCCATTAAGAAATACCCCCCCCCCCCCCCCTGCCAGTCTTTTGGATAGTCTTCGGTAGAGCGAAATGTAAGATAATGACTCATCCATATGTGGCAATTGGTGGAAAATGCAGAGCCCGTTGGTCATAAAACTGTAGGTTAATCTTTCCAAAGGATCGGGCTGGCAATTGAACCATGAACCATCAACTCTTGGATTGAGAGTCAAGTGAAGGAACCCCGTTACCTAGACACCTTTTCATTTGCAAATTCAATTAAATCATCATACAATTGCCCTATTCAAAGTTTGTCAATATATGATTAAGTTACAGGAATATACAATCCAGTTTTAAATGATATTGGATCAGCGTATGTGTTGTTCATGATTATAATGGCAGGTGGATGCTCCTTAAATATATTACAGGAGTTTTTCATCACGATCCCATTTTTAGATTTGTTTTGAATTATTTCTCTATACATTATATTACATGTATCATCATTGCAGGATACTGTAAATACGGCAGGTCTCTGATCCTCTCTTATACATAAATTAACAATGTTGAAATCACATAGTAAAAAGTGACTTTATAGTGACAAGGAAAGGAAAGGTTTCATGGGGGTTAATAAAACATTTACATGTTTACTAACTGCCAATTAGACCCGTCGAAACACACACAGACGGGGCACATTTAAGGATGGAAAAGGTATATACAAAATTAAAAAGGAGAAATGGTTCGACTTACCTTCAGGGCCTGCGTAGATCTTAATACCCTGAAAAAGAGAGGAGAAAGAGAAGGAAAAAATAGCAAACAGAATAATGGTGACTGTGATTATTGCAGCAAATTCTAAAATCGCACGGAAAACATCCTTGATTCCTAAAAGGGGCCTTGACCCCAAAAAGGTTGAAAAGGGCTGCTTGAGACATTCGTGTTAAACACTCTATATCGGTATTCTATAATGATAATAATGCTTTCCCTGTAATGTCTATAACTATTGTAGGGTTCGTGGGATACACTTGCTATTTCCATGTTTACAAAACCATATTGTTACCATAATAGAAGCCTTAAACATAATAAGAATGCAGGTAACGTAACTAATCAGAGAATATATCATTCAACTTAAAAAAAAACTATTTTCATTTCAATTTTTTTTTATGTCTGCTTCTTGTGATTAAGACATTTTGTTACATTATGCTGAAAGTCTCCAAAACGGTTATCTTTAAGGTCTTTCAAGAATATGCTGAGACGTTTTTGTGAAGTTGGGCTGGTTCTTTGTATGAAAAACAATAAGTCCGTTTTATCGGTAGATAATTTGACACATGTGACGACTGATGTAACCATATTTGCTTTTGCCAATATGTCATATTGCTCTTTTTCGTGCTCGAATGTAATTATGGTAGGGTCCATGATTACATAAATATAAAGTCCTTCATTGAAAGAGAGAAATGATCTCCAAAACAAGACAGTGACGTATGCCAAAGACTAGATCGCCAACAAATCATGTGTGGATTACGTAATTCGTCATTGTAATATTCACACATTTCAAAAGGTGGTGGAATGCTGATTTTCGAAAGTCTTTGCGATCTTATTACAGCTATGAAATCATCAAATTAAAAAGTGCGCCCTTTTGCCATGCGAACTGCGCCAGAAGATACCATGACAAACTCACCTGTCGTTCTTCTTCGGTGAGCTGCTCATAGCCACCGTTGACGTCATCAGTAATATAGAAGGGATGATAGTTACCACTGACGACCGGGTCATCTCCACCACTGACACGGAATGTGTAGGTCACGTTGCGTTTCAGGGTTAGCTCAGGAATGAGCTGACCGTTGATAAACCATGCGATTCCCCAACCAACACGGCCTGGTGAAAAACACGATGACGTAACATTATAACAAATACTATTTCCAAATGATTCACGATTCATTCCGAAATGAATCTGACTGTTTCAATATACGAATATTTCCGAAGACCTTCGATATAAACTTGCTAAGAAATATGGATGTTTCGGACATCTCTGCCAAGGAAATTGCCATTCCATTCTCATTGGTAGGAGGGTGTCGAACAAAAGCATGCAGCCAGAAAAGTTATAATTTACCATTAAGCTCCCCCTCCCCACCACCAAACAAAATAACAAAAAACAAAAAACCAAACAAACACATGATAATAATAATTCCAAAGAAAAGGGGGGGAGGGTAAATAGTTGATGAAATGGGCCTAAATGTTCTCATTTTCCGACGGAAGTCTATTTTGGGGTAACACAAAAAACAATGGGGGGGGGGGGAGGGGTTGGACTTCTTTCGATTTTGGGCGTGGTGACAAGGCTCTACAGTAGCAATGCTCCCGAAGATCAAGACATCAAAGGGGGGAGATAGGAGGAGTTGCCATAACCCAAAGTTAGTCAGTTTGGAAGTTTTGTGCTTAGAACAATTCTTACCAGTGATAGATTCATATCCTTTTCTTCCACCAGACAATCCCATCTCCACGGTGAAGGTAGCTTCTTCAAGTTCTTCAATTCCTGGGATCACCCAGCCATCTGTTATGGGTGGCACAGTAGCACCCTGGCCGAGAGGTGGGCACCTGGTGCTATTACGTCCGAAATCGATCGTGAGATTCGAAGACCCTAAACGAAAAAAAAAGATCCTTCATAAATACCAAAGTATATGCTCAACGTTCATGGCATTATGTTGCCTAATAAAATTGGATCCAAAAATACAACTTGTTTATGTCTTCAAATTAAAAAACAAAGAAAGAAAGATTTAATTCTTTAGTTTGAACACGAATGAATAAAAAGTCTTCAACTTTCCAGTCCATCTCCTACTTTCTGTTGCAAATGAATGACTCACAAACAAATACAATCTAAACACAGGTATTCAATATCAATATAATTTATTCTGGTCGATGTTCCACTGATAAATGCTCAATCATTCTAGATCTGTTGTATAATGAAATGCTTTTTTAATATATCAATTAATCGAAATTCAATCATGTTCATATCGTCGCAGGATTCACGACCCGTCAAATTGAGCCTTTCTTTTCGTTCCATATTTCAAACATAGATCAAGTCAATCACATGTCAGACTTACTTGGCGACCGTCGTAGATCGTGGTAAGTGTGGTAAGCAACACGTCCATCACCATTGATAGGTCCTCGAGCCCAGATGACGTAGATTGGACCATCAGTAGTGAAAGCCTTGTCATATGTTGCGTCTAAGATATGAATAATAATAATAATTGTAAATTATTATTATTATTATTATTATTATTTATTTGGCATTTCAAACATACAATACAAGGTACAATAGAATGGCACATAGGATACAAAGTATGAAAGAATAAAATTTGCTTCCCCTGCTGCACCTCCCGAAGTTGCCGGGAAGAAAAAAAGGAATGTAAAATTCCTATAACCCGTAAGTCTTTTCTTCCGACTCCAGGAGATGCATCAGAGGATGCCTAAAATATTATACATAGTCATAATCAAAACAAAAACAACAACTTATTGATGACAATTCATAGACTTAAACTTTAAAGCTCGATAAATTGCAATATGTTATTTCAGGTGTCACTGGCATGTCTGTTTAAGTGAAGCAAAAAAGAAAAGTAAATAGCAGAAATTGGAATTGAATAATAGTTAGTATGTCGTAAAAGTATATATCCCAATTACTATAGAAATATACTAAACCATCCAAATATAATTAACCGCGCAAAACATTGTAATGAGAACAAAAGCAGAAAAAAAGCGAAAATTACATTAATGCAGAAGAAACTAATAATAAAATGTGTTCAATCAGACAGTTTCAAGTTTCAAGTTTCAAGTTTATTTGTCTTCCAGAAAACACATGTGACAAAATATAATAGAGTATAATCATAACAGTACAATGTAGAACAAAGGAAGACGAGGAGACCTTGGTTGAAGCACAGCTTGTTAAGTTAAGGCCCCCTCATATGATGTGACAAAGATAACTTATTTATGAATACAACAACAAATATGGAATATATAAAACTATTTACAAAATACTCTCAGAGAACAACTACCCAACGTTGCATCTAATATGATCTAATATGGACAAACCCAAGCCGACACCAAGTCGAGACATCAATGAGTTATTGCTCTCTGAGTGCAGAGGTCAAGTAGGAATATATGGTATATGTAGTATGTACAGATGAGAAAGAAGAAGAAAAAGAAAAGGGATAAAGGGGGTTATATGTCAAAGTCAAGAATTAACGAAAAAAAGATCAAGAGTAAAGTTAAATATGCTACAGTACACTAACAATAAAGCTTGATAACACATTCATGTGTCATCGACATACTTGTCAAGAAAATATGACTTAAGTCTACGTTTAAAAACTGAGATACTTGAAGCATTTGTTATGGTAGTATCAAGTGAATTCCAGAACCTGGGGCCAGTGGACATTAGTGTATTCAAAGTGAAGGTTGTCCTTGCATATGGTAAATGGAGAGCAGAAGCCTGTCTAGTATTATAGCTGTGAATTTGGTTATTTCTTCTAAAGATTTGAGCAAGGGCAGGAGGGAGGTCTCCAGAGTGAATGCTAAACATGAGCATTCCAAGTTGCATTGAATAGAGATCTTCTAGTTTTAGAATACTGTTTTCATAATAAAGTAGATTTGTATGTGCACGATAATTTGCTTTACAAATTATTCTAATAACCCGCTTCTGCACAACAAAAAGCCTGTGGATTTGAGTTTTGGATGATTTGCCCCATGCCAACATACCATAATTGATATATGATAAAATAAGAGTAGAGTAAAAAAATGAACAATACCTCTTGAGGTATACATGATCTCAACTTATAAATAACACCAGTATTTTTTGACACCACTTTACTTAATTTGTCCACATGAGTTTTCCAATTCAGTTTCTCGTCTATGTATATTCCAAGAAATTTCGTTGAAGTTACAGTATATATAAGGAAAGGTTTTCCAGATCAGCCTTATATTTTAGTAGGCCTGTTGGACATAATTGTAATATAATGGATTATTGGTGACCCCCACAATCATGTCTATGGTTATGCATACCGAATTAAGGGAGGGAATTGAGGGAGGGAGGTAGTACCAACAAATGTATATAATAATAATCATAACATTTAGCTTTTATATAGCGCTTAATACAATGTCTCTATAAGCGCTTTACAAATATACTATTACCCCGGTCATTGGATTCAGTACTTGCCCGCACACACTGTGTTCACAATCTCCACTCCCTGTGGAGCATTCAAGCCAGGCCTTACTTGACGCTCAAAAACTGTTTGACCAACAATGACGGTCGCATCCTACTGGGTACCCATTTAACACCTGGGTGGAGAGTAGCAAGTGATGGTTAATATCTTGCCAAAGGATATAAGTGCCAAAGTATATATATATATATATATATATATATATATATATATATATATATATATATATATATACAAACATGCTAGTAGCAGATTTGGAACCCATTAACTGAGCAGATACTGTACCCCTCCCCATCTTCCATCCCCCATCCGCTAGTTCATTCTATGTTATCAATTAAGGCATATTTTGCTTACCAGATGCATTAAGAGGCCGGCGGTAAACGATGTTTGTGACTACTCCGTTCTCCATATAGGCCTCAACCAATTCTGCGTTGTTGTTACCGTCTTGTGCTGATGAAATTGTATCTGGACAGGCACCACCGCCATTTTGAGGGGAACACTGCAATATTGTGGACATTATTTCAAGTTGTTTTTATTGATATCAAATCATATTGGCACGTGATGAAATATTGCAAATTACGTCATAAAGGTCAGGTTGGGTCATCGTAGCTGACTAAGGCTGTTGCCGAACAGCTGAACATTTCGGAGGGAAATAACTTTCAAATACATGAATTTGTATTATCGAGCTGATTCTTGATATAAAGTATGACCCCTGCCGGGCTGCGGCCCCTCTATAATATTACAATTACCAATATTCGAACACCAGACACCTCATCATCGGGCATCCGACATTTGAAGTACATTTCTATAAGAAAATCATCAGTAATGATAGACTGTCCAAACAAAATATTCATTGTTTTTGTTTCAGGCAGGCAACGTCGACCTTAGGTGAAACTGTTCCATAAAGCCTGTGTCCCGTTATCATGTGGGTCTACATGTAGTCCGGTGACTATCAACTTGATTTTTTTTTTTCGTACCTGAGATTGGCCTTGAAGATAGTAGTCAATGGCATAATAATTTTCCATATCATCCTTGAAAGTCACTACAACATCCCCGCCACCATCAAAGTACCCGTTGGCGATCCACTAAGACCGAACGCGGCGTAGTCGCCAACGACATTGGTGCTGCTCAGTCGGATGACGATGTCGGTGCCGTTTATCATCCAACTCACTTGAAGCTCGTCTTCGACCAGCGTCTCGCAGTTTGGAAACATCTATAGGTTACGACAACATAAACAGTTAATAAAGCGACAACTCCCCCCTTACAATAATTGTTTATTTCCATTTGGTTCGTTGCCAATTCGTCCATTATCCAGCTAGTCTAATATCCCATTTCGTCTATTTCCAGTTTGTGTTCTCCCAACCACTCCATTATTGGCCTAAATCACCAGCTGGTCTACTGATGATTATTATCGTATAATGATTGAGGGGAAAAAGTCAACACCAATGGGAATCGGCCGAAGATTGGCCTTTGGTCTTTGCTAATCAATTGCATACTCAAACTATACAGTTAAATTACATATTGAGTACAATACTTTGATTGGTTCATTCCACGATCATTAACATTGTCTTAATGCCTTTTGTGTCTTTTACATTGGTACGATGATTTTCTATGAATTATATCATTCAATCTAATTTAAAATTCAATCATTCATCAAGTAGAAGTAGCTCTACTCACACTATCCTTATAGACTTCATTTAACCAATTTTTAATCATAGAGATATCGTAACACTACCTAAACCTACGCTTTTCTATTTTTGTGACTTGTAATTTATGTTAGATATTTATATGCAATGAGGATATAAATAGCTTTGAAGATGATACCAATAGCATTCATCCATCATTGCCAAATATCATCATCATCATCTCTATCATGATTACCAATCTCGTTGGTCCGCCACCACCGGCGGTGAGAGGTGCTGGGGGATGTTGAGCTCGGCTTGCGAAGGGATGTCGACGTGCCCAAAGTCCTGCGTGAACGCGATGCACCACAGCCCGAAGTGTCCGATGTCGAATATGTCTGTTCCCTCGGGAAAGGTAAGGGTGATCGTTTCACCGTTGTACGCGCTGATAACACCAGTACTGTGAATGAAAGGATGCATGGGGGGGGGGGGGGGGGGGGGGGGGGGGGGATGAATAACATTACATTCAAAACATTCTACCCGTCGCACGCATATTCTATCCAATACTTTATCGTTCCTAAATATGATTAATTTTTTGAAACTTGAACACTTTTGATTATATTTTATATAATTATGTATATGATTTTATTCGATGTAATAGCATATTATATTTTTGTTTCCCTGCATGTTATTAACCATGTAATATTTGGACGTACTTTTTGTTCGATATGCACATATAATTATTTTATGTATACCTTTGTTTGATTTCGATTAAAGTGATGATGAAAAATATATTTTAAACAGGAGTATTATGGAAAATCAGGATTAAACCAAACTAACCCCTTTTTTCATTCCATGACTACATTTAAAAAAAAAATCATTCATTCAATTTTTTTTTACAGAACTAATCATTTGTAAGAAATAACGAGGCTAAAAAGATATCACCCTAATTGAATGATTGGGCTACTATAAATGCCAAATTAAACGTATACCACGTATAAAAAAAGGGCAATAATGTGGGATAACAAAGCTAGGAAAATAATCGTTCTCATATTTGGGACCTTTGCTGTAGGGTCAATTCAAATCGAGAATATGTTTTTTAGCAATCAATTGGTAAAATCATTCCTGAAAAGTAAGATTCTTTTCTTCATACATAAGTGTTTACTTTGACAAACTAATGGCCAGAAAATGCTTCTTTATACGATTGTCGAGCTGCACAACTTACTCCACTCTGACTCAGAACATCCTGATACGTGGCTAATGTCTATCTGCAGACACGGACTCTAATTTGACACTTTACCACTAGTTATTAAGCCTTGAACAGGGGCCCGTTTCACAAAGCCTTTTTTCAATGACAAATGACAAAATCAGTGACAGATCTGTTGATAACCAATCAGAAGCAAGGATTTCAAAAGCTTATAACGAAAATTGTCATTTGTCACTGATGACAAGTTTTGTGAAACGCCCCCCTGAGCTTAGCTCTGACAATCTCTGGCTATGCATTATGCATTCAGACACTAGCTGTAACATTCAGCGACTGACAAGGACGTGTTCTTCAAACTAGTCTATTGTCGGTCTTACGGTTTACAGCCGTTTGGTTTAAAACTAGTTCGTCTACTACCCAATTGGTCTATTCCCATATGGTCTCCACCTAACCAGTCTACTATTCACATGGTCCAATAACCATTTCGTCTACTTATTAGGGTAATAATCATTTGGTCTAATCTCCAATAAAATCTCGCATTAGTCTAATTGCCAGTCGGTCTAATTCCCAGTTTGTCTAATGCCCATTTCGGTGTAATTTCGCGGTAAGGGCACGTTTTTTCTTTCTTTGGTGTCCCAAAATGTTTGGCCGATCGATATTTCGTTCCGTTAGGGGGGGGGTAAGGTCGGTTTTTGGGGGTCACCCATTACCACAATTTGTTAAATATATGTTTGTTTGTTTTTTAAATTATCAAAAAAAAGGGGGGTTCCACAAAAACACACAAGTAACAAAAAAGCTGAAAGGGGGGTTCAACCTCCACCCCCCCCCCCCTGCGTACCCGCCTGATAGTAGCTATTCAATGTCAAGTAATTGCACAGACTATGTCATCGAGGCCAACCTATTTTGTCTTTTCCTGATACCACTCAAATCAAATCAATTACCTTCCCGTTTCGTCTGGAATCGCATAGTCGCCATTATTGTTAGGCGTCCCTTCCGGTCCAACCCAGAAAAATGCTCCTGAATGCAGAAGAAAAATGATGAAAGGAAATCAAAGAAATAAAAAAATGACATAAACAATAAACGAACAAAAGACATGGCTTTTAGCTTAGTAAATTACTCCTTTTTGTTTTTACTCATATCGATTCGTCCAATCCCCACTCGACTCATTGCATTTCGTCTTTTGTCCATGAGATCTCGTTTGCTTTTAATTTTCCACTCGTCAGTTTGTCTAATGCCTGTTAGGTCCATTTACCTTTTCGTGTCATAACTGATCGGTGTAAAAATCATTTGGCTTCTCACATAAAATTATAGTAGTGTGCTAGTATGTATTTGTTTAAAAAAAAAGCTGACAAGGGTCAAAGCCTCACAAGGGCTTCACATTATGAACATATTTTTGTTGGTGCCAAATTCTTCGTTGTTACTCCAGAAAAAATGAAAGGGAACCTCTGACAACTACCATCCATTAACCCTCCATACGATTCTTCCTTTGGAGCATTGAACTTTAAATATCAGGCTCATGTATTATAATAATTTCACATCTGACTCTCACTCTTGCCAAGATTTGCCAACCAAAAAAAAAATCGTAACACCCCTTCCCCACTGTCTGTCGATGCCCATGATCGCAGGTCCTCTACGAAGAACATGTTTATACAATCAAACCTGTCTACAGCGACCGCCCAAAGGAAACAAAAATGTGCTTGTTGTAGACAGGTGGTCTTTGTAGACGGGTTCCTTTAGTATATCTTTTAATGAGAAACCATTTTCAAGGGAAACAAAAATGTGCTTGTTGTAGACAGATGGTCTGTGTAGACAGGTGGTCACTAAAGCAGGTTTGACTGTAATATCTTACTTGGTCCTTGACCGTCATAGACCAGATTCTCAACTCGGATCTGCTTTGCGTTCAAGATGATCACAGCAGACGCATATGTGTTGTGCACACGAGGTGTGAAGCCGAGGGTCCCCAGGTTCAGAGGGCAGGGGCTATGAAGTTGGCGGGAACAGTCAGGTCTCCGAAATTTGCCTGTATGGTTGAAAAAAGCAGTACAGACCAAAATATAGAAATGTCAATTCATTTCGTTCAGTCTTGATATATTAAAGTGTATGATATTTTAGTCGGAGTAACTTTAAAGAATTTCCCATGTGTTTTCTCCTCAATTAAAACAAAAAGTGATATACAGTCAAACCTGTCCGCCCAAGAGAAACAAAAAAATGTGCTTGTTGTAGACAGGTGGTCTGTGTAGACAGGTTCCTTAAGTATATGTTTTAATGAGAAGCCATTTTCAAGGGAAACAAAAAATGTTTCCGACACAAGTGCAGGGCCCACATGCAACATGCGGGTGAAATTTCATTACAAAAATCAAAATGTGTGTCCGTGTGCCCCGGCAGATTTTGGCACTGAAAACACACATGGAAAATGTAAGAACCTTTTGCTTTCCAGAGATATTTGGCCTCAAAATTCACCCCAAAATGGAAGATTTTCCGGACAAGTACCCACCCCCGCCAAGGACTCCTGTATCTGCCATTGAATAAAAGCGAGGAGAAAACGTTTTCCATACCCCAAATTCTCGACACCAAACTGAGATCCAAGCAAGAGACGATACAGTTTTTCCTGCCGGTAGGGTCACCCTGATATCTACGTTGTCATACGCTTCAAGCTTTACCGTTCTGCACAGGAGAGAAATATAAAGGCTGGTTTATGGCGAAAAAAGAAGAAAGTACTACTACTCAACACGACTACTACTACTTATACTGAAACTATACCACCCAGGAGTGGCGATCCCTGGGGGACAAAGGAGGAGGGGGGACACGTCCCACCTCAACTTTATTGGGGGGGGGGGGGGGACGTGCAACAAAGTGCAACAACAAGTGTATAGCAAATACTGACTAAAGTATTGTAACTAACACCAGAATATCATCACATATCACTCCTATCTTGAAATCTCTGCACTGGCTCCCTGTTCAACAGCGTGTGATCTATAAAATTCTACTCTTAACCTATCGTGCACTAAATGATCTAGCTCCAGAATATATTTCATCCCTTCTATCACCCCACTCTGCAGGTCGTTCTGGTTTACGTTCATCACATAATATTAGACTTAAAGAAATACGTACCAAAAGAATTGGGGGGATAGAGCATGTGCATCAGCAGCTCCTTCTTTGTGGAATAAGTTACCTTTCTCTATTCAGACGGCCAACACTCTCTCTACTTTCAAAACAGGGCTTAAAACTCACCTGATGCTCAATGCATATTGTTAAATTTCAATGTTCTTTTTATACACTGCATACAAAACAAACAATCGCACTGTGCCACATTGTATGTACCTTGGCACCATGAAGTTGTATGATCTAATGCAAGTTAACATTTAATATTTCTTTAATCTTAAGTATGTTGAATATTAATTTAAATTATTTGAATGCGCCTTGAGCATCTCTACAGATGGATATGTTGCGCTTTATAAATATTGTTATTATTATTATTATAAAGACTGCAACACATTTTTAGGCTCTGGAGGGCCCAAGAGTGCAGCGTTTAGACCAGGGTTTAGACTAATACAATTGCAAAATCTTCTGGCTCGGTCGCTACGCTCCCTCGCATAACATCCTTTAAAATATATAAGTAAATATTGTAGAAAATCTGTATTCCGTTATGTCACCTGTGAGGGGGTAGTCACTTCCGTCACCTTCGCCCCTCTCGTTCACTATGCTCCCTCGTCCCTTGCATTTTGTCCCCTTTTTTTCGCCGCCCCTGCTACCACCACCACTACTATTACTACGAGGACGCGGACGATAGCAACTAAAACTACTACTACTGCATTCAATTATTGTAGGATTAATGTAAGAATGACAACAAATGCATCAACAACATCAATTATACTGGTATAATTAAGTAGTACCCTTGATGCAAAGTATGGTTAGAGTAGTCGGTTAAGTGGGACTAGAAATTTGATTGAGTTTAACTGAAATGAAGTATTCCTACCTTCCTTCTTCATCGGGTATGATGAAACCATCATCCGATGGTACCCCGGATTCTCCAGCCCAAATGAAAGCATCTGAAAAGGGAAAGAATCGAAAAACGATTACCAAGAAATCATGGAAGTAATTTAATTTAATTTAATAATAATTCAATTAAATTTAATTTAATAATAGCCTAATGTAGTGTAGTAAACAAGAAAACTTATCGATGAATATAAGAATAACAAGTAAATATGTAAACAAATACACAACGATATCAGTTAAAAATAAATCAGATAAAAATAAATAGACTTAAGGTGGATAGACACAAGTAGATCTGCATATTAAATGGATATTGGAATAACTTGGATGTACCTATTCAAACTTCCAGGTATTTGAAGAAAAAATGGAAATACTCGTTAAAACTACCGGCTATTACAAATGTTTGGATATATAATATCCGAATGTGTGAATGAAAACATATGTATGTATATATATCAATCCAAGTTTCCAGATGTATTGAAAACATTTGGAAACACCCATTCAAATATTTCGGATGTAGTGTATGTATGAAGAGCCTTTTAAAATCAATGCTCGTGCACGGCAATTATTCAATGATGGTCGTGATGGAAAAACCTGATTTGATTTTCGATATTACACCAATAATATGACTATTATTTCTATGTTTATTTCAAAGATTGAGTTCCAGTAATCATAGAAAAAATACTAACAGAATCCAACAAAACTTACAATGAATCAAGATCACGAATAAATGACCTGTGCATAACGATTTTGGTAGAAAGTGTATACGGGTTGAGTAATGAGCGTAGGAAGATAAGGAAATCAAGGTAAGTAGGCCTGACGCCATGTGCTTAACCACACAGGTCACTATGTGCAAATGAGAGTTGTGTTTTTATTGGAGATGATTTCCAGCAAGTTTTTGTGAGTTTTATCTTATTTTACTGGTTCAAACAATCAATCTACTGCAGGATAGACAATCCAGAATGAACTATAGCCATGTTCTCTCGACGGACGATGCCAATACCAGAGCTCAGGATTAGCTTTAACGTAGTAATATATAGATGTATTTAACGAAGTATATATTGGGATACAGGCGCGCCGGAAGCAGTTTGGGATTGGGGGGCAAACATTCCAGGGGGCTCACATTCCAGGGGCAGTGACGTAATGAGAAAAAAAAAGTTCGGAAGGGGGGGCAGACGAAAAATCTGCATTACCACCAGTCTTACACGTTACATGCAGGTCCCGCGGAATGTTTTTCAAAGTGGAGTATTATCGATCAGGTAGAGCGTAAATTGGCGTGGGGTCCAGGGCATGAGCCTCAGCAGGGGTCAAGGGGCTGAGCCCCCGGAAGCTAAGGGGTTTTAGGTATTTAATTACGGTTAGATGAGCATCCAGGGGCCCTCTGTAAGGCAATTGACGTGTTCAAAGGGGGGGGGGGGAGAGCCCCCAGAAGCTCAGGGGTTTTAGGTATTTAATTTAGGTTAGATGAGCATCCAGGGGGCCGCCTTAGGGCCCTTGGTGGGGTCCAGAGGGCAGAGCCCCCGGAAGCTCAGGGGTTTTAGGTATTTAATTAAGGTCAGATGAGCATCCAGGGGGCAAAGCCCCGGAAGCTCAGGGGTTTGAGGTATTTAATAACGGTCAGATGAGCATCCAGGGGCCCGCCTTAGGGCTCTTGGTGGGGTCCAGTGGGCAGAGCCCCCGGAAGCTCAGGGGTTTTAGGTATTTAATTAAGGTCAGATGAGCATCCAGGGGGCCGCCTTAGGGCCCTTGGTGGGGTCCAGGGGGCAAAGCCCCGGAAGCTCAGGGGTTTGAGGTATTTAATAACGGTCAGATGAGCATCCTAGGGCCCGCCTTAGGGCCCTTGGTGGGGTCCAGGGGCAGAGCCCCCGTAAGCTCAGGGGTTTTAGGTATTTAATTAAGGTCAGATGAGCATTTTTTATACCTTATTTGTGACATTGGCAGGTCACTTATTTTTGTCTCCGTCTTTCTTTCTTTTTCTCTTTAACATACTTTTAAAAAAAGGATGGGGGGGGGGGGGGCTCGTGCCCAGCCACTTTGCAGACCATGACATAAAGGCTTCTAAATAATTGTATTTCACCTGACTGTAATTTGGGAATTTCTTTTTTTCCAACAAACGCATAAAAAGGTATGACTTACAAAAAATGGAGAAAAAATGCCGGAAAATCATGTCACAACATCAACATGTGTAAATCACTTGTTTCGAATAAGAAATACATCACCCCCCCCCCATCAGTACGCCAGCGTTCAGGGGCTCATGTCTTCTCACCCCTATAACAAAAAAACCGACACGCTTTCCCATTCTCGCACAATATGTCCACGATATGCGCGTATCGCTATTATAGAGACCTCCATTTAAAATACCGTATAGGTGGCATGCGCAATGTTTATGAAATTTAATTCCTGTGAACTTTCCTTTTTCTTTGAATGGAATTGTATATGTGATTTAATTCAGGTTTTTTTTATTGTTACATTCTTTTGGACTAAAAATACAAACCATGTTTACTCCTTTACTGTTTTTTTTTTTTTTTGGAGGGGTGGGGGGGGGGGGGCGTTTTGGGGGGGGCAAAAATGCGTTTTGCCCCCCCACTTTTTTGACTGGGGGGGCAACTGCCCCCCCTGCCCCCCCACTTCCGGCGCCTATGTTGGGATATACGATGTTTGCTACACCTAAAACAAATACAAATATATTTATGAATTATGAATTATATTTTAGACAGAAGTTTACAATCATTATTCATACATGGAGCTATGTTTGTTATAGGTTTGACAAACACTCCTATTACTATCTCCGCTCTGATTTGATCACGTTAGAATAAGCATGAGGTCCTATATATGGCCAATTTTTCAAGTGATGCATGTTTACTTGGACCCAAGCACCGTCTAGGTCAGTTTGTCTTCCAATGTAAATACCGTCATATATAGAGTCATCGGTACCAAGTACCAAATGGTACAGAACACGACGCAAGAACAACAAGTATTTATTCAATCATTCATTATGCTAGCTTGCATATCAGAAAATAATTCTTTTCACTGGCCGTCTTAAATTCACAAGGACAAGTGATGTGAAAGAATGGGTCAGCTTCAGCACACCCTCTCCTCCAAAATGTGTATACCCTTTTACCCGTCTCCACTGTCTTCCAACCTCCTTCACTATCTCATTCTGTATATTGCTAAAAGAATATGCCTCGACTGCAGGTAATTTTTTTTCAAATTGTTTTAAAATTTATGTTTAAAATAATCATTTTTTTAATTTTTTTTTTTTTAATTAAAAAAAAAAAATTAATTAATTAATTAATTTATTTATTTATTTATTTTATTATTTTTTTTTTGGAGGGGGGGGGGATTTACAAAATATTTCATTGGAGGCTTTATCCCCTAGAGCGGTGGCTTTGTAAGTGAGGCTCGTGAAAAACCCCTCCCTATCTACATACATAGAAGGAGGATGTATTCTTTGTTATAAAGCATTATAATTGTATATAGATAATACAGGGTTGGACTGTGTATTAGAAAATGTATATTTTTATTGTCATGAGTCATATGGAGAATGTGTGAACAGCGAGCTGTTATGTTATGTTACCACAATTTGCATAATGATTCATGACAGGCGCGTACACAGGGGGGGGGGGGGTTTGGGGGGTTAAACCCCCCCCCCCCCCCCTTGGTATTTTTTTTGTGTGTAAACCCCCCTAAATTTCCCTAAACCCCCCCCCCCCCTTTTGGATTTAAAAAAAAAAAAATTTAATTAAAAAAAATATATATATATTCCCATGTCCGACCTCAAAAAGATGACCTTACCCCCCCCCCCCAACGGAGCAAAATGTCAAATTTTCAAATTTCGATACCAAAAAAAAAAAAAAAAAGTGTCCCCCCCCCCCCCCCCCCCCCCCCCCCCCCCCCCCCCCCCCCCCCCCCCCCCCCCCCCCCCCCCCCCCCCCCCCCCCCACTGAGCGACTTTTCGGCCGGCGCGATTTTCAAATTTTCGGGAGCAAAATATTTTGGGCCAGATTAAACCCCCCCCCCCCCCCCCCCTTGAAAAAATCCTGCGTACGCTCCTGATTCATGATTTAAATCATCCGGAACGAAATCCCACCAATGGATTTGTTATTGTCATCTCACCGCAAATGCATTAAATGACTATTTCCCATAACTCCTTGCCATTAGAAATATATATATCAATTTGAAAGAAGGTTGAATTGCCCGTTCCAAGCCGTACCATGTTATCGAGGAAAAAAACAAACATAAATCATCCATCTAGTATAATACATTTACTCAATAACCGAAAAAACACCCATTATTTCACGTGATGGCTGTACGTGGTCTGACGGTCGATCATACATTTGATCAATACACCATTGTGGTTAGGTGGTGTATCTGAGCTATTATGGACTTTTAGTTTCGCACGAAGACAATGGGGATTGCTACGGTCGACGCCCTTTTAATGCACTGCCTTGAATTGACGTCACACGTATCAGTCCACGCAAATCTAAAAGTCCCTATACATGAGGATTGTTCGAGCGCTTTAAGCATCTTTGCTATGAAATGTAATGCCCCAAGTGGACCTCTACAGAACTTCCTTGTCAGCATTTTCATCGGTATAAAATCTACAACGCCGTGTGGCATATATTGCAGAAATGTTGTAAAGTGATAGTGACACATTATTATGTAAAACTGTTAGAAAATGTTCTCGCCAAATTTGTATCTAACTAAAAGAGGAATATAAATTGGAGTAAAACAAATTATTCCACCCTTTATGACCAACTGTGTACAGTGCATATATAACATATTGAATAACTAACTATACGTTGTTGCCCATAAAATTAGATAAATTTTCTCGACTCTTTTCATTAGATTATTGTGACAATGTGATTTATTCTTGATAGATAGAGTTTACATCTTCTCAGAACATTACACTAGCTAAATGTATGACTCTTTAGATATGTCAATACAGTTCAGAGATGAATAAATCAAGAAAAAACGCCACAATCATTACATGAAAAGAGGTAAGAAAAAATTATTCCAACTTAAATGGGCGACAGTGTATTTTTTCATTCTTTCAAGATGAACTTATCAATTCTTAACTAATTCGACACCCCAATTTTCAGACATATTTTATGATATGTTAACATGGGTCATAAAGAGTTCAGTTATGAATAAGTCTTTGTCATTGTTGGACATTGTGTTGTCGCTGACGCATTCCTGTGGCGGACAAATGACGCAGTCCTCCATCACGCAAAATATCACTTTTTCCTGCGTCACGCAAATAACGCCTCGTGTGCAAGCGTTCATGTTCTTACCTGGACCAGCCCCGTCATATCTGAAGCCGATGATTCTGAGAGTGGTGTCATCCTCTGCGTACACTGTCCCGGCTATGTCATGTGATGACTTATCAGTAAAGGTACCAACAAGCTTTCCATGGTATTGGGCCTGACATAGCGACACCACTGGAATTGAGAGGATGAGGGAGAAACATTGGGTTAGAAATTAACTGTAACGGTGCGGCCTTGTAAACAACTTTTGTAAACAACCATTTATTTTGAGAATTAAGCATTCACGTATCTCCCACACCCGTTTAAAGACATTGCATCTCTTTAGGAACAGTAGTATGAACAATACACCACTAATAACAACAATAGCAACAACAACAAAAATTACATTACAATTTTGAATTGTTATCCGTTGGTACATGATGCACATCCGGGTTTATATCCATTAAGAGACCTGCTGCTATAGTAACATGCCGATAATAACTCATATCTGTACCCTTTACCCTTTCAGTACAGGAATTATGATAGGGTTAAAAATATCACAATAATTTACTTTTTAAGCTATATCGTTCTAACCGAATGTAATTATGTAATAAAAACAATACGCAAAGTTTCACTTTTATTTTTCCTTTCTAAAATGCCTTCATGGCATCAAAGACAATGCGGACATGCAATACAAATGAATACATCGTGTGCAGACTTATATGCCTTGACTATATACTTACAATGCATAGAGTATAATTCAGGGCTCTAAATCAAAGGTCTTTGAGCCAAACCACATAACGTGGAGTGCATGCAAGCAACACTGAAGACATTTATCAGATTTTATAATATTTCAGTTGAAAGCAGAAGCATTAAACAGATGGGGAAAGTTTGAGATAAGTCGGAACAATAATAGGAGAATTATGAATTTTTAAATATGAGATTACTAAAGAGATGCGATACACACATTGACAGTTGGTCCAGGGATTGTGACGTAGACACGGACAACTCTTTCGTTTGTCTTGTACACAAATATCTTTAAGTTCTGATTTTCTCCAAAGTGGCTTCTCCCTTAGGGTAATACTCGAAAATTATTATTGATAGGATATTATAATAGGTCCTCTAAAGAGAAAAGATCCTCCCGAGTCATAGATATTTGATAAATTGAAAGTTTAGTCCTTTTGTGTTGGTAAAAATAGAAAACTTGTCCGACACTACGTCTACGCACAAAGACATTACCGATTCAGCCAACTTGAAGAGCACATACCCATAGTGATTATTTACAAATTCATAACTTTCTAATTTTTTGTCTGATTTCATTCAAAGTTTCAGCAGTCTGGTTCTGTGATTTGGATTTCCATTTAAGGCAAAATCTCGTTGATTTGGAGTATGCTTAGGTGATAATACACAGGGCACTTTAAACCCGCTATCTAAAGTGTAATACCTCAGTCAGACAGCCAAACTGTCTTCACGCCGATTCCCAGCAGACTGATTCTTGTCCATTTGGCTAAATTACTTTTTTGTTCGATCAGTTGTCGGTCTCGTGTCGATCTTGTTGGTGTGACTTGGCCAAGGAGATAAGTGCGAATTACCTCGGTTTCTAGTTCATACCGGATGTATTTATCCCATTATCTCCGTTACCATTCAAACATATAGATTTTAAGGACATTCGAAAGTAAAAACCTTTTCCGAATGTACTTGTTTACGAATACTGAATATTACCACCGAAACCTATCGATCAAACAATAGAATGAGTAAGAAATTGATGCCCTCGTTTTAGTCGTTTATAAATACATCTCTGTAATATATTTGTGAAGTGCCTAGAGATATCGCCGATGTATTAAACGCTTTGTAAAGGCGGATTATTATTATTATTATGTTTCGATAATTTACTTCGTTGTTATGAGAAAAAACAAAAGAAAACGAAAGGAAATGAAACAGAAAACCTTGACCGACTCGGGGCCGGAATATAGCTACTCAAATGACGATGACCTTAATCAGACTTTGTGTCAATATAAGGGCAATATAGTTAGGCCTATTATTATGTATTAAGTACAGTACTGAAGTATAATCGTATAGCAATAGAAGTAGTAGTTGTAGTAGTCGTTGTCGAAGTAGTAGTCGTTGTTGTAGTAGTATTTGTAAATAGAATTTACACCCACTTTGAACAGCACATTTGCCATACCCCACAAAACCTAGCAGGTTGTAAACTACATATCGTTTACTTTACGACAAGCAGAGAATAAAGATGAACTCTCTATTGGTTCATCTTCATATGATATCATTTTTCTGTGAAGGGAATATTGACTAAAAACACATACATTTATATACCCGCATCCTCATCCAGACGGATACATGCGAATGCGGGTATAAATGCAGATAGGGTATATTCCTATTGAAGTGAAGTCAAGGTGAAATCCACCATGGTTGCTAAGCAACTGACGCGATATGGAGGCACTAATGCGTGTATAAAATGGCGAATACGGTTCGAGCCCATTAAATTAAATCGTAGTATAGTATGCATATAGTTATACATGTAGTATGCTTATACCATAGATCTATATTAAGACTGTTAGTAGTATATAGCTCTATGGCTTATACAAAGACCCTCGACATGTTCTTTTAATAACAAAATATTACTGTAACTTTGTCTATAATCATTATTACTAATATTATTATTATTATTATTATCATTATTATTATCATTATTATTATTATTATCACTATTATTATCATCATCATTGTTATTTTCATCATCATCATCATTATCATCGTCGTCGTTAATGTTGTTGTCGTTGTTGTCGTTGTTGTCGTTGTTGTTGTCGATCTTATTATCATGAACAGTTTATCAGCTCCAACCAATCAACCACAAGTCAGATGTGAGTATTGTTCTTTACTTCTCTAGCACCCTTGAATCGAATGGCATTGAAAGTTATCATTCGTACCATCATTAATACCCGGTTCATGTGGACTCATGGTAGAACATTTCGCGTATATACAGTCATGGGTTGATTTTGATGGCAGCTTTTATTTCTTCTTCCAGAAAAGTTTGAAGATGAGACGTATGTTCTTACCAATAACATTGAACTTTTATAAGCTTTGATTTAATCAATTTATGATGATGATATTTTGGTGAAATTCTTAAGAGTAATCAATAAACCCCACATGTTTTTTCTTCTAAATGTGATATACCTTTCTGTCATCGTTCTCATATTCAATTAAATTGAAAATGGCCTGTTACGGAGTCATCGAATATAATTATGTGCCAATATAAATCGAATACAGTGCCACTAATACCGTCGTATATGCATCTATACAATCATATCATACATAAAGAAGATGGTAATGTAATATTGTCAATCATGTTTGATGTCCGAATTTTCGGGACGCAAACTAATCATTATATATTATTAACTCATTGATAGAACATTGCAATCTTCTTTATATTTGCCCATATAAGTCTATTCGTATGAAAGTATGAACTGGTAGTCTGTATCATGTTTGGCAGTAGTATGGAAAGTATTAACTCTACTTTCAATACACAGACTCATAACTGACGGATTTAGGGGGAGGGGCATGGGCCGTACTATTGCCCTGTGAAATACCAGTGACGTACGTGTAGTACACAACCACTTTCTTAATGGTACACATTTTTCTTCTTTTTCTTGCCTGTCAACTAAGTTTGATATTAAAATGTCACCGACAAATCTTTGCAAGCACCTTTTCTTCTTTTCTCTTTTGTATAAGGCTTGACAGTTATTTTTCGAACATTATATACTGTACGTCGCCTCTTGGCTTTGTCCCTGCAACTGCTACAAGACCTTAACATGCAGATAATAAGTTTGAATCGATAAGGGTAATTCTGCGAGTTGCAGATAAGAATATTCAAATGTAAATTGCTAAGCAAAAAAATTAGACAAATGAATATACAAAATGTTAAGAATATTGGCATATATACCGTTATAAAGCACCAACAAAATGACGACCAGTCGCCGGTTTGCCAGATCCATCGTTGTCTATTTCAGTGTTCACTTGTGATCATCAGCTGCTAAATTCGAAAAAGGAAATACACTGACCGCTTCGTTGTTCAAAATAGTACTGACAAAATGTGTAGAACCGGTGTAGAACCACAGATCAAATTATCTCCCCTCACGTCCTTCTCTTTCCCTTGTATGTCAGTTTAATTGTGCATAACGATAGTTATAGCATGCGTGGTGTAGTCTGATCGATAGCAATAACAAACGAGATTACTTCATCTGCATAAATTATGATACAGCTGACTCACTAGAGCTTTGTTAGAGTACGCACCACTGACCTCAGTACGGCGCGCCAAATCGCCACCGAAGCGATACACGAACAATGCACGCATTCTACAGGCGGATCTTTCTATTATTAATTGAATCGTTTTATGTTGTCCGATCCTCTCTTTAATAGATTTGTGACGTAGATAAATTCACTCTTTAAGTGTGTGAGCACTTTATTTGTTGTACTTTAACGTTGGAGGTAAACCCTCTTTTAACCCGGGCTGCTGACACTGTGGTGACCTGCTCTCATCTCCTTTTACTGAAAGATGATATATATATTATTATATACAATACAAGACCGACATATTTACCCTGGCTCGTTTATCAAACAGCTTAATAGCAGTATTTTCATTTTTTCTCTCTGCGTGTAAAAACGTTTAATTTGCTTTATGCTATTTGTGAATACCTTGTATAATGTCTTGAACTCCTTGCCAATTAAACAATAAGGCCGGGGACGGGCCATATGTAACATAGGCTCCCATCACTGCTCTGCATACACAGAGCATGCGCAATGTCATTGCCCCATAATATTATGCTGTCTCATGCCGTGGTTTGTTCCCCTTCCTTCCATCACGATGTGTTGGCTCCACCTTCACATCCAGTGAATACTAATGCTAAGAAGAAAAAAACGAAAAAAAAAACGGCCGCCTTGTAACAACGTAATAGTATAAAGTATAATTTTACCCACGTAAGTAGACAAATATAATGTAAATGATTCAAGCATTTGTCATAGCGTTTATTATAATTATTTTATTGGGGTACTGTAAAATGCTGTTTAATTGTTGAAATCTGTCCAGCGCCGTCACCTTTAATAATAATAATAATAACATTTAAAACAAATCTTTCTGAGGGATATGATTTGTTGGTACAATTGCATGTGGTTATAATTGCCCCGTGTTGAGGGACAATTGTAACAGTTGACTTCCGGTTTTGAAACAATGGTTTAAAAATAACTTGTTACACTTAACCCAATTCTAGTCATATTTCAAGCCAAGATATGAATCTTTCATTTCATATACATTTAAGTAAGAATTTAACAATAATAACATTGATTTGTCAGACTTGGACAAAAGTGTTACAAATGTCCCCGGTCTCCTCTACTATGTCCAATTTGAGAGCCAACATCAAATTATGTGGAACTTTGCAGGAATTATGGATATATTACGCATTTCCTATCTGTTGAATTTAGACGTTAGCAGTGTCCTGATATTCAAATTATGCCAGGAAACCCGTTTATTTTCTAGACTTCACTGTCATACACTATTGGGTGACTCACTGATTTTTTCTTTGGTAATAACATACATAACATAAGCTATAAAGGGTACATGAGCATTAATTTTTGTCTACATGGCCAAAATTAAACTGATGGAATCTTTGCGCCATTCGGTAGGCCTACAAGGGTATGAAAATCAGACTATTACTAAATAGATTACAATCTCTAAAGTTGATTCGAAAATTGATGCTCGTTATTTTCTCATTAACAGACAATTTCAAGCCCTTTAGTTTTGAGGGAAGTTCTAAATTCATATTATCTTTCAAATGCCGTTGGAATATAACCTTTTCATGTTTTTGGCCTGTTTATATATCTTTACTTCTTTATGCCTTAGTTCATTCTCTTCCAGTCCAATATTTGTATTGAATGATGTCTATGAATCACAGTGTGTGTGATCCGGTTCAAAGTCCTAGGATTTGTATCCCCCTCCTTTTATAAATGTTAAATCTTGTCGACGTACAGAAGAAAAGCCCCACGCTTTCAGATCATGAAGTCAAATAAAACCTGCCTTTGTTGACAAAGGGATGAAAGATACAACTAGGAAGGAGGTCCCTTTGACTGTCTCGTATTTTCATGAGAATGACGTAACAGGGATTTTTCTTTAAAAAGAAGCCGTTGCCGACAAGACAAAATACACGATGAAATGGATATGAATTACAATCTCTCGCTCTACCTGCAAATACAGGTAACCCAAGTGAATATATTCATGTAATAGTACAGCGCTTAAGAACATCTCTATTATATGTTCTATAATTATTAGTATTACCGTAGTATCATTATCATTATTATAATTATTATCATTATCATTATCATTATCATTGTCATTATTATTTTCATGATAATTATTAATATTATTGTTACTTTCATTTATTAAGATGAATGTTGATCATGTTAAGTGATCATTTTTTGTCGTATCAAGAAAATTATGGCTACAAGGTGTTCCTCATAACGACAATTGAAAAGAAAAAAGGTAAGAAAGAAGGCTCAGATGTATATTTTCGCACACTTTCATAATCTTGTTTTTTTCATACCACCTCATGTACAGTTAGAATAAATAGAAATATATTTCTTCGGCTATGGTTTTATTGCATGTCATGTTTCTTTTTAAATCGCTTACAAGTAGACAATATGTAAAAAAATAAACATTACCCAAAAAGATAAAATCAAAAGAAAAGGAGAAAGGGGAAGAAGAAGAAAAAGAAGAAGAATAACAACTGGAAGAAGAATAAAAAGGAAATAATGAGAAGAACTGAAGTTACATACAATGAAATGGTTATTAGGAAAAAGGAGGAACTTGAAAAATACTACATGCCTTAGCTAGAGAGATTGAATAATGACTTGCACATAAAATGTTCAACCTTTGATCAGAAATAAAATCCGGAAACAGTAATTATATTTTGTGCGGTGTACTTTTTAGCGGTTGAAGGACTTTAAGTGTATTTGAATACCTTCAACAGGCCTGAAAAGAGCTATAACCATGACAATGGCCAAACATTCTTGATAATCATGATAATATAGTCAATGGCCTCGTTGAACGTTGTTTTTTTTCAAGGTCAAAAGAATATTTTTTATTTGAATATGTCATTTCCTTCAGTTTTTGCAATGTAATCGAGCTCTAGTTTCCTCCATGAACAATCGTTTTCTTTATGGCATTGCCTCTTCCACGTATCAGAGGCGCTATATCCGGGTTAGTCCGAATCTAGATGTATAAACAAGGCATAAAGGCAGGCGCGGATTCAGGATTTCTTAGGGGGGGGGGCCCACTTTTTTTTTTGGTCCGAAAAAAAATCGTAACGACTCAGCCAGCCGCTAAATAAGCGGGGGGGGGGGGGGGGGGGGGGGAAAGAGGACACTTATTTTTTTTCGTTTTGTTCCGTTGGGGGGGGGGGGTGAGGTCACCATTTTTAGGTCAGCCATTGGCATATTTTTGTTTATTTTTTTTAAATTAAAAAAAAAAAAAAAAAAAATCACAGAAAAGGGGGGGGGGGGGGAGTTGCTCCAAAATACACACATAAAAAACCGAAGGGGGAAAACTTTTACGTTTCATTAAATCATTAGAAAAAGAAGACAATTCGTTGTATAGTTTTTTACTCATAATCCTCGTCTTAATTCATCCCCCTCTCCCGCGCAAAGCTAGGAAGCTTTTACGTTTCATTAAATCATTAGAGAAAGAAGACGATTCGTTGTACCGTTCTCGAAAATAATCCTCGTCTGAATACAGGTTTTACGTTTCATTAAATCATTAGCGAAATAAAACGATTTGTTGTACCGTTCTCGACTCTTAATCCTTGTCTAAATTCAGTTTTTCCCCCGCCTCGACGTTTCATTAAATTTTTAGAAAATGAAGACGATTCGTTGTTCCGCTCTCGAAAATAATTTAGTTTCCCCCACCCGCGCAAAGCGCGGAAGCTTTTACTTTTCATTAAATCATTAGAGAAAGAGGAAGATTCGTCGTACCGTTCTCGACTCTTAATCCTTGTCTAAATTCCTTTTCCCCCACCCGCGCAAAGCGCGGAAGCTTTTACTTTTCATTAAATCATTAGAGAAAGAGGAAGATTCGTCGTACCGTTCTCGACTCTTAATCCTAGTCAAAATCAATCCCCCCCCCCTTCCGCGCGAAGCGCGGAAGCTTCGACGTTTCATTAAATTATTATAGAAAGAAGACGATTCGTTGTACCGTTCTCGACTCTTAATACTTGTCTGAATTTCAAATATGTTCTTTGTCTATTCCCTTTTCTTCCTACGTCCTCTTCCTTTACACTCCTCTCTTTTTTGGCCGGCGTTTATTGGGGGACCACCCCACCGCCTGCTGTCAGATGAACATATGTTGATACCTTGTCCGCCCCGGAAGCTCAGGGTTTAAGGTTTTAATTTACGGTCAGATTAGCATTCAGGGGTCCGCCTTAGCGCCCTAGACGGGGTCCAGGGGGCAGAGCCCCGGAAGTTCAGGAGTTTAGGCACTTAATTACGGTCAGATGAGCATTATTTTGATACCTAATTGTTACAATGGCAGGTCACTAATTGGCTAGGGGTTCAGGGGGCGGAGCCCCGGAATCTCAAGGGTTTTAGGCACTCAATTACGGTCAGATGAGTATCGAAGGGCCCGTCTAAGGGCTCTTGGTTGGGTCCAGGGGGCAGAGCCCCCACAAGCTCAGGGGTTTTAGGCGTTTAATTACGGTCAGATGAGCATTTTTGATACCTTATTATTTGTGACACTAGCAGGACACTATTTGGCGTGGGGTCCAGGGGGCAGAGCCCCCAGAAATCAGAGGTTTTAGGCATTAAATGACCGTCATATGAGCATCTAAGGGCCCGCCTTTGGGCCCCAAGTGGAATCCAGGCGGCATTTTAGGCATTAATTTTAATCATGGTCAGATGAGCATATTTTTTCTTTCTCGCTCTCTTTCTTTCTATTTCTCTTTAATATACTTTTTCAAAGAAAGTGTGGGGGGAGGGGCTCGAGGATCCCGATCCCCGCCGTTCCGCGGGCCCTGATATGTAGGCATCTCAAGAAGCATTTTCTTGCCTGGCTGTAAATTTAGGAATTTGTCATTTTCCAACAAACGCATGAAGTGAGGAAAATTATCTCATTTCAGCATTATTTGTTAACCACCGTTATGGAATTATAAATAAACCACGTTTAAATTCTATTTCTCCAACCCCCCCTCCCCTATCAGTATGCCAGTGGCCCCCCCCCCCTCCGATCTACACCTTGTTGGCTGGAAAAATTGCAACTGATATCCCTTACCTTTCTTCATTCTCTTTTTTTTCCTTTCCCTTTCTCTCCTCTTTCACTTTCCCTTCCCTTCCTATTTAGGTTTGCTGGGGGGGGGGGGGGGGGTAGGGGAGGGGTATGGTCATTTTGGTCCCCAACCCGCTCCACACATTGTTGGCGGGATTAACCGCAACTAATCTCCGCTTCTTTTCTCCCTTTTCTTTTTTTCTTCCTCTTTTTGTTCCTTTTAGCTCTCCTCTTTTCCTTTTCCTTCCTTCTCTTTTTTTTAGCGGGGACGGGGGGGGGGGGGAGGCTAGGGTCTTTTGCCCCCCCCCCCTCGATCCACAACTTGTTGGCGGGAAAATTGCAACTGATATCCCCCTTCTTTTCTTTTCTTCTTCCTATTTTGTCCTTCCCTTTATCTCCTCTTTATCTTTTTTCTTTCCCTTTCCTTCCTTCTCTTTTATTTTTTTATTGGGGGGGGGGGGGGGGGAGGGGGAGGCAAGTCCTTCCCCCCGATCTCCTTCTTCCCTCTTTTCTTTTCTTCTTCCTCTTTTTTCCCCTTTCTCTCCTCTTTCCCTTCTTTTCCTTCTCTCTCTCTCTCCTTTTTTTTTTTTTTTTTTGCGGGGGGGGGGGGGGGGGGGCCAAGGCACGCTCGGCCCCCCCCCTGGATCCGCGCCTGCATAAAGGTATAATGTTTTCGTTTATATCGTATAGACAGAGAACGGAATCGTAATGAATCGTGCATAACGAAGTGAAAGACATATCTTTTTGTATACCCTTTCCTCTTACCTGCCAAAAAGCACCCTAAATATCTGTTACTTTATTCTCAAATGAATATCTTATTACTGTTACCAAGGTTACGGCTAAAACGACAATTCCACCGTGTGTATACATTAACTTCAGTTCTATTTTGTCTTTTATATACAATGTTGTTACATTGTTCTATGTCATAATTGAATTTAAATGTACTTTGTACAGGTTTAAATATGTTTATATTGAAAGGGGGGAAACAATAAATGAAATCAATCAATTCAAATCAGATTTGAACGTTGTAGAATTTGATGTATTCACACGAAAAAGACAACGTCGATTCGCCGCTGTTTTTAGAAATATTACAACGGGTCAAGCTCGCTATTCATAAGGACCGCCATTCATAAGAACCACTATTCGTAAGGACCGCTACCCATAACGGGGGACTAAACGAATAGAGGTCTTTTATAAATAGGGGTCCTTATAAATAGCGAGCAGACCCCATTATTACAGTGTTGTAGATATTGGGGGTGAACTTTTTGAAGTAAAAAGATTGGGTTTGTTTGTCGTACTTTTATAGAGCATGATTTGACAACTTGTTTTAGTTACCGGAATAAGCAGCATAGAGTCTGACCGATAGAGGGCGTTGTGGTTATATTTAATCAAGTACGGAAGGAAGAATGAGTGTAACTGATCTGAATATTATTGAATAGACCATTTCGTAGTTAGCACAGGCACTGAGGCACTGAGCAAAATTGCGTAATTGCGTTTTTAGATATAATGTTTATAATAAATACAGATATGTACAACATAATAAATAATTGTTAAAAAGGAGAGAAGTCGAGAAATACCAAGGAGAGGAAAACAAAACATCTTAGGCGAACAGAGGCTAAGGAAGGAAAGGAAAGGAAAGGAAGGATACTTTGTGTGTGCGTGATTTAAAAGATTTGTTCAACATGAGTAGTGTAATAGTCTTATGAGACAGGGAGAATTAATTAGCACCTAATTAATGAGTCATGCATGACTCATTAATGAGCCATTCATTGCTAATTAGCATTAATTAAAAGAACAATAGATTAATTAAGAGATCCTTCCGCCATTTCCGTCTTTGATTAGTATTTTTCCTCTTCGACCCATTCATAACGAATGAGCATGAATTAAAAGAACAATAGACCAATTAGGAGATCCTTCCACCATTTCCGTCTTGAATTGGCGTTTTTCCTCTTTGATTGTCAGAAGAGAGGAAGTTTTTTAGGCGTTGCGATTGGATTATTTTAATTGATCGTCTTGCTTGTGATTGGTTAACGAAGACCCATGCTTGGTGGTGATTGGGTGACTAATTAAAGGAGTGCGTTGTGATTGGTTGAGGGTATGGTGCATAGAGACGTTGTGGTCAAGAGACTACATATACCAGGGAGGTGTTGAGATACAAGGTACTGTATTCCGAGTACTGAGTTACACACCGTTGAAAACATCTCTATAGCATATACCACACGTACCTCTTCATATATAACCAAGATGGCCACTCGCTCACCGAAAAAGTCTACCACTAAAACAGCCACCATCCACAACACTGTGTTAAATACGCCTAAGGTCAGGATGATACAGAACAACGCCACCAATGTCTTACATCGGGCTAGTTTTTCAATGTCTCCGGTGGAGCAGAAAAAGCTCAAACCAGCAACCCCTCGTGGACTCTTGGCAATGAGGGTAAGTGTCCATAATTGAGTATTATATTCTATGTGCACTCTGTTATACGTTACTGTCTTTGAAAATAAGAGTATCTTTGCATCAATGGATGCAATTAATCAAGCGAATTGCGTGAGAGAAGTGAAGCATGCGTGTGATTCCAACAAACTTATTTTAAAACAATTATTTTTTTCATGGTGTTGTCTTTTTTTAATATATTTTTTATCATAGGCACATGGTGACAGAAAAAGCGAAAGTTGGTTTACGGTGAAGGAAGAGGCGGGGTGTCATTTTAGTCGGGAGATAATTAACGTGGATAAATGTAAATTTGAAGCAAGTTCGAAACCATTTCATTTGGGTGGGAAGCGTTTTGCTGTAGTCAAGAAATTCAGGGGAGTCCCATACGTGAACATACGAGAATCATGGGTGTCGATCCCGGGGGGGGGGGGGGGGGGGGATGGGGGGGGGGGGATATATCCCCCCAATATTTCAGGTGGGGGGATGGCCTGTACAATCATTCCCCCCCCCCCAATAATTCACCCTCAAAAAAAAAAAAAAAAAATAAGAGAAAAAATAATGATGAGAGCCTGATGAGAGTAAGTTAATGGTTATTACTCGCAAGATGACCACCAATATACACAGAGATATATACAGAGATTTTGCTATCTCATTTTCATAATACATACATATACGAAGTAAATGAGACATCCGTATATGAGACAAGAATAAAATGAATTCTCGATCATACGGTTTCATCAGGAATTGATGAATTTATTCAATTTGTTAAATCGACAGCATCATAGAAATGCAGTGCGCCAAATGCAAAGACGCAGCATTAAAAAGCAACGAGCTAAATGTTAAGCGCGAAGCGCAAAAGTAGCAATCTGCAACATCAGACCATCCTGGACAATGTATACATAGATGAACTCTGTGACGAATTCGTGATGAGATCGGAGACAAGGAGAAAGATTTTCGGACATTAGTATGACTTATAAGATAGTTCACTAGTTGTTATGTTGTTTCCGTTCACCCTTTTTAAAATTCACGTCATTGTATCTTTATTTTTATTTTATTTCCTGATATTTCCTAAAACATTTTTCATTTTTGGAGAAAGATTATTATGTCCAGCTTATTTTTGTTTTATTAAAAAGCTGATGTAGGCCTATGTCACTGGCGTACTGGTTGGTTCAACCCCCAATAAAATCCAACCATGAATTATTTTCAATTTCATACAAGTGATTTATAAACGTTCGTGATATCACATGATTTTCAACAAAATTCGCGTTTCTCCATTTCTGTTGCAAAACTGACACATTCCCAAATAGCCAGGAAAAGCATATATTTTGTATAGTCACTAATGGGCCAAATTAGTGGCCGTTAACATTAACAGTAGTATACAATTCCTTTCCAGAAGCTATTGCGACAAGCACTACCGGTGGATGCTACCCACCACTGTCTTGGGCTGTGCATGCAAATATTTGCGAACGAACGTTCCATACATACATCATGTGAGGAAACTGAATTTAATCAAGGATTAATATAGAGAACAGTACAACGAATCGCCTTCTTTCTCTAATAATTTAGTGAAACGGCAAAGATTCCGCGCTTTGCGCGGGAGGGGGGCAACTGAATTCAGACTAGGATTAAGAGTTATAATTAAATGAAACGTCAAAGTACACGATACAACGTATCATCTTCTCTTTCTAATAATTTAATAAAACATGAAAGCTTCCGCGCTACGCGCGGGATGGGCGAAAATGATTTCGGACGAAGATTAAGAGTAATAATCATATGAAACGTCAAAGCTTCCGCGCTTCGCGCGGGAGGGCGGGGGCGAATTGCACTCAGACAAGGACACGATACAACGAATCATCTTCTTTCTCTAATAATTTAATGAAACGTCAAAGCTTCCGCGCTTCGCGCGAGAGGGGGAAACTGCATTCAGACAAGGATTAAGAGTCGAAAATGGCACTTCGAATTGTCTTCTTTCTTTAATAATCTAATGTAACGTCAGAGCTTCCGCGCTACGCGCGGAGGAAGGGGGACTTGATTTAAACATTAAGGATTAAGAGTCGAGAATGGCACATCGAATCCTCTTCTTTCTCTAATAATTTAATGAAACGTCAAAGCTTCCGTGCTTCGTGGAGGAGGAGGGGGGGGGGGAACCCCCCTCCCTGCACCCAACCCCCTAGGGAGCGCGCTTCGGTTGCTCACTACCACCCCTTAAAATTAAATCCTGGCTACGCGCTTGGGGAGGGGTGCAACCTGCCACACGCTTCTACCTCTTGATTGCTTTGATCCATTGCCGAAAATATTTTTGGCAACTATCATCCCCCCAACCACGGATACAAATCGACACCCTTGACGAGAATACTACAACATGAAGGGTACTAACAGGATGCTCTCGGGGCAGAAGGGTATCAATTTAACGGGAGAAAATTGGTGGAAATTGGTCGAGGCCAAATTTGAAATCAGCGATGCTGTCAGAGAATTGAGTAACGTGAAGAAATAGCTTTACATCTTGATGTGTGTTTGGTTTTGACTTTTTGATAATGCAACATATCAACAGAAAAGAAGAAGGTAAAAAAAGAAGAAGAAGATAATTAAAAAATACCTGACTGACGCTCCTCCCTTTTCCCGTAACCAGGCCACAATCGCCGAAATGAATCTAGAGCTTCCAACATCCTTGCTCACTGCACATGGGCAGCTATCTCTTTCATCAATACTCACACCAGAAGTCACGATCATCGGATATTCTCCACCGAGAGCACCGGTTGTCCGCCGACTGCGGAGGCAGAATGCAGTTATAGAAGGAGTGACTAAATCAAGGGGAACACGCAGACCTCCATCTCCAGCAACCTCCTCGGTTCAGATGGAGGTAGACGTACCTGAAAAAGTCCTTCAAAGTCTCCAGAAACTCAGTAGAAAGCTCAACTACGAGGAGGAGATAGAGGTGGCTGCGGAGGAGGAGGAGGATAGTCTAGACACAGATGTCAGCATGCAGGAGATGGAGACGGCGAAAGATGACATACATCATCCTGTAACACCTGTCCTCATGGCCGTCAAAGCACTGTCGGGTCTTTTAAACGAGGCGGTGCATCGGTCGTGCACAGGATGCAGACTCAACTATCCGAGCCAGAAAGACCACGATGACTGTATGTGGCTGGAGTGGCCAGACAGGGTAGACAAGCATATCGACGAAGCCATCACCAAGCTCACAGAGGAGCGATACTTTCGCTTTATTAACATGGTTTACCTCGTGAATGAAATGTTTGAAGAGGAGCTGGACGCTTGTGTGGAAGAAGCCACAATTTTTTTTTCACAACGAACTGAAAAAGAAGGACGTTCAGTCATTTATCATAAGCAAACCAAAAGATCTATAACTTTAACCGGACATTTCGAAAAGTGAATTTCATATATAGTTGACACGAATTAGTAATGTAAACAAAAAATGACCAACCTTTCTGCACTTTTATTAACGCTATGGCGTCATTGGTTTTCTTAAGACACGTAGAGATATGTGTCTTTTGTAATGTCTAATTAGTGTAGACGCAAAACGCGTACCGGTATTGATACCAAAAAGAAGGAAAAAAAGCGATTGCAAATACCGATTGAGAACAAATACGGGTTATAACAGGTTGTGGAATCGCTAACTGCAAATGATTTTTTTTAAAACAGAAACATAAATAATTTGTACGACAAAACGACAGAGCATTTTTATGCTTATAGACGTTATGATATTCGTATGACAGAGTAATATCTATTTACGTCTTGCTTAACGTCTCGCCTTATAAAGAAGTTTTTGTAGAAAAGTATCCATTGATTTAGCACTAAAATGATTCAATTCAAACTGAGACTAGGTCTATAATTCAGTTTCTCCTTCCTATTTTTCTGCTGGTGTTTTAAACAAATGAGGGCGCTAGTTCAGAAGTCTATCCAAACTTTGACCCGTAACTCCAGCGTGGAGATACCCAACTAAAAACATAGGTCTACCCCAAATGAAGTAAATATTCATCAAATGTCCAAATAAAGGTCATGATTTAAAAGTTGCATATACAATTGACGTTGGGGTGCAGGCGTGCGGGTGTGTTCAGTTAGCAAAAGCCAGAGTTTAACGGGTCAAAAATGGATACAAAAGTACACTAGCGCCACTTCAATTTTTGCAGACAGTGGAGTGTCATTGCTAGACATTGTTAAAATCTTTTTTTAAACTGAATAATGGTCTTTTTTCTGTGAAGGGGGATGATATAAATCACAAGATATAGGATTTTTAGATTTATTTAGATTTTAGATTAGCAATTTACTGATCTTGCTGATGTGTTCATTTTATTTTTGATCAATGCAATATATAAATTTTTAACCACTAAAAGATGTGTTTTTCTTGTTGACAATAAACTTGATAAATTGATAAGATGCATATGCTGTGCATGTTGATTATTACACAACTCCCAAAAAGATAATAGAAAGTGTATGTTAATTTGTGCATGCTGTCATGGATGCGGTGTGAAATATGACCAACAATAAATCGTTTATGGATCATTATTGTTATACCTAAATTACCTATCCACTCTTCTTCTTGACTAGGATCTGAAAGACTACATGAGACAGGCAGGAGAAGTCGCCTTTGCTGATGCCCACAAGCAGCACAAGAATGAAGGGTAAGTGCAATGAATATTCAAATTAATTGTTTAAAGTGGGGTAGAATATCATTTCGACATAAATAGCCTAGAATAGCCTGACCATGCAGAAAATAATAACTATATGTTCAGTTTTTTTTAACCATCTATATCGTAAAAAATCACTAATTGTAGAATATCACAAATTTGAGAAGCAGTGAAATCATTGATAAATTGGATCCGCTCAAGTATATGTTTTAAGAATACATCCTCTAAATTTGCCTAGGGGATGAACTACAGGAGCGTATCAAGAAATCCTTTTGCAATATTTTCCCCACATGGTAATAACTAGTATACCCCCCCCCCCTCCCCCCAAAAAGGAGCTCACTAATAATCATTGTGGTCATGAATCAACAACCATCTTTAAATCCTGTACAGCCATTTGAAGTATAGAAAAGCAAAAGCAAATATTTGATTGTAAAATGATCAGCAAATGAGGGCTTTAATTTTAGTGCTGTAAATCAGACGCTATGTTCGTGTTCGGTTCGGCAGAGTTCGGCAATTTTTCACCCGAACTTGGTTCGGTTCGGGGTTCGGTAATATAATAGCAGTGAAGTCGCGACCACCACTGGATAGGCATAAATCACAAAGGCGGAAAATGGGAAAAAAAAGTAAATATAAAATGAGCAATCATGACATGAAAATTAGGTACAAAATGACAAGTTTATTAGCTTGCAAAAACATTTACATTTTTCTGCCGAACATCCGAACCAGGCCTTTGTGTTCGGTTCGGTTCGGTTCGGAAGTGCCATGTTCGGCGAACTTCCGTTCGGTTCGGCGGTTCGGCGGTTCGGCTACAGCACTATTTAATTTACAGAATGACAATACATTTATGTTCTTTCCTTTCCTTGTCCATTGACAGAATCGTTGAGTTTGCTACATACAGCGACATGAAGAATGCAGTTGAGAAGCTTGATGGAACAGAAATCAACGGACGTCGCATCAAGTTGGTGGAGGACAGACCCTCATCATCATCTAGGAGAAGGTAAGAACTTCATGATCATCTTTCTTTAGAACACCCCATGGATCAGAACATTTGTCAACAGCAGAAGGAAAAGTTTCCGGACATCTTGATGTATTATACCATCTGTTTCCCAAGTAGTTTGTGATTTTCAGCTTTTTGTTTATCACCTTGCAAATTCAACCTGCTAGTTCTGAGTTATGACCAAATTTATAGGATGACTACATTTCTTTTCCAAGAATACATGTGATTTCTTGGATTCTGTCTTGAAAATTGCTTCATAATTTGTATTTTAATGATACGATGATGAATTAAGATTATCAATTTTTTTTCAAAGGTCAAGGAGCCACTCCAGGTCTCGCTCTCGATCTCGCCGTCGCTCCAGGTCTCCCCGAAGCAGATCCCGAAGCCACTCCCGCAGCAGGTCCCGATCTCGATCCCGCTCTCGCAAGTCCAGGAGCCGAAGCAAGAGCCCTAGGAAGAGCCCGAAGAGGAGCAGGAGTAGGTCTCTTAGTCCAATGAAGCGTGATAGCCGTAGCCGTTCAAGAAGCAAGTCACCCAGGAATAGCCGTAGCCCTTCACCTATTGAGCAGAACAACAAGGGAATGTCAAGATCCAGATCTCCTAGCCCTCAAGATGATGATTAGACTGGGTTTGTTAGACGGAAGTCATGGTTTGGCCAAATGTAGATGTACAGTTGTTTACTTTGTGAACTTTGTAAATTGACAATTCATATCAGTGACTGGAGTTCAAAACGCTTTGGCTCATCGCTTTTTACATCATATAAAATAATTCATTATAACATGTTGAAAATAATAAGGTAGATCTGTACTTCAATGTCTAACCTGTTGTCTGAACCATTGCTGCCAAATATCCTTTTGATGACTTGCCGATGACTTGTCAGAAAATTGGGAATAGAAGTCTAAAAGTTTTAGTTGGTGGCTTTGGCCTGAACTTCTTTACTGCAGAAGACTAATTAGAACAGGTCAGGAGTAAGCAACAGTCCATTAGTACTCATTTTTGTCAGCATGTTTGAAGTCAAACCTGAAGAAGGAATACAAATCTAAATATTTTTACTATTTTAATTGTTGCCTTGCAGCATCCTTAGTTTTGAGAAGGGATAACATATCACCGAGTCGAATTATCAGCTGCATGACATTTGTACATTTATGATGCCCTTTGTATATTGTATCTTTTCAAATTGTAGAAATTCTTGAAATTTGTTTGGAGTGGAGAGTTCTAGTACTACTGCTATGAAAGAGCTTTATATCTTTTCGAGCAAAACCTGAACAGTCCGCTCTCTGCAGAGACAGCATTTCCCTTCTCAGCCCCTTGCTGTGTCATTCAAAGGTTCTGTAATTCATATTTAGGCATTTCTGATTCTATTTTTTGCTTTAACGTTAATGTGGAGTTGTTCTAATTTGTGTATTTTTGTATGTGTCCTTTCATTCTGATAAGATACCTTTTTGGTGAATTTGAAATGTTTGTGATCTGGAGAGCTATTGTTAACATTACCCTCTTCAAATTGTTCTCTTTTTTTTAGCTTTCTTGTACATGATTTTATTTGGGTCATTATGTTGAGCGCGAGCGAGGGCCTCTTGACAAGGGATCTGAATTTCTTATGTTTTACATTGTTTGGCGAAAATTCCGACCCAAGAGAAGTAGGTGAAAGTCATCCAATCAGAGAGAGCTACTATGACGTAATATCTACCGCTCTGAGAGCGAGACTGACCGCCTGCCTAGTTGTAGTCTGCAAGCACAAACCCTGATCAGTCGTAAAAGAGAGTCTGTACTATAAGACTACCATAGGCCATGTATTACAGCTGCTCCTGACCTATATTGGTACAACCAGTAGGTACCATGTTGTTGTTGTTTTAGTTTTAAGGGCGTGTGTCATTCAATTATGAATATTTACGCCAGTAGGTAGCTGGGCTAGGCTTCTCTCAAGTCACAATGATTTTTTGATGAAGTGTCAAATTAGGGTCTGTACTTGCAGACTATCCTAGTTGGGCAATCCCGAAACACACACATACACACACACAATCGCAGCGGTCTAGACATGCATAATTCAGTAGGAAATCGGGTCTCATGAATATATAATTCAGATCACTTGTCAAGAGGCCCTCGCTCGCGCTCGGTTTCTCTGACTCGCTTCGCTCGCCAGAATTTACGGACTCCGAAAACTCGAGGGCCATCGACAACAGGCTAGCCGCGCGATCGCTATAGGCGATTTGCATGCTATGCGCGCGCGCAATACAAAAGTCGTACGTTGAATTTGAACGCAAAGACGTTTAGGTTGAACGTTCTCACCTTAAAAATCTAGAGATTAATCATTTGATTAGTTGCAGCTAAAAAAAGAATCTGTCGCTCATTGTGTTTGAAAAAAATAAAATCGTTAAAAAACTTGAAAAATACCGGAATTTTCTCCCGAAAATACAAGAAACAAATACTTATCTGTGGTTTTATGTATGATGAACAACGCATGCGCAGTATTACCATAACATGACGGTACAGCGGGAAGTTCGACTAATGAGTTACGATATCCTCATCAAATCATCCGAAAGTCATTGAGATATAGGCCTATATAGGTCTAGTTTTCCCCAAGAGAAGCGATTGATTATATTTGATTAATGTCTTCCAGTACTGCAGTAGATTCTAATGATATTCCCGTGAACCGATCGCGAGCAAGCAAGAAACCAGCCAGATACAGCGATGATAAATTGAAGGTGAGCATGAGTGCATGACTGAGACGACCGTTGGTTGGTCGTTACGCAATACTGACTGACTCTCTGAGTATTTTAAATCTAGAATTCTAGAATCTACGCTAAAAGTTATTAGATGTGAAATCCATGGATACAGGTTCTAAAAATAACCTAGGGATGAAATTGGGTGAGAAATAATGAAGATATTAGGCCTAGTCTACTGCATTTCATTCCGAAAAAACAGGAAGAAGCTGATTTGACAAGGGTCCAGAAATCCCCATTTTTAATTTTACTTTTTAGAGTTGATGTTTATCAAAATTGTAATTAAAATATGTTTTGTTGATATCATTGATAGGTCTTTCACTCTATGTCATAATCGTATCACTCAGTTACTTATAAAAAAGTGATATCAATAAAAAATAATCATAGACTATCATTAATTATCAGTCAGACACTTTTTAGTTTTTACTAGTTTTACTAGAGTCTAAAACTTTTATTTTAGACTTTTAATTACAGTTTCAGATCCAGCCTCTAGACCGTCTAGTCTAAAGGCCCTACTGTTACTAATTAATAGGCCTTTAGATTTCTAATACTAGATAGTATTAGTAGTTCCCGTTCATCTATTTTGTAAAATAATTTAAATAATTTCTAGTCTAAGGTCTAATTTTTTGTTTTCTTTTCTAGAATATGCATGCACTCGTCGCGTTCACAGTCACACTGGATAAGATGAAGAGCTAGTAGAGGTTGGTTTTGAGCATCAAAGTTCGGATGGTGGCCGGACATGAGGATCCATGGTTGGGAGGCGTACGATGAGGCTAACAAGAAGTGGTAGCTTGGCCTTAGCTTGACAGGACCCGTAAGTTATAGATTTGTATGCCTCCGCCCACCAAAGGTGGCAATAATGGCCCAAATTCACAATTCAAATATTAATAAATGAACCTCCGACTGTATCACGCCTATTTTGGGCTAAATTTAGACAATGTGTCATGTACATGTAAATGAAGATGTAAACCATGGGTTAAATTCAAACCTCCTTGTGTGTCTTTGTGAATTATTCGGGCCATTTTGTTTCGGTTTGCTGCATGCATGTCCGTCCGTCGTGTTTTCATTGTTGCAATAAATTAAGAAGCAATTGACGAATCAAATTCAAACCTGGCTCACGTTTGTATTTATATCACGGGAGTGACGATGATCTGATTAGATTTGAGGTCACACCGTCACAAGGTCACAAGGTCACAAGGTCAAAGGTCATTGTATACATTAGAATAGAATGGTTTGATTCTTGCAATAACTTGGGAACCATTTGACAGATCAATTTAAAACTTGGCTCATGTATGCGTATGCAAGTGACGATCTAATTAGATTTTGTGTTCAAGAGGTCAAAGGTCACAGAGGTCATTTTTTTTTAGGTCCTCATTCTTTCATAAAATTTCAATTTCACTTCTCAAATTCAAACTTGACACAAATACTATAATACAAATAATATAATCAATGATAAGTAAAACATGATACCAAATGATTTTATTATATTTTTATATCATCGATAATGATATGTATGTCATGATATCAGTTATCACATTCATCTTTAGTATCCCATTCATGCATGCCTTTTTTCTAGGATTTATTTTATAAAATGATTTAAATCATATACATTTTTGTTTTCTATTCTAGAATATGCACTTGTCGTGTTCAGTCACACTGGATAATGTGAAGAGGGTGGTTTTGAGCAGCGAAGTTCGGCAGGTACATGGCAGGAGGATGAAGATCGATGGATGGAAGGCGTACGATGAGGCTAAAAAGAAGTGGTACTCTGTTGCCTTGCTTGAAAGGACCCTAAAAATGTAGATTTTTTAATGTTAAATAATCGCCTTTGTTATGCCTCCGCCACCGAAGGTGGTGCCGGAGGCATCATGTTTTCGGGTTGTCCGTCCGTACGTCCGTCCGTCCGTCCGTCCGTACATCCCGTTTGACCGTTATCACAATATCTCAAGAACCATTTAAGATTTAAACTTAAGACTCCGGAATAGTATTTATCACCATAGGAAGACGATCTGATTAGATTTTGGAGTACGTAGGTCAAAGGTCACAGGTCACAGAGGTCAACTTATGAAATTCCTTGTATTGAGTTTGTTAGCGCGATATCTCAAGAACCATTCGAGATTTAAACTTCAAACTTAAGGAAAGTATGTATCACCATAGGAAGACGATCTGATTAGATTTTGGAGCACGTATGTCAAAGGTCAAGGGTCACAGAGGTCAACTTATGAAATTCCATACATTGAGATTGTTATCATGATATCTCAAGAACCACTGGAGATTTAAACTTCAAACTTAGTGATAGTGTGTATCACTATAGGAAAACAATCTGATTACATTTTGGGTCACGAGGTCAAAGGTCAAAGGTCACAGGGCTCATTATGTATGCAAAAACAGCTTGTGATCGCGTTATCTGAACAACCGATTGATGGATTCCTGCCAAACTTTGGTCATGTATGTATCTTGCAGAGCTGATGAACTGATTAGATTTTGGGGTCACGAGGTCAAAGGTCACAGCGCACATTGTGTATGCAAAAACAGCTCGTGATCGCCTTATCTCAAGAACCGATTGATGGATTCCTGCCAAACTTAGGTCATGTATGTTACTTGCAGAGCTGATGAACTGATTAGATTTTGGGGTCATGAGGTAAAGGTCAAGGTCATGCGGCTCATTATGTATGCAAAAATAGCTTGTGATCGTATTATCATTAGAACAGATTGATGGATTCCTGCCAAACTTAGATCATTTATGTATCTTGCAGAGCCAATGAATGGTTCATAAGATCAAAGGTCATGGGCTCATTATGTATGCAAAAAGTAGCTTGTGGACGCATTCTCCTTAGAACTGACAGATGGATTACTATTTAACTCAATAAAATCTTGCAGAGCCAATGAACTGAGTAGATTTTAGGGTCATGAGGTCAAAGATTAAAGGGTCATATATGTATATGAGAAATTGCTTGTAATCACGATATTCTGAGAACATGTTAATGGATTACAATTGAACTTGAATTTGAAAAATTTCTTCCGTTTCGGTTTGTAAAATTGCTCTATGACGGAGGCATCATTTTCGACTGCGCGCAGTCGAATTCCATCTAGTTGAAAATAAAACTCTTCTCCAGACTTAATTGCGACTTTAACTTAGTTTGCATGTCATCTAAGTCTTTCACATTACTCTGTTATCTGTCAAGATCGACTTCAGTATGTGAAATTGACTATACTTTTCAAAAAGCTCTTCTTTTATGGCTTTTTTATGGGCAGCATCCAGAGAACTTTATTTCTGAGCATCGTGTTGTTTGAGCCAACAGTAACATGTCATGCTGCTCTTGGCAATTCTGAAAAGCATCACTAAAAAATTAATAATTACATTTTTGTTCTGTTTATGTTTATATCTTTCAGCAATTCATTGCGAGAAGATCAAAGGGGACCGGACACAAATCAGCTGAATTTTGGCAGGCTCTGAGACTGAGAGTAAAGATGGAGGGAATCAAATATAAGGCTAAAAATATGTTAATCTTCTTCAGAACGCACAATGTAGATTTCGACCAAACTTGGCAGGAGTCATCCCTTAAAAGTAAGGGGATCTTAATTTGTTCAAGTGGGGGGTGGGGGGGGGGTGTGCACTGCAGGGGGACCTAGGAAAACAAAAAAGCCAAATCAACATCATTGTATCTCAATTTACTGAAAAAATGATCAAAGTGCCCAGCTTGCAAAGCTGCATGCTCAGGTATGCACAAGACCCACAGGTCTCTAGTCTATTACTTTTTTGCTTTTCATCTTTAAGTACCGGTATTTGTGTATTGGAGGGGGGGGGGGTAAAGTATAGTGTCCATCAATGTTATTTAGTGTTTTTTGTTTATCAACTGCCAAACAATAGCTGCCTTCTGCATCAGTGTGTTAATAGATGTACTTTTCATACATTTAATTATATTCAGGGCAAATATTAACCTTGCCTTTCAGTAGCTTGCCATAACGTGTATACTTGTGAAGTAATGCGTATATGCACATTATTGGAAAGTGTTTTTTGTATGTGCCAAACAGATTGGAGGAATGCCATGTTTGGTATTTATGATACATTTTTATGTATATTTATTTAATTTAACAGAAACCTATCTATCACATAGAGTGAGTCAACTCTCAGCTGCCTAAGTCGAAGGTGTTATGTTAGTCTTTTCTTTTCATTTTCCATTGTTTTGACCTTGCATTAGTCAGATGTGGACACTTTTAACAAAAAAAGAATATGTGTATACCACTGTTTTTAGAATTCTTACCCAAGATTCCACCATTAGTATCAGCGGTGACTGATTTCATAACTCACTGATTGAGCCCATGAAAATTATACAAATTTCATTTATCTATGCGCCCAATACTTGTGGTCTAATAATTATTTTCGTGGCTGTATATTGTATATTGTATAACTATTATTTGCCGAAGGTAAACCATTTTTTCTTTTTTTATATGAACTATGTGCTACAATTCCCTTGCCTTTCAGTTTATTAGGATGCATTTTTTTCTTCTACATTTTCCTTTTTATATTTTTATATTCATCTAGGATAAAACAATATCTCGACATCAGCCAAATTTTCAGGCATCTTGTATAGGGTCCATGCTTTTTCCATAATCAGCTGTACAAATTCACCAATGAATATACCATTAAATTCATGTTCCAGATCGTACACTGTATATATTTCAATAATTTCAATTCTTGTGGCTTTGTCCATATAAATTCCACTAATCTGAAATGTGTGTGTATTGTCAGCTCTATTTTTAGGGTTGATGTGATTGTGAGAGGGTTATAGATGATGATATAGAGGGTGTATTGTGATGGTGACCGCAGTGTGCCACAACTGTTACAAGACATTTGAACAATATGTACATATTTTGTTTATTTTTCAGCTATTTTTAGCGGATCCCATAACATCTAAGCTGGATATATTTTTAAGATATTTTTTTCTATTTCCCATATATTTCCTTCCTATTTTCTTGCTAATTCTTGGGGTAACAAAATAGTGAGAAAATATATTTTTCATGTATTTTTTATACAGTTTTAGACTATTTATTCGTATATTTTCTGTATATTTTACTATTTCTTCGCTATTTTTAAAGCGTTCCAAAACATATAACCTAAACATATATTTTTTTGCTATTTTTTCTTCTATTTTTAATCTATTTCTGGACTAGGCTATTTTCAATCTATTTTTTTAGAGAGTAGAAATAGTGAGAAAATATATTTTTCATATATTTTTTCTACCGTTTTAAACAAATTTATTTCATATATTTTCTGTATATTTTTCTATTTTTACGCTATTTTTAAAGCGTTCCAAAACATATATCCTAAAAATATATTTTTTGGCTATTTTTTCTTCTATTTTTAATCTATTTCTGGACTATTTTCCATCTATTTTATATATATATATATATATATATATATATATATTTTATATAGTTTTAGACTATTTTATTTTGACTGGGGCACAGCGCCTAAATCAGTTGTGCTGTTGTCTGGACGGCCAGGCAAGCGAGGTTTTTGATGGAATTCAGGAGCGGAACCCGGACCTGAGTTATTTTTCGGTAGTGCGCCAGCTGGAGGGCCGGTTTGTATACCGGGAGCCTCCAGAAGCCACACTGTTGGATTTTAATACCGCTGTAGTGACCAAACTCGTTTTTACCTTTTCAAAACTTGTTTTTTCATTTAAGAACACCGTACAGCATATTGGGTGTGTCTAATTTAAACATACGTGTCAGACCCGAAGCCTAATGACTTTAATGGTCACGTGGTTTGGGTTTACTTACGTTAAGGACGAAGTAGTCCCTTGATTATTTATCTATAAATCGTTTGTAGGTAAAGTTAAATGTACCATAATGAAATTATGATACTTTCTCATGTATGTTTTATTGTTCTTTTTCTAAAATTGATTATTATACTTAGTCCAGAAGGATGTGCATTCATGCTCGAAAAGTAGTCCTTCTAGACGGGCGCAATGTCAGGCAAGGCCCTGATGGGCATTTTATATAACGGACATTCGTCCACTTGCTTTAAGCGAAGCCGGTAGTACGTTTCACTCTACATCATCCGACACGCTTAAGTTTAAAGCCGTCAATGTACTAGCCTGTATAATTATGTTGCACCATTTATACACTATGTACAGATAATTGAACATATTTGATGCTATTGAGTTTTACTTTGCTACCAGTGTTTATGATATCGTAATATACGAGTCGGTTCAATAATTGTATATTATGTAATGAGATGTTTTATTCACTGTACGTTGGAAACGTACTGAGGCATGTTAAATGTATTCTTCTGTTGAGTTGTTTACGGGATTGATGCGTAGTCTGTAAGTATCAGACTCGATTTATATATAAAATGGGGATTTTACAACAAATACTGATTTAGATGTGAAAGTCCATATTATATGATTGATGTTTCATTTTTTTTCCTACTTTAGCCGCTGAGGTGTAACGTGTCTTTATACACACCAGTGACACCACGCTACAAAGCTAGGCTACAACAGACGATGACGTAGTATTTTCCTTACCCGTGTGGCACTTACGTCTAGGGTGAGTTGCGTAGGAATATTTGTGTTATGTATTCAATAATATTGATCGGAGTCAAGACTGTTTGATATCTATACATGTATTTAAAGATAGTATTGAATACTACGTATTTATTTCTTGGTGTGTTAATTGAATTTCAATGTATATGAACTGAACCTTTGAAAACTGTATTTGTCTACAGAAATCTGATCACAATCAATAATGATGACTTGCATGATTTCATTATGTGATTATGTACTTATGATGCTTTTGTTTTATCTTCTGTACAAGGGCAGGGGTTTCCGTTTTTTTATTTTAAAAAACGAATAGACTTCATTGAACTCGGCGTCCCATATTCTTCATTTCGTTTGGCTATGATTTAAAACGGTGGAGCACGCGTCCCACACCGCCAAGCAGGGACCTTCAGAATCCTTGCTGGAATGGGCGGACCAATTGCACCGGCTAGCATCCCGGGCATTAGGGACTTTTAGATTTGCACGTCAACAGCTTTGACTGCAACGTGTGACGTCATTTTAAGGCACTGCGCATGCGTTACGTGGTCTCAGTCGGCGATCGAGAATGCGTCAACCTTGATTTTCCTAAATCTAGTACATACACATACATACATATTGATATTTATATAGCGCCTTTACAGGCGCGGATCCAGGATTTTCCAATAGGGGGGGGGGGGGGGGGGGGGGGGCGGAAATTCGAAATTCGCGCAGACCGTTATTTAAACTTACCAATACGGTAACCCGACACATGCTCCGCCGACGATTGCTCCGCCGACATTTACTCCGCAAAACGCGACAATTGCTCCGCGACATTTGCTCCGCGACATTTGCTCCGACGTCAAATGCTCCGCCGACAGTTGCTCCGCCGACAGTTGCTCCGCCGACAGTTGCTCCGCCGACAATTGCTCCGCCGACAGATGCTCCGCCGACAATTGCTCCTCCGACAATTGCTCCGCCGACAATTGCTCCGCCGTCAATTGCTCCGCAAAACGCGACAATTGCTCCGCCGACATTTGCTCCGCCGACATTTGCTCCGCCTGAAGCGACACTTGCTCCGCCGACATTTGCTCCGCCGACAATTGCTCCGCCTGAAGCGACAATTGCTCCGCCGACATTTGCTCCGCCTGAAGCGACAATTGCTCCGCCGACATTTGCTCCGCCGACAATTGCTCCGCCGACTATTGCTCCGCCTGAAGCGACAATTGCTCCGCCGACATTTGCTCCGCCTGAAGCGACACTTGCTCCGCCGACATTTGCTCCGCCGACAATTGCTCCGCCTGAAGCGACAATTGCTCCGCCGACATTTGCTCCGCCTGAAGCGACAATTGCTCCGCCGACATTTGCTCCGCCGACAATTGCTCCGCCGACAATTGCTCCGCCTGAAGCGACAATTGCTCCGCCGACATTTGCTCCGCCGACATTTGCTCAATTGATGAGCTGTTTGAAATTAACTAGGAGGTATGCGCGTATTGGGGAATGTGGCTTGCTGCTCTACTTTAAAAAAAAAAAAACTTCCCATGACATGTAATGAGTGTTTAGTGTACATTATGTGGGACGTACAGTGATAGATGGAAAGTTATTTCAGTATATTCGAAATGACTTTTAGGCAACTGCTTTTTCCTCCCACATTATCAACATTCATTCATTTCATTTCATTTACATAATGTCATGAAATGCATTCAAAAAATGAAGAAAAAAAGAAAGAAACAAAAACAACCCGTGAAAAAAAAATATTGTCGGCGAAGCATTTGTCGTAGTACTAGTAGCATTTGTAGTTTATGGGACACTTTTTGGGCGGAGCAAATGTCGTCGGAGCAAATGTCGGCGGAGCAATTGTCGCTTCAGGCGGAGCAATTGTCGGCGGAGCAAATGTCACCGGAGCAATTGTCGCTTCAGGCGGAGCAATTGTCGGCGGAGCAATTGTCGGCGGAGCAAATGTCGTCGGAGCAATTGTCGGCGGAGCATATGTCACCGGAGCAATTGTCGCTTCAGGCGGAGCAATTGTCGGCGGAGCAATTGACGGCGGAGCAAATGTCGGCGGAGCAAATGTCGGCGGAGCAAGTGTCGCTTCAGGCGGAGCAAATGTCGGCGGAGCAAATGTCGGCGAAGCAATTGTCGCGTTTTGCGGAGCAATTGACGGCGGAGCAATTGTCGGCGGAGCAATTGTCGGAGGAGCAATTGTCGGCGGAGCATCTGTCGGCGGAGCAATTGTCGGCGGAGCAACTGTCGGCGGAGCAACTGTCGGCGGAGCACCTGTCGGCGGAGCATTTGACGTCGGAGCAAATGTCGCGGAGCAAATGTCGCGGAGCAATTGTCGCGTTTTGCGGAGTAAATGTCGGCGGAGCAATCGTCGGCGGAGCATGTGTCATGGAACCACCAATACTGACAAGGTCATATTAGAAGCACTGTACTTTAATAGTGTACTGGTACCTACAAGCGGGCACAATTATTTTGGAAAGGGGACATGCTCACGTCACATCTCTTGTCCGATATCAACATTCCCCGTTTTCAAGTTATGCTCGCGCGCAATTTTTTTGACATTTCCATCAGTGGGGGCTGAAGCCTCTTGCCCCAATATCTATTTCCTGGTTTAATAATTTGGCGAGTGAGCGGAAATTTGAGCTTATGTATGTTGTGAAAAGTGTTACTTGTCACCAAAATATACGAGATAAGATATAACAAATGCATATTGGTAATTTTTAAATTTTCGGGGAAAGAGAGGCTGCAACCCCATCCCGCATTAACTGCAGGTGTTTTGAAATCAAATCAGACTCCCCAAAAAAGTATTAACCAAAACGCACGAATCCTGTTTCAAAAATCCAAAAAATGTCAGCTTCAGAGGGGGGCACATTACCCCTCAGACTCCCTCTAAAAGTATTAACCGAATCGCACGAATCCAGGTAAAAAAAATCAGCTTCAGAGCTAGAGAGGAACCCCCCCCCTCCACACACACACACACACACACACACACCCCCTGTGCACGCAAGCGTGAAATTAACGCTGGCGCTAATGCGTAAGCAGGGGCGGCGGAGCTATTTCCAAAGTGGAAAGCACCAACAAAAAAGGGCACCTACAAAGCGAAATCTCAAAGCGAAAATATACTTTTTTTTTAGACATTGGTATATACCCTTTCATTGTGATTCCATTATCAGGGACGATTTCAATATTTGTTTTTCTTTATATATCATACAAGATATTGCTTAAGCATCACACTTTCGGCTGGGTGTGATTGTCTGAATATTCATTTGCGAGCGAGCAAAGCAAGCGAGAAAAAATGCAAGATCTGTGAGGTCGCAGAGTGAAAAATTACATCTTATAAAGAGGAAAACACCAAATCATGATGGGGTTATAAGCATCACGGAAGACTGAAAAAACATTTGTTTTAAAGTGACATATTGTATCATCTATAAATGCGAGCGAGCGAGCGACCTTTTTAGGGGAAATAACTCTTAGTCGCTTTAAATTAGGTGCAAGACTACTGATGAGCAGGTTAGGGGCACGTGCCCCCCCCCCCCGTGCCTACGTGCGAAAGGGATAAAGACACTTATTAGAAAAGAAAAGGAGCATGTGTCAAGGTACAAAGAGTAATTATCAAAGGTTCAAACGGGGCACTTCTTACACCTGAAAGGAGGCACTCACCAGAAATGAGATAGGGCACTTATGAGTATGGGAAATGGGCATTTGTTGACGGAAAAGGGGCATCCATCAGAAATTGATTTATCAGAGGTGAAAAGGGGCATTTATGAAAAGGGGATAGGTCCCTTATTAGAAAGGAAAAGGGGCACGATTCAAAATAAAAGGGCAGTTAGCAAAGGTGAAAATGGGCACCCATCATAGATGAAAAGAGTACTTATCAGGAGGGGAAGGGGGTACTTTTCAAAGTAAAACGAGCATCTCTCAGATTTGAATAGGGGCAATTATCGGAGGTGAAGAGCACACTGAAGTAAAAAGAATTAACTTCTCATTTATGAAAATGGTCATTTACCAGAGATGAAAAGGGACACTTTTTATTTATGAAGGGCCTCATTTTTCTAAATAGCCCTTATCAGATAGGAAAGGGGGCACATGTGTTGATGAAATGTGCGCTTATCCGAGTTAAAAAGGGGAAGGGGCACTTCTTTACAAAGTAAAAGTGGCCCTTTAGGGGGGGGGGTACTTGAAGAGTGGGGCGAACTTTGCCCCCTACCCCTGCCACCCGGCCCATCATCTGAAAATCCAAAATGATGTTGTAGGGGCCGGGCGCGGCTTTATCATGAGTGCTTTTATGTGAACTTCTTTTTTATAAATATATTATGCTGGAATCCGACCCAGATTGCACACTCTAAAATGATAGTATGATCATCCCACTACGCTTGTAGTTCACGTATGCACCCCTTCCTCCTAATCCGTCGTTACCGTCACTGCCATTTACGTATGGCCGGCCGGCGTATTTTTTATTTACACGCTCGCGAGGGGAATTTCTCGATTAATTCCAATGAAACCGCTTAAAATTCCAATGAAACCGCTCGCGAAGAGTCTAGCCTAGATCGGAGAGCTCGCTAGTGCTATACGCTAGTGTGAATTTACATCCAGGAGAAAGTTTGCTTAACTTTTTCTTGAAACACTTGAACGGTTATGGAAACTGTTTGTGTTTCTAATCTCCAAATATTAATATTATTCTGCATCAAATATAAAACATTGATTTCTACTGTGATATGTAAAGGCACGAACTTACGTTAATACATACCCAACCAAGAAGGTGCACCATGGTAATACATTTTAACAAACACATCAACATGTTACCTAGACAACTCATCACCATAGCCATTGTAAAACCATATATTAATGATACATGTAAAATATAGATTGAAGCAATTCTCGTCAGTTGCCTGTATCCTGAGTGTGATTTATATAATGGATTTTGAGTAACATTTGCATCTAACTGTAGTTGAAGAATAGATACAGAGTATAACATCAATTAAGTTGGAGTTCAATTGGAAGGAAGTAACGAGGAATATTAAAGCAAGGGAGACTGGGAGATGAGGAATGCAGGAAGTTAGAAATTGAGAGATTACTCGCGAGATAGCCTTGCATTAATGAATCCTTTATATAATGTTGTCTTGAGAGAAAGTAGACGATTTTTTTAAAATTGGAGATTAGTGCAAGTATTAGATATATTGGAAATAGAATTAATGAGAAAGTTATTTTTTATCAAGATCAATACATGGGGGGGGGGGGGGCACCATCAAAATAGGGCACTTTCTGGAATATAAGGTGCACCTACAAAGGGAAACATCAAAATGTAAATCTACCATATTAAGACATTGATAGACGTACGAGTAACGTGGGGGGGGGGGGGGGTTAGAGAGCGCAATTTTTTTTTTGGTCGTCAAATTTTTTTCTATTTGCACCCCCCCCCCTTGAGCGCCAGGGGGGGGGGGCCCAACCCCCATAAAAGGTAAAAATCACATGATTTTACATGATTTTTTTTCTCAAGGGGGGGGGGGGGCCCG